TTCAGCATGCTCTAAACAAAAACACAAAATGAGGTTTTAAATTATGAAAGATTACTCGTGTTATAAAAAACATACATATTTGTATTCCCTAGTTCCCAGAGCGATATTTTAAAATCAAACCAAAATGCCATCCGAAACCTATAGACTCGTGAGATAGAAAGAGGAAAAATAATGGAAATAAATGGAAAGAATAGCTCTACTCCCCGTCTCCCTTAGCAATTTTCCAAATTAAATCGGGTAGATCAGAAATAAAAAGACCAATGCATAATTAGAATTCAGTTATATATCTTCGCGCCTAAAGTTCCCCCTGCATTGTTTATAACAAAAGAAAAAATGATTTACCCCAAACACAACTGATTATTTATTTTAAACATTCTACATTTCTGTTTTTGCCTATTACTATTACACTTTTTCCTATTTCAGTCTGCATCCCTTTCAAATCGGTTTCCTTTTCCAGTCTCCTTTCCTACTCCCATCTCACCTCTCTCTCTTTCTTTCTCCTTCACCTCTCTCTCCATTTCCTTCTTCTCCCCTCCTTCCCACGATTATTATCACCCACCATGTCCATGGCTCTTACTTTTAACTGTTAAAAACTTTCTATTTTCCGTCCCCTTCTCCCTCGAGTCTCCTTTCGCTTCCCGCGGCCTCGTTTCACTATCACATTTCCTCAAACTCTTGACTCCTATAGCTTCTCTTACTTGCCTCACTCATTGCCAATAAAGAACTGTGATAAATCCCTAGGGTATCTCACTGACCGGCGAACGTAGCGAATTTTGGAGTTTCGCCAGGATTCGTAAAAGGTTGCAAAAAAGTTCGCAAACAGTTTTTCTTGTTCTTTGCGAATATGTCTTTGCGAATTTATTTTTTCCACAAACATTTGCAAGCATTTGCAAAACAGTTGTAAGCCTTTGCAAACGGTTGTAAGACGGTGTCTCTGAAGCTCTTTTTGATTCGCCTATGCTAGCTACCTCGTTACCATGTGGGTCTATATAAAATCGACTCATTAAGTAGTTAGCCAAAGGTCCCAAACATTCACAAATAGTGGCAAAGGATTGGAAAATAGTTGCTAATCTTCGCAAAAACTGTCGCTAACATTTGCTTACAGTCGATAATAGTCGCTGCCTTTCGCAAAGACTTTCGAAAACATTCGCTCAAATGTTGCTAATTGTCGCTAAATGTCGCAGAGGCGAACCCTGATTTTCGCCGACATTCGTCAGAAAAGTTGGCAAATCCAAACGTTCGTAAGCAATAGCCGCTCAGTGAGAAACCTTGGTTCAGCACTGTTGTACATGTATAACATTACCTATAAATTGTACTTATGTCATCATTTCCCCTAGTAAACAAGATGCGAAATCAGTTTGAGCATACCCTAGCCATTAGTATGCACTCAAGCAAAAATTGATTTTTTTATTCCTACCAAGAATATTTAACTGTACTCGAGATAAGAGTGGAAAAGGGATATCTTTGTCAATATCTGGGCCCCCATCTTATAACCAGTTATGATTAATCGCAACTTAGTTGCGATTGATATCAATCGCAACTATGTACATAAGAGATAGGAGACTGCAAACTTGCCATTGATTGGAGGTCTTGCGATTGATTCGGATCAATCGCAACTCTTCATAAGACGGGCCCCTGGTTTCCAACTTGGACTAATTAATACATTATCTGGTAACACATCAACAACAAAACAAAAACAAACAAAAAATGATTGAACATCATCAAATTGTTTTTCTTCAAAGTTTTTACTTCTACAAGTATTTCAATAAAACATACGACCACACATAATTTAAATAAAACTCTTTTCTTGGAAACAGCATAAAGATGCAAACAAAGTAATATAAGCATAAACAAAATAATATAAGCATAAACAAAATAATATAAGCATAAACAAAATAATATAAGCATGAACAATCTATGTATTTTCCTAATCATCTTGGTGATAACAATATTGACTTTACTTTTGTTTTTAGTTATAAACATATATTTCCTTACATGTATATCATCATTGAATATAAACAATATTATAATGAACTACTTGATAAACTTTCCCACTTGTCAAATGATCACACTCATATTATGTTATATATCTGCCTTCTATATCTTTTTTCAATGTTCATGTCAATTATTCACCAGTTACAAATTGATTGTCTTCGTATTTCCCATCTTCCCAAGTACTGACATTATATAAATGGCAAGATGAGAATATTACAAAGTTTGTACTAAAAATAAAATAATAAATGTATGCACTTTTTGAATATCAGTCTATACCCTGTTCTGTATCAGCTTAACTTTGTAACATGTGAGAAATAGCAAGAAACTCAGCAGATAACAAAAAAAGTGTAAATTAATGGCTTGATTTAAATTTAATATACATGATGTAAGGTATGAAAACACCACAGCTCCATAACTTCCAAACAACAATGTGCAGTATACATTTCAAAGACATCAATATAGGAACTATACAAGTACCATTCGCACAGAAAACCAATAGCACAAAATAATGAGATTCCACGTCTTCACTCAACATAACATCCAGAAATCATTGTCAGCCCTATTTCTGTTCTATATCTTCCATCTTACAAACAAGAAACGGGTCTAGTTGTGACATAATATTGCGCAATCGGAATTCACTTTGTATCTACAGCGCTACCATCCTGCTTTCAGCATTGACTCTTCAGAAGGTAAGAGAAATGTATGGATGATTCATGGATATTTCATTAACATCTGGAAGTACAGCATTAGAATTCTACATAAATTCTTTTAAGCAATTTACAGCCCATTTGAATGCTTATCAAAAGTCAGGATATCAAAAGACAACAGAGACTTATTTGCGAATGTACAGCTCCATTTCAATATACATTTTACCCAGTGAATGCGATCCTTCTAAGCACATGAAGCAAATTACAGCTTGTATGATCTCTTACTAAAAAGTCTGAATACTGTAAGACAATAGTTACTGATTTGTGAATATACAGCTCATTCCTTTGTATAATTTACAAAGGTGAAAATAAATGCACTGTCCTTCACAATTCTAAGTGCAATTTAAACGTTGTTTAATCATAAGATAGATTTTTTAAATGTACAGCTCATTTCTATGAAAAACTTGAAAGAAGTATGAACATGAATTCACCATTGTTTGCGACTCTAAAAGCGATTCAGCTTGTTCAATCTCTTATGCGAACAGAAAGGTAGGATTTAAGAAGAGAGTGACTGCTTCATTCCTATGCATTTAAAACTCAGTGTAGGATTTTGTTTCTTCCTCACAGGAACTATTTTAAATACACAAGATTGATCCTTTTTAGTATTTTTGTTGTTGTTATTGACCGTTTTAAGCTATCCAGAGCAGATTCATTTTCCCTTTTTGTTTTAATCTCTTTCTGCTGCCCACAACAAGGTGAGAATAAAAGTAAACTGATAACACCCATCTATATCTACTAAAGTTCCGTCATATATGGACCGATATAACTCAAGTCCAAATGCACCATAACGAATCTTCAATTTCCTGAAGATATCAATACTGTATGTCCTTTAAAATTACACGACACAAGTCATAATCATGATTAAATGAAGTCACACTCCCTTTCCTTTGCGACAAAGAAACTCCCGTCATTAATATCACTCTTAATATAAATTCATTTTGTACACAATATAGGAACTTGCTCATGACAAGAGAGAAAAGCATTCATGTTTTTATTCCAGATTTGTTTCTGGTTAAGAGTAATATGAAATACACTGTCTTTGAGATAAACATGTACATTGTAAGTTTAAAATGTAAAATGGAGTGATTTACTTAAATCTAAATACATTCGTAACAAAAACTGCGCACTGTATCACTTCATAAACTCTTTACTTTACTTTATGATACATATCATTCATTGCACACTGTTTCCATACACTCAAAAGTAACAATTTCTGATATATGTTTACAAAGTGAAAGATATCATATCTATAAACATACAGGAATGGAACGATGAATTTGATTTCTTTGAAATGTTGAACTAATGTAAAACATGATTTGATTTCTAGGCAATTACAAACACATTTGGTACAAGGTTGGAAACAGGCAATTTCTGCTCTTTTAACAATAGTTAGTGAAATAATTTCTTAGAACTAGAATTGTACAAGAGTTATCAACTATCTCTGCCTCTAAAAAAACACCCACAAAAACAAAAACAAAAACACAAAGTATGAAGGGGGGGGGGGTATTGATGAATGGAAGAAAAGTAAATTAGAAAAAGGACGAAGGGTTATTAACTGAAGACAAACTTCCACTTCTTCTATTTTTTCCTCAGTCTGTAAATTTCTGCAGGGAAAATAATCTAACACCACCATAATATTGTATCTTTAACTATTGTTAGCAAAGATTCAATAAGAGACATAACACTTGAGTAATCTAATAACTGTAAACAGCAGATAAATAAAATCTCTGAATTGGCTAAGGCCGTTACAAGCTTATAGCACACTGTACAGTGATACAGAAAGAATAAACGGTAATGTATAACGATAGTGCATTGAGAAATAAGAAAATGGAAAGTGCATTTACTGGCTGTATGTCTCTCAATAATGCAGAAAGAGTCCAAGAGCTCAAGGGTTGACTGTGCATTGATCATGAGCCATCCAAGTATAATCAATGGTGTGCTTTTATACAAATATACAAATGATGAAATGTTATCCATAGTTAAGCCAATGAGTGCATCATCTGTATACATGTGAATTCTGGTATGCAATAGACTTTGTGCTTTAAACACAATACCTGTTCATACTAAAAAAGCCTGACTTTCAAAACATGATTTACAAAGACTTTCAGAGGTGGGACAAACATGGAAACAAATAATATTGCACTGCACACCATCCAGCTTCAGCCTAAGATTGGTTGTTTCAATTTACCAAACTATATACTTTGATTTCAAGTGAAGGTGTAGATGAAGACAAAAAGAGTCTCCCAAACTATATACATGTACTCTGATTTCAACGTGGAGCTGTACATGAAGAAAAACTTGCTCTCATGTGAGACGTAATAAAACATATTAGAACATTTGACTTCTCATCATCTTTTGAGCAACCAGTATTACGGACTCTAAACTAAAGAGGGAGGGACAATATTCTTTCATATAATACATGAGGACACCAAGAAAATGTGCAGAAGATATTTGAATAGTCTTGTGAGCAGGTTCAAAGGGGTAACATTTCCAGTACAGGACAAAGGGACTGTGCAGCTGTTAATACATTCAGATTAAAGTAATAATAATTACTTCATACTAATATTTCCTGCATGTATAAATTGATTATTGTAACAGTTTGATACAATATACAAAGAGAAGAATTGTGTGGGTGTGTGGCAAGGGTAGATTGAAGAGGAAAGGAATATACTAAGCAAATCCAAAGGACTCCTGCTAAAGCATAAAGAAATCTCACAGCTGGTTTTGAGAGATGTTGAATGGTGTATAAATTATCATCAGACGGAATGGAATAAGTACTCCCCCAACAAAAAACAAAAAAAGATTAAACCTTCCTTGTACACTCTCCACTTCTCACTATGATGTTGAAGGAGTTTTAGTGGCTTCTTTGAACCATTTTGTGACCTGTTCCGCATACTTTTCTCTCCATGCGATTCTCATCCTGATGTCTTCCATGGTCTGCTTCAGGGTACGCTCAGCTGTTCCAGCGGTGTGCTCCGAAAAGAATGGCTCCACCTGTAGACACAAACATACATCACACATTGTGTCAAAGCTTTGGGCCAGAGAATGTCTACTGAATGAATGCCAGAAAGGTATTAAACATACATCGTACATTGTAAATTGTCAGATCTTTGGGCTGGAGAATGTCTACTGAATGCTAAAAAGGTATGAGCTAATTAAATGCAGTTTATGTGTGTAGAGCAAATGCCCTTCTCTCTATTAGTAAACAAATTGTGACCAAGCGAGAGTGAAACAAAGTTTTTTAAACATCACTTTCTTGATCAAACTTGCACAACAAAGGAGAAGATACAATAGCCCAGGACAATTCTAATTTACTGGAAAGGCAGGGCATTAAAAGTACATATAACGTTATATAACAACAACAATGATAATGTACTACTTTAGAAAAGGTTATGAACAAAACACTATTCCCCGCCTGTATCTATTCTAACAACTACATAACAATTACTTTTTCTTCCAACATTAAATTTGCCGCAAATCATAACTGGAATAAAACAAGAACATGGCTACTAACAAGTGAAAACATTTAAAGCTTACATATTCAAATTCAAAATGTGTAGATATCCACCATGTAGTCCCGGTAATTAGACTTGACATCACAAAGGGCTGTAAACCAAGCCTATAATGACAAGAAAGGAGAAAGTCATTGTACCTCGCTAAGGATGCTTCAAAAGATCAATACATCATATTATCATGTAACAAGAAATCTTCTGCAGAATGTTACAATAGCACAAACATCAAAATATCTTACTTTCAATGTAAACTGATATTCATTGTTCCATTACTCACGGTTATATGTAAGGGACACAAAATAATATTCTCAAACTTTCAAAGAAAACCAATGCTGTATGTTTGCAACTAAACATAATTTAATGTGGTATCAAAAGAAGCAATATAAATGATGATAAACTATAGAAGGTGAACTAATTCATTTTATTACTTTTCCTATTTTGTGACCAAAATCATCTGTACCCTAAAAGAATTTATTGTAAATAAAATCTCTTGTAATGCATGCTGAAAGAACAATTCTCTTCCCCCTTCCTATTCTAAGATTCATACTGCCTGAGTTCATGATCATTCACGTAAATGCATAGCACCACTTTGAAATTGAATACAGACTCATGAAGCAAGAAATGAGTGGATAAGGAAACATTACACCCTGACCAAGGATCACACAACCTTTACGACAATCACTTACGATTTCTGAATCTTGTCCCAATTGTCGATGACATAGCGAAGAGCTAAGTAGGAGCCAGCTCGTTGGTAGGCCACCGATGTGATTACTGACACAGAATCCTGCTGAAGAATCTTACTACTGTCCAATGCAAACCCAAGGTACCTGGATAAGATCAATGGAAAAAATAAAAAAATAAATATATATACCGGTATATATATTTGTTATTTCTATTACATACATGTAGCCAGAATCAGAATGAAGGATACTACATGTACTTCTGTAAGGTGCTAACTGAAGCCACATAAAGAAGAATAATACTTAATACTTAATATCTATAATCTTAAAATCATAATAAACACACTCTAAATCTATATCACTTCTGATTTGGCAGTCCCTAAAATTATTCACTTGAATTTTCTTTATTTGCTACTTGACAAACTGACAATCTAGTCTTTGAAATGGTTGGTGATTTCTTAATTCTCGCTACCCCAAATAGCGATTCTGCCGAGATCCGGGGAAAATCCTGAAAACGCGCATTGCATTATGGGATAGCTTTTCGACATTACAGCTTCCTGTGCAGGCGGCGCGATAGCGCAAACGTAAAACGCCGTCGCCACACAACGTGTATGCACCGAATATGTCGTCTGCTCGGTCTTGTTTTTTTTTCGCAAATATTTCAACGTTTATTTGAACATTTCATTCGTTGTTTTTTGCGTCTTTTGACATCAGTGACGATGGTTTTCTTTTGTGAGGCTGCACAGTGCTGGGCTCATGATTCCAAGCGTAAGAACCCTGAAAAATGGGGGTGGATGAAGGCCGTGACTTGGGATGGGACTCTATACCGGAAGTTGTAGTGACGACCCGAGAGAGTGAAAATTACCTCGTCTCGCGAATTTCGAGATTTTCGTACCTATTTAGGGTAGCGAGAATTCATCACAGCAACGACTCACTACTCCTAACTGTAGGAAATTCTCATATGCTTCCTCATCAATGAATACTTAACATTTCAGCCTACTATATAAAGTCAACTAGCATGCTTTCAAGGAAATTTGCTGTTGCTTCTTCCTTCATTTGTGAATTCTGCAAACATGAACAAAACTGTAAAGGAATTTTCACAATACAGTTTGATAATTGTCAAATACACAGTACAATCTAGAGATTTTAACCTGTATAACATCGACTAACCTGCTAAGTATATCCGGATCCCGTGTGCATGCTAAGACACTTTGAAGCAAAGCTTTCTCTGTAGGAGATGTTGAACTCTGGTATTTATTCCAAGCATATTCCCACTCACGTCCTCCTCCAGATTGTACTCCTCCACACTGTACGATACCCTGCAAGTTAGCTCCTACAGTACTGAAAGAAAAAATATATATATACCGACAGTTAATACAAAATTGTGGGAATATCATTGGATGAGGACAGATTAAATATAGAAATGATTATCATATTTGATACTAATTGAACATGATCATATTGAATAACACTTACAAATGCAATATTTGTTTTCTGAAAAAAATTGACTGCAACAAATACAATGAAGTGAGGTAAGGAAACATTGGTCTGTCTACTAAACATTAAAGGTATAATACATGTACAAAGTTTTGGTATTGGGTCATGAATTTGGTTCAAATAAAAATTTTGGAAGCATATGCGATCGTACAATATTCAGTGATCGTTGTCGCGGTTGAAATCGAGTCTAAAGCTATGAAATTGTAAACAATACACTCTTTTTTATGTTGTATAGCTCCCTCTAAAGGTCAAGATATTAATTAAGCTATAAAACAATGATTCTTGACTAAAATCGATCGACTAGCTATTCCCGTTTAGAAGTTATATATCACAACTACATATTCTGAGATTTTCATGGTCGCAGCTACCATTGTACAGCCGTAGGCGCTATTTGAAATTCATCAAAATTTACCGGGAGCACCGGTAAATTTTTATATTCAATTTTTCTCGAAAGCAGAAGCGTTTTAGGGGCTAAATTTTGTAGTGGTTATAATACATTCACAGGGGCATCCAAATATATAAAAATTGTAAAGAATCACTATCCACCCAATTTTCAAAATTTCCCAAAACTTTGTATTACCTTTAACAAAACAATGCATTTAAGTCATGAACTTATCTAAGTTTACAATTTTACCAGCATCATCACATAGATAAATTGTTGGTGCTTAAATATGATCATCATAACTTTCTAACTTATCCTAAAATCTCATTCATCGATTTGCAATGCCCAAGTGTAAAGCAATTCTTTGAAATTGATTGAAAGGTATTGTTTAACAAGTGAGATTTACATAGCCCAGAAAAAAAATGGACGATAGCAGTTGTCCTTCATAGAATACATTCAGACTTACGTTGAGCCGGTTTCCATCCATGTCTTGTACTCAGCACTGGCCCACTCTAATGTATCTGCATCACCTAGATGTCTGAATGTTGATAACAGGCTCTTTCGTGTCAACCTACATGTATGGAGAAGATTTTTATTTTATATATTTATTTTATTCTATATATTTATTTACCACTTGTGGGATGAAACACCATCATCAGCACAAGTGCTGTGTTTCATATGAATTTCAAAATGAATCGAGTGGTTCTTGAGATATCATGTTAAGGAGAAAGCAGGACGGACGGACGGACGGACAACCCCGAAAAACATAATGCCTCCAGCACCATAAAAAGGGCAGAAAAATTGGACGGTTTGGATTTGTTTTGGCGGTATGACTAAGGTGTTACCATGAAACAGACTTTCCATTTATGTTACACCTTTTCATGTTTCAAATTAAAGGTTACATGCAAGTACACTTTATGTATAAAAAAACTAACACAAAATTATTAAATTGGCATTCAGAAGAAAAAAGTAAAATAAAAGAAAAGACATGAATAAACCTGAAAACAAGATTATTCCTGTGCTGTATCTATTCATCATGACCTCTGCTAATTGTAGAAGTGCTGATAAAATTGTATTCAGATATTGATGCTATGATTCACATTTCAAAAACTATTTTTGTGATACTTAGTAAAAGTAATATTCTATTTTCTACTCATTGCTTTCAATAAGTATAAGGAGATATGCTTCCTAAAAAAATAGCTTATCAATAACAACCAAATGAAATAACATAAGAATAAAGCAGTACAGTTAATGAACTAACAATCCATGTCCCTGCAGAAATTCTCCTTAAATGAAGGACACCTTTCAAATGAACTTTTGAACTTTAGCCAACATCTAAGACCATAACAGGCCTTTTTCTGCACTCTCACAGATTCATTGTGAATTACATTCCTACTTGTTTACAAATCTAGCAAGAAATCAACTCCTCAGGTATTTCTTGTAGATTTCTCCCCTCCTGTAATTTACAAGCTTGCTATTGTTACACAGCTGTTTTGTGAATTTCACACTCAAGTTATGTCCTGTGTAATATACAACCTGTCAATCAATGATACCTGGGCCCTGGTTAGTGAAACTTCATAGCCAATCAAATGCAGCAATTTCAGTAGCTTTTAACAATAAGACAGTAGCTTGTAACAAGAATTTTTACTGATAAAATTATAGATGGATCTATGACTGCACGCAGGCAAAAATGATGCCTCCGTCACAGAGTGATTTTACAAATGAAAACAAGCAATTTTGAAAAATCATGTTTGATTGTAATCCATATACAGGTTCTCAGAATATCTTGATTACAAGCTATTTTTTGCATACATAATGAGCCCAATGACATTTGACCTTTGACCCCAAAATCTTCAGTTAATTGGCTCTGCAAGATACAAACATGTCTTGAGTTTGATGGAAATCCGTCTTATCGGTTCTAATGATAATATGATCACAAGCTATTTTTGCATACATAATGCAGGGCTGTCAACCCTCCCGCCACCACGCTCATTCTCCCGCCGTCCCACCAACTTGTAGCGGGAGACTCCTTCCACCACGCCCTTCCTCCTGCTTCAATGTAGAATCTCCCGGTTGATACAATTGATACTTGTGATACGATCACATTTGTGAAGAGGTCATAGAACCAAGGTGTATTAGAGTGCACTTTTTGTCATGTCATTAAGAATGGAGTTTGGTTATCATTTAACTACAAGAAGAATGTATTCTGTTTCTGGTGAAATATTGAAATTCAAGAAACCATATCCCCCCAAAAAATGCAGTAAAAGAACTTCCGTCCAAGATTCTGAAAGATCTATCAATGTCATTAAATAATAAGTTTTACAGTATATTAAAGATTATACAACTCACTCCTAGATCCTAATCAAATGATTCGTCATGCACAGTCACGTGTGATTCATTTAATGAGACTATTGCACGTTTTTTCATGGAAAAGCGTGCAATGGTTTCGAGTACTATTCCACGCTTAGGGCGGTTATTCTGCGTGTGGGCCTATTCTTACGCGGCAATATGCCTAAATGCGTATAGAGGTAAGTGCACTTATCTACATGTATGTGTGTGCACTAAATTGAGGCTTATCAAACTTGAGACTTATTTGTCAGCTAAAGTGTCACAAAAAATCTTGAATTAATTCTTTTTACATCAAATAACAAGGATCTGGGAGTTTTGTTGAATAAAACAAATGATGCTTGTTTTCATTAGTTCATTATACGATCTATCCGCCCTCGTTAATGCGGTGTGTATCCATCGCACTCAGCCATAGATACACACAGCCTCAACTCAAGTGCGGATATAGATCGTATAATAAACTAATGCGCATGCATCATTTGTATAATAACATTAATGTCATGCTCTTTCTCTTGAACATGAGACCAAATATAAGAACAAAATCTTACCTGTCAAGATGTTCTCCTGTATCTTCTTTCCCAAGAGTGGAAACACGCTCACCAAATAGTTTGAGCACATAATCCTGAAGCATAATGGAAGGTAAAACATAATACATGTACCTGAGTCCCACCATTAACTTAATCATGATTGTAATTATTAAATGACACATATTTGTAAAGCTTAGATCCTTCTTTTTCATTTTATGCAACTCACATGATGCATATTTCATGCATGAGTGATTAAAATCAATTTGAAGAAAGGGGACCAACAAGTCATTTGGCAACGGTATCTGAATTTCAAAGAGAAAATTACATTTCTAGAGAATTCATTTTCTTCTCTTTCATATGACACCTCAATCTGGAAAAAATGAGCTAGGAATAACAACGTTCTGTTTATTTAAAGTAATGCTTGCATTTCCATAACTTTATTAAACAAATTCGGTTTCACTGGCTGCCTACCGTAGCAACAAACAGAATTGACAAAAGACTTAACTCTGTTTCGTTGAAGATCAGCCATAGACGAAAGACTTCATGCATGGCTGATTGTCAACGAAACGAATTTAAGTCTCAGAGAGAGATACGCAGAGAAAAGATGAGAGTTAGAGAGAAAAACAAATAAAATTGGAAGAACAAGAAATTGAGATCACAAGTAGAAATCTAAGAATAATTGCATGATTTGAAACAAAGACAAATCGCATTCATTACCTTATAGTAGGAGTATCCCGGTTTTCCATAGAGCAAACTTCCTATAGAAGACAATGAATCAAGGCCCGTTTCTATGGGAACATACTCCGTCTCATTAATGAGGTACTTTGACAGGTCAAGAGCGATGCTGTAGTTCACGTGCCCAGCCCTGAAGCAAAAATGCAAGGAAAACATGTATTGAATATAATATAGATTTGGTACTTCTGAACACCAAATGAAATCTGTGAATTGTTTGTAAGCCGAAGAATAATATTTAAGTAAAATATCTTCTGCATGGTCTTCCATGTAACTTACTGACTGAATGAATATAAGTGTATTTCAATTTAAAATACAATGAAATGCAGATGCCACTTTCTCATCATGGAAGGATGTCTTCAGAAAAAAAGTAAACTTTGTAAAACTTGTTCTCTCTTCTACATAATCAAATGGGACGCTTGTTCAATTTTGATACAGGTTCACCTCGTTTCATTGGACAATCTGCAGTTGGATTCATGCTCTGACGACACAACATGCTAAATTGATTGTTATAGTTATCAGGTTAGCTCTATCTGCAGCACTCAACTAAATCCATTGACTACTGAATTCTCTTGATTCACAGACCCAATACAGGATCAATCTGGTTCCCGTAGCCAATGTGTTAAAGGGAAATCCAACCTTGATAGCATACTATTCTAAAGGAAAGCAAGAAAATCAGAGGAGTAGCCTGATGTAAGTTTCGAATTTTCAAAAGATGTAATCCCTATGGCCTGAATTCACAAAGGAGGTTTAAATCTTCATTTACAAAAGCCATGGTCTAAAATTAGCGCAAAATAAGCGTGACACAGTCAGAGGTCCAATATGAGACGCGCGCAAGGCAAGGTACGCTTGATATGCACTTTTTTTAAAACTATGGGTTATGTAAATGAGGGTTTAAACCATGGGTTAAATTTCAACTTCCTTTGTGAATTCAGGCCTATGGGTATGGGGTCTTTATATTGGCTGAAGCGGTAATGACATGTTTCTGTGAGGTAATGGCGGACAACTTTTCTGTTCGTTCCAACACACAAAATTAATAAAAGTTTCAATTTTTCACAAAAACTTATGACTCCAGAAGTGTCTATTCTCTTAAGAGGATCTATAATTTGAGTAGTGCACCAAGGGAGAAAGCACTTAGGAGAAACACATAAATTAATGATACGACAAACAAACGTCATAATGCATTGACCAAACCAAATTCGCGCAGACTAAGTGCTCATACATGTCATTCATATATAATTCCCTTATTATTGGTCCGATTTATTTCAAACTTTCACCAGTTTGTTTCTCTTATTTTTCTGCTTTCATACAGATGAAAGTATTACAAGGGTTGGATTGCCCTTGGATGTTTTTAACCATGACTCACCAAGCCAGATTGAATACATCATTGATGAGGTTAGCTCTATCAGCAGCACTCAACACAGTGTGGTTGGTCTGAAGTTGATCTATTAATGCTTTCCAGGTCGATGTGTCGTAGTTCACACGGTACATCCCAGACTGCTTTGTGTTGACCTTGAACCATTTACTAGCACCAGCTACATGCAGATTCACACTTGCTATGGTTTGTAGGAAAACACAGAGAAATGTAAAAGATTTATCTTGCACTGCACAGTCCATAACAATACATGGGCAAGTATTATTCAAAGAAATATAAAATGTAGTTTTTATGATACATTCACATGACTTAACAGATATATAAAGATATGCAAGGATAAAGTTATGCATACTCTGTCTGTATTTATATTGCAATTTCTTATAGAAGCTGAATATCTCTTAGTTATAACATTTATAAATGATGCCACATAATCACAGATTTGTTGAACATGAGACGTTCCGCTATGTGTATGTTAGAATATCTACTCCCACAGTGATGGATGTGTTTCATGAAGAGATTTGTATTCCCATTATAAAAACAGTAGACCATGTATCATGGAATATACTGTGTGCATAAAAAAGAACGGTCATAAAATGTAATGTGGGTAGATATTTACTGTTGTCTCAGTAGATTTTACAATTGGTTTGACCAACCTTAACCTGTATGTGTGCTTACACACTTGATTGTACAAAGGAAACATGGTTTAGTTAGGATGTATTCATAGAATTTGGAAAGATTTGGGAATTATGCTCCAGTCACAGGGCTTCTTCATATCATCACAGTCAATATCATTTTGTTTGTTTTTGTTTCTATATGTTTATATATATAATATGGTACGAGCTGCAATACAAAAGGGAATATTCCATCACATCATTTAAGATACATCATCAAAAGATTATGAAATATTTTACCAATGAAATAATCATTATCTTTCTTCCTTACAGTTACAATGAGAGCAAGTGAAAAATACAGCAGTGTATATGAATAAGCCAGTTTGTAAAAAGCTTCAGAACGCACGACCCCAAAATATCCATAGATCTTTTAAACAATGGATACGTCCCACTTATTCATTTTAGAATAATCACTGCCGAAGTGATGGAGGTGCTTCATGAATACCTTTTGTTTGCACGTTGAGAAGAATACTTCCACCTGTGTATTAGACAAATGTACTGTCGGTGCATAAATGAATACTGATTACATAACGTTCATGAGCTCGATACCAGTATTCGTTTCAATGGTTTTACAATTTAGGAACAAATGACCTTTATCTACCCATGCGCAAATCCTAATTACGAACTCGCTTATTTGGGATGAACGAATATCACCTCACATGTATATGCATATTCATGATAGTTCCTATTTTATTATGTAATGATCAAAGACACTTCAAATTATGAATTTGATAGACATACTGCTGTAGACAGATTTGTTCACAACAGGATATATGAAGACAAAAATTATCTCTTCAAAATCAAGATTTATTTACCTTTCTCATGTTCCATAACAATAGTCTTGGTTTGAGGGTCAGTATCGGTGAAGTACGTGACAGGAATAGTCCACTTATACCTGTGAAAATATAAAGTGTGGTGGGAAAGTGCTGATACACTATGAACATTACTGACAAAGAAAGCGGACAAAATATACAGTTCCTCAGGTAGACAAAGGAATATCCCTTCACTGCTATTATGTAAAAATGTGTAGAACAGGTGTCACATGCATATTCACCTTTTTACATAATAGCAGTGAAGGGATGTTTTTTTGTCTACCTGAGGAACTGTATATTTTGTCCGCTTTCATTGTCCGTCATGTTCATAGTGATATTTGCTTCAGTAGAGATGTACTCCTGTTTTCTTTCTACCAGATGCATCGCAAACCAGAGTGCTTCTAATTGATTTTGAATTTTGAAAATAGCACTATGTTCTGACTTAGTTTAACATCCAGCAAATACATATGGGGTGGATTTCATTTTTCATCATTTTAAGTACTACGAGAGTAACTTTTATTGACACTTTCACAGTTACAAATCTGAACTAGTCCCCCAAGACTATTAGTATTAGAGGATGTAAAAATATGTAGTTAATTAGTATCCAAGTTTTCATTAAATATAAAATAACGACTCGAATACCTAGTTTGATCAGGGACGTGATAGAGAAGGACTGGAATCAAGCCGGCGAAACTCTTGTAATTTATTCAATCGCATTCGTGAGTAAAAGCGTAACAATGGGATGTGAAACATTCCACTTGGCTTTGAAGTTCCATGCTCCGAACCGCGCTTCCACTGCGGGGACTTTCGGAAGCCAGGCACCAGTTTCACATTTATTACAAAATATTGAATTACAGGCAAAATTTCAGTATAAATCAAAAACTTTATATGGGGATTGTATTGGGAATAGTGCATTAAACACATTTCCAAATTTAAAACTCCGTCCTTCCTATAATTTGTGTGCCAGAGTTGGTAAAAGAAAAATTACATCGCGTGACAAAAACTCAATAGTTTAGGATAATGCGCTAATTTGTGCATGCTTTAATGTCCCGTTATTTGATTCATGATTTGCAATCTTCAATAACATTAAGTTTGCTAATGCGTGTTTTTGCGTGTTTTTTGTATTTTTGAAGTTTAAACAAGGGAAACTCTCTCGGCGGTCTTGCCTGCATAACGCAATTCAATATGATAAACCAGAACGTCAATGACGTAGCGCTCATCCGCATCTCGCAACAACAAAAATCGTAAATTTTATGTGGTACACTTTTGAACTGGTCAAAAAATAAAAATTTGATGCCCTGGAAGGGACATAATTTCATTTAATTTGCATATAGTACCATAAATAATCAATGGAACAAAATCTCACAATTCTGTGTAGAAGTTTAGTGTTCCAAATTTAGCTCTACCAGATAAGGCAAACCAAATCAAAATCGGTCAAGAAATGAGGGAAAAGAAGCAATTTTTGTTATAATGAATTAATGGAGAACAATTTCAAAATTCTGTGTAGAAGTTTAGTGTACCAAAGTTAGCTCTACGATATAAAGCAAACCAAATCAAAATCGGTCGAGAAATGAAGGAGAAGAAGCCTTTTTTGTGGTTTCGAATAAATTTGCATAAATTATATAGATAATGAATTTCACGATTCTGTGTAGAAATTTTAAATTCCCCTCCTAGCCCTATCATATGAATCAATCAGAATTAAAATTGGTTGAAAAAAAACGAAGAAGAAGCATTTTGAAAATCTTGATGTTGATGCCACAACAAAGTCTAAGTTTGTTGACCTTAAATGACCTTTGACCTAAACTTAGTGACCTGAAATTCTACTCACATGATTGGGGAGACTTGATAACCCTATAGTCCAAGTTTCATTGACTAAGAACTTATACTTTCAAAATTATATCAAAAATTCAAAAACTTAACCTTAGGTTAAGTTTTCGATGATGATGCTACAACATAGTCCAAGTCTGTTGACCTGAAATGAGCTTTGACCTTGACTTTGTGATCTGAAATTCTACTCACATGATTGGGGATACTTGATTACCCTATAGTCAAAGTTTCATTGACTAAGAACCTATACTTTAAAAATTATATCAAAAATTCAAAAACTTAACCTTAGGTTACGTTTTTGATGTTGACGCCGTCGCCGCCGCCGTCGCCGTCACCGGAAAAGCGGCGCCTATGTCTCACTTTTTGCTACGCAGGCGAGACAAAAAGGATGAAATTACACAAGTTTGTGCTCGCTTGTTCTCCTCTTTACACATTCAACAATGGATGATAAATCATTGACAGGGACAGCGAACAGTTGCTTTGATACCATTTTCTGATGTAGGAATTCTAAATCCTGAAATTCATGCGCTCTTTTATCTCACCATCTGGTCAACAGTTGCAGATTAGCGCATAACGTTACGGCGGCTAGGAGCATGGGGTCAAAGGAGAGCGGCTTGATTCCAGTCCTTCTCTATCACGTCCCTGGTTTGATTTGAGTCCCACCGTGGCACTTGTGTCCTTTGGTAACATATCAAACTACATTTGCCACTCTCCACCCAGGTGTAGTAAATTGGTATCCAATAGGAAGAATTTCCTTGAATGCTTAAAAAGTGCCTTATCATGAAAGCTCTGCTAAAACTGAGGTAATAATAACATTTCAGCACCCACAAGGAGAACAGTACAGAAGAGGCTTACCTCAGTAAAAAAGACTTATTATTATCATCATTATTATTCTTTTCATTATAATCATTACAATCATTATTAGTATTAATATTATTATTATTAACATATAATAATTATTATTAATATTTTCTCATCATTATCATCATTATTATTATTATTATTATTATTATTATCATCATCATCATAATCATTATTCAAGGATTCATTTTCAGGATTCATCACATGGATTCTGTTCACATCATTAAAACAGATACTATTTTTTAGCTCAGTCAGACATCACAAGGATATTTCTTGTGTGACGGGTGTGTAAGCACCTTCTGACAATAAGACTCATTATCTACCTCATTAAATTTCAAGCATGAGTAACACCTTCAAAAGCATTATGAGTCTAATAGACAATTGATGATTTTATTTATAATTTAACGATGATGGAATAAGGATGAATAACGTACCCAAACTTTGAAGAGGCCTCATTTGAAGGCTCTTTCTGAGGATAAATAAGAAACCTTTGTTGAGTAGCCAGGCCTGCCTGGGTGACATTGATGACTGGGAATCCCATCTGAAGTGTCCAGGTATCCATCATAGCAGTAACATCGACACTATGTCCATTCTCTTTAGCGACCTGATGATGTTTTAATCAAACAATGTTATATCACCTAAGTGGTTACTACTCTTGTTAAAGGTATAGACCAGTTCTGGTCATGCGATTGCATTGTGAAAGAAACGTTGTGGAGTCGATCAGAAAAGGTTGATCATCTAGCATATAAGTATTGGTGTGTACTGCAAGGTTCTGGATTCATCAAAATGATAAGAAATTGGCAAAGTTACAAGCACTATACACAAAAAGATATATATGGGACTACGCAATACCTATCCAATCCGGATAGATATAATAATTTACCAAATATATCAATTTGTAGGCGGTTTTCCGGCAAAATTTGTATAATCACGTTAAGTCAAAACATATTCTTCCACATGATTGGTAATAAGAGCTTCCATTTCATTTTTTGAGGGGGGGGGGGGGCATTTCCAAAACTGGTCGATACCTTTAAGACTAAATAGCCTAAAATGAATTCAATATGAAATGAAAGTAGTTATGCAAAATGTTTCCCATGTGCTCTTTTAACTCATTGCCAACTGGAACCGGGTTGTTCATGTATTGAACCTATGGGGAAAATGACAATTCAGTAGTCAATGGGTTATCACATGGAGTATATAATTGTCTCATTCTCATATGCTTAATACACAGAATCTATTCAGTTCATGTAGATTAAGTATTAGGTCAAGATAATCATAGATGAAGTTGAATTCTGGTCATGCGATTGCATTGTGAAATCGACCAGAAAAGGTTGATCATCTAGCATATAAGAATTTGTGTGTATTGCAAGGTTCTGGAATCATCAAAATGATAAGAAATTTGGCGAAGTCTTGGTAAAGTTACAAACACTGTACACAGAAAGATGTATATGGGACTACACAAACACGTGGCATAAAAATCCTACCCTGGATTTTTACGATGTTACATGACATATTTAGAATATGAAGGCATTTGAAGAGATATGCTTTTCCGGCAACATGTCTTATCTGATGTTCTTCCACACTTGCATAATAAGAATGATAACGCTCACAAATTATTTTTCACCTCTTCCCAGAACTCAACCTTCTCTTTAATTTGTCAAAATCTTGATGTTCTATATTCTCTTCTATAATCACAATGAATGTGTTGGAGGTCAAAAGGTGTGATGACCTACCCATCAGGATTAAAACAAACAAACTCTTACAGTGATTTAGCTCTAGATAATTCACAACAAGCTTCGGTTAAAAGGGAGAAAAGGATTACTCCAACAGGAATCCACAATAGGCCATTTCTGAATGTAATCAAATTTAATGCACAAATCTTTATTAAGTGCCTCGTTACAACTCATTTCATTCACCTGTTACAAATAATTGTACTTCAATAGTCATAATGCGAATTGCATACATTATGTGTTGTTAGGTAGGACAAGACAAAATAACCATGTTCACACGATGCAAATTTTGGTCGGCGTAAAGGTCGTGTTAAGAGCTAGTTAGCGTAAATATGGTAAGGTCGGCGTAGTGACCGTCTGAACAATAGACCAGTTCACGGTTAGCACATTACTGCAATGACCCCGAATTTCAACAGATCTTCAAAACATGAATAGGTCCCATTTTGTACATTATGAAATAATCATTCCTACAGCGATGGAGGTGCTATGTAATTAGCCTGTTTCCCCTTTTCAAAGAAATATTTCCACCTGTGTATCATGGAGTGCACTGATTGTGCATGAATGAATAATAATTACATAACTTTCATGAGTGAAGTATCCAGTATTTCGTCTCTGTGTATTTCAAAAATTGTTCTGCAATGACCTTTATCTGCTCATGATCAGACTGCAATCGTGAACTGGCTTATAGTCGTGTTAGCTAAGCTGACCTTTACACCGACTGATACTCCTGGATTTTTCCAGGAATGCCCTAACACGACTAGAGGGTAGTCTAAGTTGACTGTGTGGATGCTTGAGTATATGTGACCTTTCACAAGTGTTGTTTGTTTACAATCGAAAATGAAAATTAGATTTTGCGTGGTTTAGATGCGAAAGCTGGGTTGAGGTAGACTAGTGCAGGCCCAACCGCTTCCAGAAGTCATGCCGAGTAAGACTGGGTCGGTGGAAGGAATAGCGTAAAGCGTATGGATAACTAATGGTGTATGCAATATTTAATGCTGCAGTGAAAAACTTACGCTGACTAGGAAGCCTGTCTGAACATGGCCAATGTTTGTCCTACCTATTGACAATTAAAGTATGCAGTTTGCATTCTGACTTTTGAAATACAATTATTTGTAACAGGAAAATGAAATAATTTGTTATATGGCACTTAATGAAGATTTATGCATTAAATTTGATTACATTACAAAAAAGGTCATTTGCTATGAAAAACTCATCAAAAGTGCTTGTCAATATTTCACAGGGATAGGATACAGAGCAATGGCTTGAAACGATTATTTGTCAACGTTGTTTCCCCAGCAGATGAAGCATGTTTACCGTTGATAAGGCGTTCCAGAGGTCAGATGTCACAGCATTCTTGAATTTATACTGCTTGAGATAACGTTGGATTCCCAGCATCATGATATCCTGGTCACCATTCATCAAAAAGCTTTGTAACATCTTCAAGATTGTTGCACCCTGGGTAAAATGAGATAGTGAAAAGAGAAGAGAAAGGAAGAGAAGGAATAAAAATACAAAATGTAAACAATCATATAATATTGGTTGGCTTTGGGAGGGATATTAGAATGTATTGCCTGCACCCCAAACACATTGAGTGATTTCAAGTTCGGTGTTGAAAGCTGGTGTTGGTGTTGTGAAAACACCAACACCAGCCACAACACCGAACTTGAAATCAGGTTGGTGTTGGGATTGACCTCGGGAAATATGACGTATTTCCGGTAGTCTGTGTTGAGGGCTGGTGTTGAATGTCGTCTGCTGAACCGAGTATCGCGGTTGGTGTTGACGATATACGTGTAATTTTCCCATTCACCAACACCAGCCCCTAGGGATTGGGAAATTCATGATTTCAAGTTCGGTGTTGATGTTGGTGTTGCAGTAACTATGCAGGTAACTATGCGGACATCTGGCACGAATCTCACGATCATGCCAAGGTAAAAATCCATTTTAAAGTCAAAACAGAAGTAAATCCTGGGAGCTACATATGTATTTCAAGAGAAATGATATTTTATCTATTGATTTTTTAATATGACTTTACATTTGATATTCGACATGGTGTTATTTATTGGAATTTCTGAATGGATTATGCTTTTATCGCAAGACTTTTCGCCTGTAGAGTAGGACGTCACTCGGCGCTGAGGCTGGTGTTGAGCTATCGATAACGCGCACACACGCGCTCACGCGTGATCGGTATCGTTCTTCTAAACTGACCGTCGGTGTTGGAGCTCGGTTCAGCAGCCTTTCCAAGCTCTCAACACCAACACCAACACCAACACCGTACTTGAAATCACTCATTGCCACTTGTCTATTAAAGATGAGGGCAATATTTGTGATATTTCCCTAAATGTGAAGCCAGCGAATACAATCATCATTATCTATATCAGATATATGCTTATTTTGTAGCCATCACAAACAAGTCTGTTTGCTTGTGGGTTGCTCTGGTTTCATGTTCTTCATACCATGCATCTAATCTGACCTGAAAAATCATGACATACTTTGTGTTACCCATTGCGTGTTACAGTGCACATACATTTTGTATTACTGCACACGCATACAGACGGGTAAATAAAAAGGGGATTTCCCCAAAGATATTGTACATCAGGGAAAGATTGCCTATGTTAATGTTTGTCTGTTGGAATGGTTGATATGGAGATGTGGTAAAAAAAACACCTATTGAATTGCCCAGCTCAGAGGCCTGGTGTCATGCAACCTCTTGTGAGATGGGGAAATGTAATGAATGAGAAAGAGAGAGAGAGAGAGAGAGTGAGAGAGAGAGAGAGATACGGAGAGGAGCAGAAGGTTGATGAAGATAAGAGAAAAAAGAAAATAGCACAAAAGATATCAAACCAAATTAAGAGAGATGTGATAATGCTTAAATTTAGTGACACAGATATGCCATTCATGTAATTATTTTTATCAAATATTGAAGTGAGGTAATGAGGTACTGGTATTTTATAATAGTTTTTTAAAAAAATGACTTATTTTTGTATTTTTCTTTTTTCTTCTTCTTCTTCTTCTTCTTCTGGGATACTCCTTAACGTCCTGTTAGGACTAGATGAGGGGGTATGCACTGTGCTTGTTTAGTTCTTATTGCTTGAGTCTTGGTTGCAGAACAAGTTGGTTGCTTGTAGAGTGAAGGTGTTTGAGATGTTTGTTAATTGCATTTTGTCACAGACTTCCTACAGCTAAACATGTTAGGATGCTCGATTTAACTAAGAAAGCAACTTACTTTACTGTATGAGATGGCATCAAATATTTCCTGGATTTGACTAGGATTATTGACTGTCACTGAGATAGGATGTGAATTAGCCTCCTGGTCCTTGCTCATGGCTCTATGGGTAGTTTGTATGATGAACTTATCCATCTGATCAGGGAATGAAAACATTGAAACACAGACTTACAATCAATCAATATATAAGGTACTACTTTAGTCTCTAAATAAACTTTCAGAGGTTGTGATCAGTAATTCTATGATAATAATGATAATAATAAACGTATATATACATATAGATCATTTATAGTGGGCTTCTTTTCTTGTAAATGATTCTGAGGCAAAATGAACACTGAAAGTAAACAATGAGCAATTACAATGTGATTCTGTTCACTTTGTGACATAGAAACAAATCCATGACCCCAGTTGTTGGAGTCTCCCTCAACTAAAATCATAGAAATATGACAACAATAGATTGAGAGTTAGAATACATGAGCATGAGGTGTTGCCAATTCCATCAGTATACGATGCCTATGTTATGTATAGCAAACATTTCAAACGGGACAGAAATTTCAACCATGATTTCCTGCAATTGAGCCACATCCTGTTAAAATACTGAAGAAACAATGAAATGAAACAACATTTAAAGGCATCGTTTAACAATGTTAAATCTGAGATGCATGGCCCTACGTGTTATCAGTGTCTGTAATATGGTATAATATTGAAGCCCTGAAAAAAATCGCGCTTCAAAATGATCAAAAAGTGCCTCAAAAAAGTAAAAATCTTTGAGTGACCGGTTTTACCATACTCGTTTTCCCCAATAGACTGTAGTGTTATGAAAACTGTTTGGCAAACGCAAAATTTGGTTTCGACTTCCATCATAAATATCTTGATAATCAGACAGGCGATCGGCTTGTAAAAGTCATGAGGTTCCTTACTGACCTTAAGGTTCATAATTATCATTGCAGCATGAGCTAAATCCAGGATTTTGTTTCAGAATCTGAGACAAAGTTACCGGATCCCTTTAAGTGAATTGTTGCTCTCACCATGTGCCATTCAGGTCTGAAGTGATCAGCTCCGATGTATTCCACAAACGATGCGAATCCTTCATTGAGCCACAGGTCACTCCACCATTGCATCGTTACCAAATTACCAAACCACTGCGGTGTAAGATAACCAAATCAAACAGTAAATTAACATTCATCAAGGGATATTAAAACTCATACAGAAATTAGAACGAAGCATGCAACACTTTTTCATTTTTGTTCTGTTAAGAAATAAAAATTGTCTTTCACTGCGTTCTTGCAGCTTTTTGGGAGAAAGAGAAATAAGTATGTTATTATACAAACAGAAACATTACTAATTTCTTCAATCTGAGAATACACAAATTTGCAGTGTAAAATGATGTATATGCCGTATGGCATACTATTCAGGAGTATCATTTTAGAATCAAATCCATTAAAAAAAATGATATCAATAACATGAAGCACAATCCTATCAAAGCCGTTTCGTTTTCTGATTGTTCAAATACCTGGTGGCTTAAAGGAATACACTGTAAGACTAGGGGGTCTTTCACAAAGATCGAACTTAACTTAACTCTAAGTTGGACATAAAAGTTATGGAGAGCCATTTGTAGCCTTAAAATAATACATATTCAAAAGCGACAATTATTTAGTAGTGGCCTGATACTCTGTAAATTTAAAACACTCGTGAAATTTGAGAACTTTTCATGTACGTAAAAGTTTCTGGTTTTAACAATTATTCATTACCTGATGTGCCAATTCATGTGTAACAGTAACAACTATCCATGCTTCTTGCGGAGTTGATGTGACATTCGGTTTGTAGAGGACTGATGCCCCTCGGTAGGTGATAAGACCCCAGTTCTCCATCGCTCCTGCCGCAAAGTCTGGAATCGCTATCATATCTATAAATATTTAAAAACAAAAACAAAAACAAAAACAAAAACAAAAACAAAAACACTGAAACAATTAATACACGCATGAAGATTTCATCAAAAAAGAAAGAATAAATCATTTGAGACAGGTAAGAAAAAGATGTACATAGAAACAGTTTAGACAAAAAGAATAAACTTGAATTATATATTAAATATATATTAAATATACATTGCACACCGGTATTTTTCACATTAATAAATTACCATCAAGGCATCATAATAAATGTACATGTAGTCATCAACATAAAAAAGAGGTCAACTGTCTATATCTGTTGATCAGGCATTTCCAACAATCCTAAAAAAGTTATTCTCATAAAGTGATTAAGCATAATAATAATAATAATACATATATATGTGATTAAGCATATTTAAATGTTATACATTTACAAGTACATGTACATCCAAACTTTCAACAAAATTTGACTTCATCAGCAGTATCTTTTCCATCTAAAATCAATTATAATTGACATATAATAGCAAATAATCCATAACATATATGTAAGTATTGCTTCGATGTAGCCAATTAACATTCTTTTGAGGCATGACATTGGATAAATTAGAGCCACATCTGTACTCATCTTAAGTGTTTCTTATTCGTCAGTGTACATGCACTGTCAATACATTTTGTTCCTCCTACAGACAGTCGAAGCAATCAAGCATCAAGGGTAATGCATTTCTGAAGGATAAAGCGTCTCTCTCTCTCGAGTGCGAGTGCGATAAACATGTTTTTCTTGACTGTCACTGCATAATCTCTCCACCCCCTCTTGCTTATGTGCTTCTTCCCCCACTGTCTACTGTCAACATCTGTCTTTTTTCACTCTCTCTCTCTCTCTCTCTCTTTCTCTCTCTCTCTGTCTCTCTCTACCCCCCTCTCTCTCTCTCTCTCTCTCTGTCTCTCTGCCTCTGTCTGTCTGTCTGTCTGTCTGTCTGTCTCTCTCTCTCTCTCTCTCTCTGTTTGTCCTTGGTCTATTATTGCCTGAAGTGTATATGACTTGGGGATGAGGAGAGAGGAGATACTGAGGAATAATTATGAAATTATAAATGTAAATATATAGGCCCATTTACACAGCCCCGCAACCATTCCTGAAAATTTGTACTGTTATTTTACACTAATGGAGAAAAAAAACATAACATACGCAACCTGGCTAATGGCTACATTACCAATAACGGGCATTTTCATGTTGCGTATTAAAGAAGGATATATCTACAACACTTCACGCCCATACATATAATACGTGTGCATCCAAGGGGTGTTCAAAATCAAAACTAACAACACTACAATAAAATACACTGTACAGTAAAAATGAAGTGTAGAAATGTACATTGTTGATTTCATAATTAAACATCTGACACCCTTTTCGCTTGTTAATGAATGGTTGAGACCAAGATTTTAAGTTGGAATTCTTCAATGTTTCATTGTCCAACACGGCACAAAAAATAAACAAAAAATGTTCTAAGTTATTTTCTTTCCTAAATAGATGTGTAAAGATCAAAACAAGGGTCCATTCTCACTTGATAACGAGTGTTTAAAGTACATAAAAAAACAAGTTTGAATAACAGGACAATATTTACTTCATATATGGAATTTAAATTAACTGGATTTGAGGTACCTTTACATTTAACAAAGCTCTATACTAACTAAATTATGCATAGGAAAAATTGATCATTCTAGAAAACCTTTTAAAAACAATTTGGAATTATGTGGGTTTTTTTCAAAAGCTTTCACGGTATCTATCATGCTCTTTAAATAGAAGAGATGTATTGATAATGAAGCACTGAGAAGCAGCGCTAAGTTTATATCTCTATGGATTAGCTTGAGGATATCCTATAATCGCTTAACTTCTTTCTTATCATTTTAGTTTCTGTTTAAACGAAAAGACCTATATACAAGTAGAAGCAAAGAAATTGAAAGACAACATGTAAGAAAAGAAATGCATGGCTTCAATAAAACATACAAAAATTAAAACTTGTTCAATATCACTTTCATTTCATATTTCTCAGCTCCTTCATTCATCATGATCTCATCAAAAACCTTCCATACATGATACTTCCCGATGACTTCTGTTACTTCTAAACAGACTCAATCCATGCATTGTGATTACCAGGCATCCAATTTACTGCAATACGTTAAATATGTAAATCTTGTGCCTCCGTGATGCCATTTCTTAGGCTTAATGGCACAATAATCCAGCCTCAGAACTGTAATTGTTTTTCACACTTATCTAGGAGTGTTCATCTTTAAGTACCGGTAGTCTCTAAATCAAGACAATATTATCTAGTTTGCTTGTACTTTTTAAAAATTATTCTCCTGCTACTTTCATTACAAGACAAATTCATCCTCTTTTATTTATAATAATAATAATATTTAATTTTTATATAGCGCTTAATACAAATGTCTCTAAGCGCTTTACAAATATACTATTACCCCGGTCATTGGATACTTTTTTTTATCTTATTTTGTCCCTTCTAGCAGATGGCAATGCTGTTTATTTTAACTTTATACAAAATTCTCTGAAGATTGCCTCTGTAATGCTATTATCTGTTAATGAAATTTAATGTCTGGTAAGGCTAGACTACAATCCATTACCAATCACCATCAATGGTGCATTAGGAAAGCACATGTATTGACTGAACAAAGAAGATGATATTGAATTGATAATGCATTTGAAAATGAATTGACTGATCGAGGCAATCTTTCGAAGAAATATCTTTACACAGTATGTAAAAATTGCTTTTCACGACTGAGTATTATATAAAAGGCAAATCATCTTTCCCTTTAAGTTTAAGTTTAAGTCTAAATTGTACTAACAGCCCAAATTCAGTTTATTCTATATATAGATCATTTGTGACTTGCATACCGGTATAGCATACACACATGTAATCTTTATTTAATTTCGGGTTTTTATTAATATATTGATATTACTCTGGTGTGTATATATTTTATGTATCTTATTTTTATTGAGAGTACAGTAAAGATTGAACAAGAAAAAAAACCTAGACCTCAACAAACTTAACAAAGAATATATTAGTATTATGATTATGTCACAGCTCTCTAGCAACAATGAATATGGATTTTATTAAAATTCACTGACAAAACTTCATTATTACCACTCTCTCTCAAGAAATCTGTAATGCTAAATGACATTAATATTTACTATTCTCTTGATGAATAGGAATTAAACATGGAGATGAAATTACACTGATTGAATTACATCTGTTGTGAAATGGAGGAGGAAGATCCAAAGGAGCAGAATGAGCAATTCTGTCATGCATTATTCCAAGTATTGATCAAAACCTAGTAGGGACAGGGCATGTACTTAAAGATATCCAATACTACCACTTCTATCTAGATAATGGGTCACGATGCAAGACGTTCAACTGCATGATCTAAGATAGCTGCTGATAGCATGAGCCTATCTGATCGGCAGAGAGCATAATAAATTGAAGTAATAAAAAGAAAGTGGAATGTTTTCATCCTACTCAGAATGCAGCACTTTTCCTCTCCATCTAATGCATATAAGTATAATAATAATAATAATAATAATAATAATAATAATAATTTTAAAAAATAACAATAATAAAGAAATAAATAAATTAAACAAAATAAATCACCTTTTAACATTTTATGATTTCATGGGAACGACACATACCTTGCTTGGGTAGAGGGTATGAGATGTCAAATAACGTCTCGTAGAATGGAATAGTTTTGTTGACGACTTCTAGTGCTAATTCTGCTTGGTTGATCTGATCCACAGGAGCATACATGGAAACCTTGAAAAAAACACACAAAAAAACAATAATAAGTGTAACATATATTTGTCACTTCAGGGGAGTGTTTCACAAAGACTAAGATCGACTTTAAGTTGGACTTTACTATGGCAGGCCTTCATGCCTCTGTTTGCTAATGATCTTTAGATAACATTTTTTCCTTCAATAATGAATTTCAAAAAATGTAAATCCTGTAGATTTGTGACCATAATTTGTACGTCCCTTGGGAGACCAATACCAGTAAATAATGAGAGCAAACAGTGGCATGAACGGCCTGCCATAGTTAAGTCCAACTTAAATTTGATCTTAGTCTTTGTGAAACACCCCCCTGGTCTATACAACATTTTGACATTTAACATGTAAATGAAACTGTCAAAGTGAAATTGCACTTAAAATATTTTCTTTCATCGACAAATTGGGAAAAGATGTTTTCCACGGATATAAAGTTACATTATATTGGGAAGTAAGATGTAGATCTTTTTATCACTTATGTCTTGGATTCACTGCCAATGGCAAGACAGGAGTTAATATCACATTTCACTCCACTCTCAATCTTGTGAAGTTCTGGCACACTGACTGACTGCACACATGTATATTTTATCCTGCATCCTCTCTAGAATAATGGAAAACAGATAATGACATGACGGACGTTTACTTCCTGAGGCATGGTGGAAGTCTATCGATTTGGCCCCTGTGGTCACAATCCATCAATATGAAAGAAATTGCTTCTATGTAGGCCTACAAGGTTTTGGGGTCTGATTCACTTCACTGCAAATGATGCGGCTCATTGTTGTATTCACACACATCTTCTGTTTGTTAATCATAATAACAAATGTATACTTTTATGGTATCATGGTATCATAGTAGAGGTGTCGTGGTCGAGTGGATATGTCACCGGACTGTGGATCATAAGGTCCGCGGTTCAAGTCCGGCCGCAACACTAATCTACATCTGCCACTCTCCACCCAGGCGTTAAATGGGTGCTCGGTAGGATGAAAAAGTTAATGCGGTTAGATGAGTAAAGTGTGCGCTTGTAAAAATGACACCTGGCTGGAATGCTCCCCAGGGAGTGGAGAAAGTGCATACATTGTGTGTGGGTAAGCCTGAATCCGATGACCGGGGTAATATCTGTAAAGCGCTTTGAGAGGGTCTGCATTCCTGAAATGCGCTATATAAGAACGAACTATTATCATTATCATTGACCTGAACTTGATATGATTTTAAAAAAAATAGGATGCATTGATAGCCTCACCCTTCTATATCATTCAATATCAACATTGCATGATTCCAACGAGTGTTTTTAATGTGAGAGAGCCTCTATTGGTATATCTAAGTAAACAGGATTTATCATTTTGCATCCATGGCCCGACTTACACCATGTTAGTGTGCATACTGGTGAGATGGAAGAAACCATTAGATGTACATGTATGAGTACCTCAGGCATTATGAGATCACAGGCACCATGCTACTAAATGATGTGACCTGATATGGGTTTAGTCATGAGAATCATGCCTGGGTTTCACTTAAAGCAAAACTCTGACTAACCAGGATGCATGGTACTTTTTCTGATAATTTTTTCAATCTCGTCTCTTCTTACTTACCTTTAAAAAAAAAACCATTGTGGACATTCATCATAAAACAAGTAGAATAGATATATAGATAAAAGACTGATGGAAAAACAACGATTATAAAGCAAGATGAAGAAGATTCATTAGAAAAGACAATTAAAGCAATCATGGTGTAAGAAGAATCTTTTGTCTTGCACTATTTTTCATTCCACAAACTTGTTCTTATACCGATTCTCCCATCATCAATCATATTTCTTCTCCCTTTCATTTGGCATACAACAGTCAAACATGCTTAAGTGACCAACTGTCTACAAAGGCCACATTTGTTGTTTCCCTTGAAAATGGTTTCTCATTGAATCATGTACAAGGTGTACTATTAAAAGGAACCTGTCTACAAAGGCCATTTTTTGTGTTTCCCTTCGGTGGTTGCTATAGAAAGATTTTTTTACTATACTCACCTTGGTGCCGGTGCTTGTGACGTCATCAATACTGATGAAATCACACACAACAAACGCTACCAGGTAAGTGCTCATAGGAACAGTGGTCTGGTAGGTATCCAAGAGGAGTGCTGTCTCCTTATAGGTTTCATTCTTGGTTTGTGCTGGCATGTTGAAGAGTGTGATATGATCCTTATCATGGACTATCTTCAGTGAGAACTTGGCTTTCATGGCTGGCTCATCAAAGCATGGGAATGCCTTTCGAGCCGAGGTCGACTCAAATTGTGTGGAAGCCATAGTTCTGAAATGATATCAACATTGCACTTTACTTAATATGATGTATTCAATATACTGTTACTACTAGTATATTTTGTATTTACAATTCAGAAATAACAAAGATTGGACTTATTAAGCTCTTGTTAATTCATACATTTGACTTTTAACAGTGGTGGTGGTTATTTTACCCGACAGGTAAGAAAGCAATAAATGCTTGTTAATAAGCAAACAGAAGACCGACAGCTTTAGGTCCTCTCTGAGGGATCTGGTAACAAGGATTAGTGCCTTGTTAAAGGGCACTAGCGCATCGACTTGGCTTCGAACCTGGGTCACTGGATTACGAATTGCTCTACCGCCTGAGCTATCATGCCTCCTAATACATGTATGTAGCATACAAGGAACAGCTGTACAACATGTACAGGGTAAATATATTTTTTCAAATGCGGCAACAAGAACAAGTATGTGTGTAAGAATGTAAAACAAAACAAAACAAAAAACAAAAAAAAGTGGTCTTTGTAGACAGGTTTCTTTAGTACATGTTTCAATGAGAAACCATATTCAAGGGAAAAAAAATGTTTTCTTTGTAGACAGGTGGTCACTAAAGCAGGTTTGACTGTAGTAGTTTCTTTTAAAGGGCAGACATGTCAGTGAAAAGGTGACACTCCTGATACATGTTTCTCATGACCTTTACCCTATGAGGTATATAAACGGCAGATGGACATTTGCTTGCAAATTAACTGTTCCTTTATAGATGAATTGTAGTACCTTAATTAAAATCAAACTCATGATGGCATGTATAATGTCACACCTTTTGTACATGCAATTTTCACTTTTCAATGATTATATGATAGGCCCCTTTTTTGGTTTCATAAAAGCAACACACATGTGAAACATAACGTATGCATTGCCATGCACGAGCTGTCACTGTCAGTCGATATTGTGACCTCGGTCGTAAACAAACAGCAGTGCAAGATGAGAAAGAGGGGAGCCAGCACATTAATACAAATTCAATGATACTGGTTATTTATTTGAGTCTGCTGCTCATTTGAAAACCTCACATTTCTCCACCTCGTTCAAATTATGTAAATGAGTCTATTATAAACTGTCTGATTGTCCTGGTGTGTGTGTGTGTGTGGTTGAGATGCGGGTTGATAGACAACCGCTGCTTCAGGGATGACTGCTCCAGATACACACACCGACCACAGTGTGTTATTGTGAGGCTCACTTGTTTTTCTCAAGCAGGGGTATTATTCAAATTGTGCTCGACTTCCCTAATTGTACATGTCTGTCTGCATGATAAAGCACACTCTTGTCTAGAATAAGGCCAATGAGGTAAGACAGGGTGCACCAGTGACCGATACTTGCTCTGATGTCTGACAACTGTTTCAGGCTTTATTGTGTCAAAGATAAAGGGTATGGCTAATGATGACAATGGGTTTTAGGTTACATGTAGGTGTAAGGTTAGATATATAAATGCTTGGTCTATGTTAGTTTAGAATTTTGGTTAGTATAGAATATTGATCATGGAGGAAACGTTGCTGTACATGTGTTGTCCAAAAGAAAGCAGATGTATTATTGCTTCTTGCATACGACTAATGATCGGTAAAATTATTGATTTGGGGCTATGTCATATATTTCTGTTTCAATTCTAGGTACATGGACTGTGTTTTCTCTTTTGCTGGGAGTCTACAGTCAAACATTAGGGACTTTTAGATTTGCGTGGACTGATACGTGTGACGTCCATTCAAGGCAGTGCATTAAAAGGACGTCGATCATATCAATCCCCATTGTCTTTGTGCGAATCTAAAAGCCTCTAATGATGTTTGAATGCATTCAACAAGTCCCATGTTGAATACTACTTAGGAAGATTCAAAGTGAAATTTTTGGGGAGGGACTTTATTGGAACCTACCCCTGCTGAGCCCTACATACAACTCAACAAATAACATCTTGCAGACTTACTACAAACATGTACATTTAACTACATACTCATACAGAGTTTTTAAGATGAAAGAGAGAGCCTTAAGTATAATTTCTAATATGTGGTATGTTCCTGGTTATCTAATGCTGATGTAAACATAGTAAGAATCTCAAATCACATTGATGAAAGAAAAATGTGTAGCCGATACACAATAGCTATGCATTAAATATCTGAAATATGACCCTATGATGATGACTAAACTACATTGTAGCACACACAGTCTCTACCCCATTTCCATTTTATTCCTAGACAGACTTACGGACTGACTTAAAAATGAGTCAGTTGCTGATTCTTCTACTCTATGTATTCTACGGTGAGGTAAAATTATAAAAAAATCTGATAAAAATTTCATTTGGCAATTGACTGGCGCCTAACAAACATAATGACTATCCAATTGGAAATGCCTAACACTGTAGGGCTTGATGGCATTAAAATTCAATTGAGCAAGGAAGGCAGTTTTCTACCTTCCCCAACCTAGCCCCTGGGCTCTCAAGATGATCTCGAGTGTCTGATGAAAGCACATAATGGATGCTGATTCATAAATGACTCAAGCTCCCCTTCACGCATTGCTTTCATTTTTCTTTCTTTGACAATGGCACTAAGTGCTCAAGATTCTTTACCTGAAAATATGATTTGCATACATATAGCAATATTGAGTTAGTATTCACTCTACTTGCAAAATTTTTTTTTTTTTTACAAAATTGCTTTGCACATATTCAGTAGTGTTTTTCATACAACTTGGATTTTTTATATTTCTAAATGCCATCATGGTAGTTATTGATATTTGATTACATGTAATTTAAGATATTTTGGATTGATCGCCCCTCCCCTTGCCCTTTTACCTATCTACAGTACTGTTCACATACTTGCATCTAAATTTGCATTCATAAATGTTTACAGAGGGTAGCATGGACAAAATTTATTCAAATTACGATATTCTATACTGTAGGTAATTTTCTTGATGTAATCAAATTAAATGCACTAAGCTTTGATAAGTGCTTCGTTACAAAATTATATGATTCACCTGTTACAAATAATTGTATTTCAATAGTCAGAATGCGAGTTGCATTACATGTACATGATGTTAGGTAGGACAAGCCAAAATGTTTGTTCTACCTGGCAACGATTAATTTATGCAATTTGCCTTCTGACTACTGAATTACAATTATTTGTAACAGGTGCATGAAATAATTTGTAACAAGGCTCTTATCAAAGATTAGTGGTTTCAATTTAAACATCAAGAAAATGACCTACAGTATAGAATATCATAATTTGAACAAATTTCGCTAGTGTTTTCACACTTGTTATCCTTTCCCATGCCATGAACACTAAATTTAAAACTAAAAGTAAAAGTTTCAAATGGTTCTACATGTAGCTTGCAATTATTCAGAGTAAGTTTCTTGAAATTTCAGGACCAAAGCTTGAAGAGAACGAGGACATCGCTGCTTCAACTCATGCAAAGCAATGCCTGTGAAAGATGAAGGTTTTGACTTCCACAGGGATAACTCATCCATTGAATCTTATTCGCATCAGTAGAACTGGCATTCAAATGATATTGTCGAGCACTATATCATAATTGCATCCACGATCTGATTACATTGAAGCCGTGATGTGATAAGCACTCTCCAGTCTATGTTTTCCCAAAGCTTTGAGAACTGTAGGCATACATGTACATGCTTTAGATAGTGCAGTTACAGCAGCATCACTACCAAATGTTAAATCAGGGCAAATAATGTGCATGTTCTCTTGGTAAATGGATGCACAAAACTAAATTTTGAAAAAAAATCTAAAATCTTGAGAATTATTCGAGGGAATGTGTAAAAAGGGCATCTAACAACATTCCCCCGCCATTTGAGTAAGAAAATTGTGAAAACATGGGGGTAATAGAGGTACAATTGCGGGGGGGGGGGGGGGGGGGGGAAGAAATCAGGGGGAAAAAAAGAATCGGGAAATCGATTTAAATCGGGTAATGATCAGGCCTGATGTGTATTCAAGTCAAATAGTTTCACGTGAGAGAGTAAATTATGAATTTCATACTACAATTGGTCCACAAACATTTTTCGCTTTTTCCAAATACTGAAGTGAAAATTGTCAACCATAAAGTACATTCATCCGATAATAGCCTACTGTGCACTTTACTTTGACATTTATTAGAGAGCAACAGGGAAATCAGTATCCCATTAAAGCTTGAAGAACTATTCAAATAAAATGCCTGCATCAACTACTGTACATACATGTACATGTGCGTGCATTCACAACCTCAATTGATATCATGATCTGTATTAATGAATATGAGAAGTCATAATGTCCTTTAATGTACTTTAATGTACAGTATGGCAATATTCAAAACATGACATTTAAGAACTGCCTCGAAGCTAGACATTCTTGAATGTTGAACTGAATGTGCTGCTTCCTCCATTAATACCTAATATACTGTATGTGGCATCCATCTTAATCTGTATGGTTGATATGATCATCATGATTTTTTTCATTCCACCGATTTTTTTTAACTTTAACTTTAAAGTTTGAGAATCAACTTATTACGAGGTTTATCTGAATTGAATTAGGGTGAAATAGAAAGGTTTATCTCAAGTTCGTCTCCTTATTTTGCTACAAATATATATCTACATGTACATGTACATGTTTGTTTACAAAGTCATCTTATATTTTGTGTAGCTTTTGATTAAATAATTATTTACTTTTTAATCGTTCAAAGAGACAACAATATTCAACATTCCACTTAAATTTAGGAGTATACCTGTACACATTTACATGTGTAAGGGTAGTCAAATTAGCTTTTCTTTATTGTGTACAGTTGACAACTAAATTATTCATACCCTAACCATGTTTTGAAATGTTTCAAATACACTGTACCTGTATGTGAAAAAATTATTTGTGTTGATTTAAGTCTCTTGTGAATGTGACATATTATTATTGAACTTACATGTACACTGTACTATACATCTAATTTATTCAACAAAGACCCTAATTCAACAAGTCCACATTTTATTCTTGAGTTATGAAAAAACACCCCCCCCCAAAAAAAAAAAAGAGGTACTAACTACTGTAGTTGTTAAATGTATAGTATTATTTATTTATTTATTATTACAATTTTGGTATCCTGTGCGTTAAGCTATATCAGATTATAAAATGAACGTTTTCAAGCAAAAGAATTTCTTCATTTGAATACCGTAAGTGGTTATCATCCATTCTTTTTTTAATTTTCATTTCATTTTTTTTTAATTGTATTTAATTTGAAAATTCCATTCACCTATTTCTTGTAAATGATCAAGGGTGATTCTTGAATGATCAGTTATTTCATGGGGATACTAATTAATTCGTATTTTACCTGTTTCTATGCTTGTGTATTTATCTATGTTGTTTTTTATGCTGTTATTTGTTTTATTCTTACCAAACAGGGTCTCATGGAAGACCACCAAAATGGTGATATGTGCCACCCTGAATATCAGAAATAAATAAATAAATAAATAAATATGCAGGTTAACAAATAAAGCCTTTTTTTCCTTCACCTTTGAGGTGACCACTTTGTCACTTGTTCACAGACCCCAACGCCCCAGCTATTTGTTAGGTGCAGGTGCTTCTATTGTGATTGATGGATTCTATCAAACAAAATGGTGACCTGAAATCTCACATACAATGTATATTTATTTGGTTGCACAGGAAATTACCAATGCCATTCCAGCGTCTACTCATATTGATTGACTGTCATGTCGTCTCTAGACCTGATTTGGTTAATGCCACAACTACAATATCATCCCACGCCCACTGCCGGATCTGAAAACAAGATCTTTTCCCAGAATTCTGTCTGTTTCATGAATAAAGTAGCTTCAATTATTTTTATCTTTATATATTATTACTTATTTGAATTCATGTATTTGTTTATTTGTTTGCTTGTTTATGTGTATTCTATTTTTACAGGGTAGCATTGTTACAACTAATTGTCCCTGTTGGCCTATAAAAAATAATATGATTTTAAAAAGTCTGATTGAAATTATAGAAACATTTATGGCTAAGTTCTATATAACGTACAACATGGACCAAATAGTGATTTAAGGTAAACTAAGAATAATGTATCAATAATAAAGGCTAATTCAAAGAATATCATTGAAAAATACAACAATTCAAAAAAAAATATTAAAAAAAGCAAACAGAAAAAACAACTTAAGACTATAAACCTAACCATACCATTACAACTGTCATCATCCAGGAAAGAAAATAAGTAATGTGGAGGGTAAAAAATGATTGGATAACAAAAGTACCAACAGATTTCAGAATGTTATCAATCTCAATGTTTTGTAGTTGATATTACATGTATCATCAAGTTGTTCCTTCACTGTGTCCTCAATTATATCAATGTCAAATGAATGATGTACAGGTTGTGAAACTTGTGACAAACACTAGTAGAACAATGTATGTAAGAGAACTTTAGAGAAGGGAAAATCAATTTTCATTGATGGGGAATGTCAAATGACTAAAAAATCATAAAAAGGGAAGTTATATACTTTATGTGAAAGTTATCAGACCCTAAAATATTAGTTTACAGCATTGAACGATTCATCTAAAGAGATCTAACATCAAACTGACAATGGACCGAGCAAGTATACAAACTAAAGTGCTTTTTATAAAAACAACTTTCACTTTCAGTCAGACAATAATTTGATATCAGGAATACAGTATATTGTCTATTAGGAGCCAGAAAGGCACTAACTCATAAACTTCAATACAGAGTCAATGCCCTGCTCAGCTCTACAGTCATTAATACTTGAAACTTGACACTCTGGAAACAGGAAAAAATTGTTTGCCTTATTGTATTTGCATTTTTATTCTCAATTATTAAAGTCTTTAAAAACCTAAATATTTATACCTGTAATTAAAAATTTGACACATGAGCAAGTGCACATGTATCTATAGAAAGAATTCAGAATTCAGAATTCAGAATTCAGGATCCCACCTTGCAGTGTTTTCTTGACACTGACTTAACCTGGAAATGTAAGAAATAATATTTTTTTCCTTTTTTCCTCCATTCTATTCTTTTTCCTCCATTCTATTTTATTTCTTGATACTTGATTTATTCTGGGGCAAATTCAGTTTTTCTTTTACTTCCTTACATAATGGGGACTTTACCAAAAATCCTAATTACAGTTCTTATACATGTACATACCGGGGATACAAACAAATTTAACTTTAGCTTCATCACAAGATAATGAGAATAAACCATTATCTGTTGCAACCCGACTCGTAACCGGTATAAAACTATCATGGATTGGATTTCATACTTACACTGGATTTCCATTCTTTTTATAGGAGCTCCTGTAGAATCCATCCAAACCCTCTGCTAACGTGTAGTTGAACTCTAATGTCAGGATACAGTGCACATCGTTGCTGATAGGTTTCTCAAAATGAACAGATATCTGCTCGTTTTTCTTGAAGAAGAGGAGCTTCTCAACAGCAACACTTGCCTCTGGTTGATCAACTAACTCTATTGATTCTGGCATGAGGATGGATATGTCTTTGGCATGAAGTATAAGGAAGGATATCTCCTCTGTCGTGTTAAAGTGAATGACAACATTGCCCCGTACTTCAAACGTTGAGAGGTTAGGATGTAAGAAGATTTCGTACTCAAAGGGATTGGCAGACGATGGGAGCCGAATTTCATTCCATGGAAACCGTTCGCCATTTGTTGCAGTTGCCTGTGTGGGAGCCACTGCAGTTGGTGGTGCTACTTTAGTCGTTGTAGCTGCTGATGCCGTGGTAGTTGGCTCTGTTGGTGGACTAGTCGTTGCTTTGATTTCCTGTGCATCGTTATGGCACTGAACGCCATGTTTGTCCAGTTCATAGATTGTAACAGACGCTACAAGAAACATTACCAGGAGCATGATGACTAGAACAGCAATCACCTTGTTCTTTGTACAGTTTGTGTTTGGGAGTCGCACCCGTGATTTGGTTCTGGCTCTGGTGGGCTCGATCTGTACCTCCACTTCTTCCCGTGGTTTAAAAGCATCTGGCTGGGAATCCAGATCAAACTGATCACTGACATCATCGCTCTGCAGCTGTCTGTACGACGTCATTGTGAATGCTTGCCACCCACCGTATCTGAGGACAATTAAAAGAAAAGAATCAATAAATGAAAAACAAAGCTGACCCTACAATATTTGAAATAGTTTTCATACTGACCTACTTGTTAAGGTTGCTGGTTTAAAACAATTTTTAGCTAAACAATGGTGTTGTGATCGCATCAGCCACTAACACTGAATTTGCCCTGCCCCAGTTTGTTGCTTGAATGATTCTGTGGTGAACCTGATGAGCAGGTACTATTGTTTAGAACCAGTAACCTGTAGATCCACCAAAATGTATGCATACTTCTTGAACAAAAGTTGCCATTGAAAGTTTTTCTTTTCTTTTCAAAAGGTCAATTTACAGCTGTTTTGAAATAGGCCATTTTTGTAATGTAACCAAATTTAATGCATACTGTAAGTCTTTGTGAAGTGCCTCAATACAAATTATTTCATTCACCTGATAAGAATAATAGTATTTCAATAGTCAGAATGCAAACTGCATATATTAAGTGTTGCTAGGTAGGTCAAGCAATGTTTGTCCTACCTAGCAACACTTAATATATGCAGTTTGCATTCTGACTTTTGAAATACTATTATTCTTATCAGGTGAATGAAATAATTTGTATTGAGGCACTTCACAAAGACTTATGCATCAAATTTGGTTACATTACGAAAATGGCCTATTCTATCATCATCATACATAATAGGTCAAGGAAATAGTTTGCCACTAAGACCCCGTTTACAGTGAGAAAAGGGCCAGGGCCGGGCCAGGCATACTCAGCCCCGCAATTTTGTACGGTTACAGTGCTAGGCCAGGCCGCGGCCTGGCTCAGAACCTTTCAATATTTTTTTTTCAGAGTGGCGCTCTGCATGTAAACAAATGATTATTTAGGGAGCGCGCCGGGGGTCACAGTGCGCGATTTGCAGTGAATCTTTTCCCCAATTTCCTATACACGGCCAACTTTCACTTCCGGGGTAACAGGGCCAGGCCACAACCTGGCCCTGCGTGCGCTTACAGTGAGAAAATGCCGGGCCAGGCCACGGCGGAGACTACCTCCAGAGCAGGGCCAAATGCGCGGCCGGTTTGGCCTCGCATTTGGCCTTTTGTGCATTCACAGTGCGAGGCTAGGCCCGGCCTTTTGCTCACTTTATCAGGGGTCTAAGAGTTCTGGAAAGAAACATCCATGAATTTGATTGGTAAATAGGTTAAATAACAGACCTTGTACAGTACATTTCAACACTTACAGGGTGTATACATACATGTACTGTACGTTGTATGTCAACAATGTCAAGAATGTCTTCGCATTTTTTCAAAAGATCTGTTATTGTTTGTTCTTGGTTTGGATGCTTTTAATGGTCAGAAAATGGTACACCTGTTCTTGTTGTTGTTGTTGTTGTTGTACTATTTCATACTTCATGTATACACAAAAAAGGGGTGTTAAGCATAAGCTTGAAGTGACATCCTACAGTACCGTATCGAGAATGAAAATAAAAATACATACATTTACAACATGAAGCGATGCATGCAAATTAGGTTTATAGGAAGGAAGAAGGAAGGAAGAAAGATGGAAAAAGAGTGTGGGTAGAGAAATATTTACAGAAGGTAGCATAGACAAAATTTATTCAAATTATGATATTCTATACTGTAGGTAATTTTCCTGATGTAATCAAATTGAACGCACAAAGCTTTGATAAGTGCTTCGTTACAAATTATTTCATTCATCTGTTACAAATAATTGTATTTCAATAGTCAGAATGCGAGTTGCATTACATGATGTTAGGTAGGACAAGCCACAATCTTTGTTCTGCCTCGCAACAATTAACGTATGTAATTTGCATTCCGACTATTGAATTACAATTATTTGTAACAGGTGAATGAAATAATTTGTAACGAGGTACTTATCAAAGATTAGTGCATTCAATTTTATTACATCAAGAAAATTACCTAGACCTACAGTATAGAATATCATAATTTGAAGAAAACAAATTTGCTCATGTTTTTCCACCTCTTATCATTTCCCATGCCATGAACACTAAATTTAAAACTAAAAGCAAAAGTTTCAAATGGTTCTAGCTTGCAATTATTCAGAGTCCATTTCTTGAAATTTCAGGACCAAAGGCTGAAGACAGAGGGACAGAGAGGAGCAGGGAGGGAGAGAAAGTTACATTCATGATATATTTTAAATATGAACCCCCTGTGACTGCCTGTGAGAAACAAATGTATGGAACCCATTGGAGTGGGAGTGTCGTGGTTGAGTAGTTTAAGGTGCTTGACTGGAGATGTGAAGGTCGAGGGTTCGAATCCTGAAACGGCACTAATATCCTTTGGCAAGATATTAACCTGCATTTGCTACTCTCCACCCAGGTTTTAAACGGGTACCCGCTAGGATGCGACCATTATTGTTGGTCAAACAGTCTTTGAGCATCAAGTAATGCCTGGCTGGAATGCTCCCCAGGGAGTGGAGATTGTGCACACAGTGTGTGCAGGCAAGCACTGAATCCGATGACCGGGGTAATAGTATATTTGTAAAGCGCTTGGAGACATTGTATAAAGCGCTATATAAATGCTAAATATTATTATTATTATTATTATTATTATTGTATAAATGTATACAAATAATTTGTAATTATACAATTTATACATGCATGACTGTTAAAAATAGATAATGGACAGGTAATCCCTCACTTAATTTTGTTTTGAAATGTTGAATTATTATATACATTGTACACGTAACTTAATTTCTCAAACTATGAACATGCAGTTTATTGTTTTCAATTCATTCCCACGTAATTTATCAAACTGCTTAGTTTATTGGCAAGCCGCACAGGTTATCATATGTATATTCTTGTACAAAATGATGTTTTACTTTTACACATGTGTATACATGTATCATTGCTGGTTACAATATTAATACAAGTGTCTACATGTACTTCACAGGGGAATTTCACAGCTAAAATGGTAAATTTAAATAAATAATTGATCATACCTTAATCCTTTAATGAACTTCATGTTGTTTAACTACACAGCTCGTGAGCTCGATGAATATGGCATACCCCCAATTCATAATCACAATGACACAGACCTCAATAATCCAGGATACTAGGCCATGACAATCTTTTCTCTCTCGTAATGCCTTGTACACATATGTTAAAAACACACTTACTGTTGGCAAACTCAAGGTATAATAAATCACAACCATGAATCATGAGTTTTTTTTTTCACTGTTACATCTGTTAGCATATTCACAGTTCAGCAGGCATTAAAGAGAGGAAATGCTAAATGTAATCTTCAGTTATTAAAGCTATGTTGTTGTGATTATACAATATCCCAAAGTGTATATTTAGGAAGTAAAAGCTACAAAATTACAAATCATCTTCAGTTGACATGGGTCATACAGCAACTTCTTATTTAAATCATTTGTCAAGACTAAAAAATAACAAAACATTTTTTGGCATCCTGTACAGGTTTTTGTTTCTTTATAATCTGCAATTGTTTATGTATTTTGGCAATTTTAGCATATATTTCTACATGAAAAAGTACTGTAATTTTATGTTAATCTATAGTCACCTGACAGGCAGTCCCTCTCTGAGCTCCATAATTGTTCAGTTGTTACTACTTCACTTCTTGGTTAAAAGCTACATATGTACCTGTACATGTATATATACCATAATAGTTCGTTTGATGTATAGTCAGGATCATCCTAGTTCATTTTGGGTCTGTTTTGTTGGCTACACATACTTTGAAAAATCTTATTTAAACAGCACTAGTTTTGCAGCTTGTCTTTTTGACTGAACCACCATTTCAAGTTCGCTCATCCAGATCCTCCATTGTCTTCATGAATAGTTCCTGGGCCCTATTTCATAAAACATGTTATCAATAACAAATGATAAATATCTACGACAAATTTTGCTCTCAGCCAATCAAATGCCACGATTTCAGTAGCTTATAACAGTTATCATAACTTGTTATTGATATCAAGTTTGATGAAACAGGGCACTGGACACAAAAGTGAAGTCAGTCAACCGGATAGCCATTGTGCTTTAAAATGTCTACATGCACTGGGAAGGAATGAACTGGGCAGCGTCTCACGAAACCGTCATAAACTACAAGTTCACTGCCATCCCATTGAAATGCGTGTATTAACTTTAACACGCGTTTCAATGGGATGTCGGTGAACTTGTACTTATGACGGTTTCGTGAAACGCTGCCCTGCAGTCTATATCGGCCCTCATGTATTCAAGTGCAGTAGCAATGAATGTACTGTACAGTGTACAGATCCATGTATTTCTATATTAGGAGTAGACTCGGGTCTAAACCTATCTAATAACTTCATTCCTTTCTTACCAGCTCTACTGGAAAATGCAATCATTAATTTGCAGTCAAGTTTTTAGATATATCTTCAAGACTTCAAATGTCTCTCTTTAGATGGTTGTTTCAAATTAAATGCCTACACTGCTATCTCAAGTTTGGGTCTGTCTGGGAATGTGGTGGAAAATCCTTTCAGCTATTGAACGAGGGAGCATAATTCTCTTTAGATAACACCTGGGCAACGTAACAAAAAGTAAAGTTGGCAAATTATTGATTGCTATTTTGCAATTGTTCATGATGTACAATGGTAGTGTGAATTATTTGTGCATGATCCAAGTTTGTACACAGTACCATATCTCAATAATATGAAGCGCACCAGCATGGTGAAAATGTAATTTTTATTTGAAATCTCGCAGTGCCGCAAGAGATATCTAGTGGTGCCGCGAGAGAAATTTAGTTAAAAACAAATTTATTTTTTTGGAAGAACATCTATTTTGTGAAACACCCAATATTAGAAGCTGCTAGAGTATGTAATTTCACAAGGAAATAGCATTTTAAAGATAAAAAGTTTATTTCTTCCTCACTCACAGTATTTAGAAACAGAATGATCTCTGGCAGCAAAGTGCCTAAATACCCCCATATTTTTGCAACAAGGTGCCCGCATACAGTGTACATTGTTTTATATCTTATCTAGTGTTCTGATTACAGAAATAATTTTTGAACATACAGTATATTAAAGGTGTTATTTTTTGTTATTGTTTGCAACAAATAACGGGCCATAGGTGTGTACATGTACAAGGCACTTGACAAGTTGGATTCACAATTTAAAGCGCCCCCATCGGTAGACCGCGGCCAAATTTTTGGCTCTTAAATTGATATCTTTCGACCTTTGCAGCACAGCAAACCGCTAGCCACCAATCGATATGACCAAAGGGGTCCTATTTGTGTAAATTTATTTAACGAGATAAATTATTCCGATATCAGGGCAAATTTGTCAGTGAATTCAGATTTCAAAACCCACCCATCAATTAATTATGACAGATTATATAGCTTGATTTTAAAAAAAAAATTAATACAAAGGCCATTTTTGACCAAAAAGTGACAGAAATTACCATTATTGTTGTTGATGGCAGTCAGTTTGACCACTTTATCTAGCATCAGGTCACAATTGTATATAAATTGGAGAAAAGGCCCATAAAATCTCCTTTGCTGATAAACCTAATAACGATTTGAAAAATTATTTGACCAAGAGTGACTATAATTCTATGGTCAGTTTTCCCAACACAGAGGCCAAAATATTGAGAAGGGTCGATAAGACCCCATTTTTTAAAACCCTGGTTAAGCTATTTAAATCTTCCCCACCAACAGTAGGATGGGCCGAGAATAAGGATCGTCCCCACAAGTGAGGATTGTCTTCATAAACGCGGACAGATTCGTCCGCAAAAATAAGTCTGTTTTTCGCATCGCCAGGGTGCAGATTGGGAACCCCAAACCCGCAGAAGAATATTTTTTAGGACGCACTTTGTCCGCGTATACAAGAATATTCTTGTTTATGCGGACGATCCTCATTCTCGGACCTGCGCCCTAGCTACAGACCAAATACTCTGATCAATACCCCTTATCTCCTCCTAGCTAGGGCACATCAAAGCCTAGCCACAGCTGATATGATGTTGACTTTTTCCAGGATGCATCATGTCAAATCCACTAAACACTGTTGTGGCTAGATAGATCTAGTGCAGCATGCTGAGGCTCGTGAATCCACTGTGATCAATATTCTGTGATGAATTTGAGATTGAATTGGGGCGATATGTAACTTGTTATTTCTGAAAAGGGTGTTACTGCACTTGAAACCTGTCTATATCATGATTGTGTAGATCTAGCCTATTATCTACCACAGTGGCACAGACTTAATTGGGCTTGACCCTTGCATCGCATCACTGGCACTGCACCTTCGATCGTGATCACACATTCATGCAAGCTCCATAGAAATACTGGTACTGGTATATATATGCGGGTAGAAGTCTATCACTTGATTTGGTAACCTTGCATAATATACCATAAATTTATATACGGTATAGGGTCTATAGTTTAGTAAAGACTACCGGTATAATTTTTTTTTTTAATACAGAGCTAGGGTCTAGTGCAGAGACATTGGAATGCCAATGAATGGCAATGATCAATCAGAAATGGCAAAAAATAAATTATAATAGGGTCTAGTCTAGTAAACATGATAAAAGAGAAAAGTTAATTAATGTTCATAATTATATCATATAAAGTTTGTATTTAGAAGGAAAAAAATAGTTTATGAGAATATTCAAAACTGACGGACTGCCATACATAGACGCTAAAATATTACAACCACCAACAACATGCATCTCAGCCAGAGCTGGTCGATCGTGATACAACAGAACAGCTTCAGAAAGTGCTCGCTAGCCAGGCGAGGAGGCGAGGCAAAGGTGCTGGCACCGACTTGCCCGCTGACCTGGCCTGGCCTGGCCTAATCCTCCACGTACAACGTTGATGCTAGCCAGGGCTCAAAGCTAAACAGTCAATTTTTATATTCATATTTTCGTCTAATAATTAGCAGGTATAATATACATACCAAAAATGACAAGACGAAATGTTATATTCTGCTCAAAACTCAAAGAGTCTGATTGCAACTTCTGCTTCTTCGGATATCAATTGGCAAGTAGACAACGTCGGTTCGCCGAGAAGAACTGAACTAGCTCGATCGCTGCATGATGATGAGTATAATTGCTGATGTGAAGAAAAAAAATAAGAAAAAAAACTCCGGTGTATCCCAGACAGTATACAACAAACTAAGAAGCAAAACAATAGAAACAAGAATCCGTGATGTAAAGGACTCTATTCAATTAAACAACTCTTTTTAGCTTGTTTCTTTGTTCTTTGTTTGTATACCATCATCATCATCATAATATCATCATTATGCACATCACCACCACCATCATCATCCTCCTCCTGCTCCTCCTCCTTCATCTTATTATCATCAACATCATAATCATTTTTTTCCTTCTTCTCATTAATATGATAATTATTATTATCATCATTATTATAATCATTATCATTATTACCATTATAAGTTGTGTATTACCTAGTACATAGAAGTAGTAGTAGTAGTAGTAGTATAGTAGTAGCAACAGTAGTACATAAGAAGTAGTAGTAATATTTATCATTTTTATTATTACTACTACATGTACTACTATTATACCATTATAAATACTGTCATCATCATCGATGATCTGTTCTTACGACTTAAATATAGGCATATAGGCCTTTAAAAAATAAATGTAATAAAATTATTTAGAGGGGGAAGGGGTATTAAAACTTTCAAGGTAGGATAGTTATAATTATAGTTACATTTCTCATGTGATGGAAAATGAACTAACATATGTTGTTTCTGTCGTACCATCCCCCCCCCCCCCTACATTTTGTATTATATTCACTGAAAAGATAATAAAAACAATATAAAGAAAAAGAATGTTACTTATCAGAAGAAAACATTCTCTTTGCTATATTCTAATGTCCTATGTACCCTGCTACTATAAAGGTTTTTCCATCATCATAATCATCTCAATTTCAATACTCCCAACTATGTACAGCTCCTTGTAATTGCTCAATTCATGTTTTACATTCTATATTTCTCCCCCTCCCCCCATCACCCTTTTCAAGCTGTGACTTTTTTAACTCCTCACATCATCTCTCGTTCTATTCTTCAGCATCTTGCACATTCACTGGACATTCCTCCTTATACATAATTCACCCACTTCTTCTCTATACATGTACTTGGCATTTAGTTCTGGTAATAAAACAATTTTATATTTTTTACTGTTTATTTATTATTATCAGTCAATATTTGTTATCAATAGAATGTTACATCATAAAATATTATAAAGGATCAATCAAAGTATTCTCCATTGTGTTCTGTACTTGAAAAATTGTAAATATTGTTGGTGGGGTGACAAAACCTTGTATCTCAATTTTTGAGATTTTGATTTTTTTGCATAATTTTGTACCTAATGGCCTACGACACCACCTGATAAATCCATGGAACGCCTCCTTCTCGGTTTTTTTTCACAAATTCCACACAAACACCCTTAAACTAAACGGCCTAACAGTACCAAAGTTAGTGTATTCAAATCCTCGCAACTTATTCAACCAAATCCTCGTAACTCGTTCAGAGTTGGAAGTAAAAACTTGTATCTCAATTTGAATAAAAACTAAGAGCTCGTATCTCGATGTAGATAAACGCAAAAACCTTGTAACTCACTTTCAAATATAAAAACAATTATTTTACTATATTTCAACAATGACATTAAAAATTGTATAAATATTCCAGTTTTAAAAAGAAAGGACGGTGTCACAGCACTAAATTTGTTGAGACAGGAAAGTTTTTTCGCTTTCCTGAAAATTCATGATTTTTGAGATACGAGGTTTTGTCATCCCACCGACAATATACTTTTTCCCAAAAGAAAATTTTGAAACATGCCTCCCTCCCCCGATAAAGTCATTTGAAATTCCTTCATTGACATTATGATAGATGGAATTAATGACATTTTCTGTCCATGGCCACTCTCATATTCACATCCCTTTCTTCAAAATAACATTTCTCTCCATTACACTCTTTTAGAAAAAAGGTAGAAATTAAAGCAATATGTTTTATATACATTTATTTTCAATCATATAATCATAAAATTAACAGTAACATCAAGATGAACATACACATTGACAAAATACACGTTTTACAATACTTTTAATCCATTAAGTTTGGTTTGAATTGTTTTAATGCTCTTAAAGTTATCGCAGTAACAAGATATTTTCTGACAATTTTAAATACTTTCAAGGTCCTGTGATATTTTACCTTAAATTTTAGAATAATGGTATTTTTGTATAGCATGAGTTTGACATTGGATGTCCCATTACTCAAAAGATCAATTCTACCCACCTAGTTAGGGTTTATAACATTTTTACCGACATCATTCAACCTTTTTACATGTATATGATGTGCCATCTTTCTGTAGCGAAATTAGTTACAAAACTACTAATTTCTATTTAAACAAAAAAAGCCCCTTCACAAGTACAATTTAACTTTTCAAAGATTGTTTCATAATGAAATAAAGGAGCAGGCAAAATAGAAATATGCATGCCATGGCTTTATCTCATTTGGACATCAGCAGATACATAATTGTTTTATTAGGCACATTGAATAAGAGAGTTCGTAAATAGCTCTGGACCGCATGACCCCAAAATATCCACAGATCTTAGACACAATGGATACTTCCCACCTGTGCATTTTAGAATAATCACTGCCAAAGTGATGGAGGTGCTTCATGAATACCTTTTGTTTGCCTCTTGAGAAGAATACTTCCACCTGTGTATCAGATAAATGTACTGTTGGTGCATAAATGAATACTGATTACATAACTTTCATGAGCACGATCCAGTATTCGTCTCAATGGTTTTACAATTTGGGTCCGAATGACCTTCATCTGCCCATGCGCAAATCCTAATTACGAACTCGCTTATTTATCTGGTCAAATGTTACAGGGATTATACTACTGAAAATATACTACTAATACTACTTTGGATTGTGCCATAATAATCCATAATGTATATGAGGCACTTTACAGAAACAGAAGTATTATATTTGAAAAATGGCAATAAAGGGCATCAGGTAAACAGTCACTCTATCCTACGGCCAGCAATGCAAACGATGATAACCATGTCTCCATATCTCTGTTTACATCACCAATCTATGAAAAGACGAAAATGAAAGAGAGAGAGAGAGAGAAAGAACAAAATAATTGTCAATATATTTTCATTGTTATGGGAACCTTTGATTCTGTCAAGCAGTAAAAACACCAATGAAGGTCTCTTACTGTACACATGTATAGAAGTAACTTATTTCAGTTATGGCTTAGTTATTAAAATTAGGCATTCTTTACATCCAAGTTGGCTTGGAACACTGAATGAGAAAAAAACGGATTCACTTTTTATACAAGATAATCCATTAGAAGATATCCAGAAATATTTCACATATACATGTAACTAAGTTTGAAAAATAAAAATAAAATTTAGTATCATTTGGTTTGTGATTAGTTTCCAAGTCAGATACTATCTAGCTAGGGTGAATTCATAGGAAGCATCGATTCCTCTTCAACCCCAAGGTGGTATACATCATTTTGTTGGAAACTGTAAACTCAGAAATCAAAATCTTGCAGTCTACTGTTTATATTAGGACACATGAAGACATGATCATAATGAAAGCAACCCTTCCCCTTCCCACCATCAGTAATCAACTCTCACTATGAATATGACTGACAAAGAAAGCGGACAAAATATACAGTTCCTCAGGTAGATAAAGGAACATCCCTTCACTGCTATTATGTAAAAATGTGTACAACAGGTGTCGCATGCATATTCACCTTTTTACATAATAGCAGTGAAGGGATGTTCCTTTATCTACCTGAGGAACTGTATATTTTGTCCGCTTTCTTTGTCAGTCATATTCATAGTGTCTCTTTGTTGTAGTACCGGTTCAAAAATATCCGGAGCAGTGATATACAGGAGAGAAAGCATACCTGGTTTCATTCAAGTCCTTTCCCGAATTCTTGTGGACTCTTCTCCATTCCAATATCACTCAGAGCAGTATTGACCTGTAATAAGAAAAACAAAGAGTTTCATAATATACGATCTCAGACTTTCAATTTACTTCAATGATTTCTTCTGGATAGTTTTCAGGTCAGATACTATCTAGCAAGAGGGTGAATTTCACAGGAATCATGAATTCCTCTTCGAACCCCACGTTTGTATACATCATTCCTTGAAAACTTTCAGCTCATGCTTCATTCTTGCAATCTACCATCAACTAGGAAAGATAAGAATACATTCTGTATTGGTCCATTTTTCTTTCTTCAAGAATATTCAAAGAAAACATACCTGGTTCCAGCTACATTCTTGAAGCCACTTCTCCATTTAGAGAAATCACAGCGAGGAGTAATATACCCTGTAAGAAAGAAGAGAGAAACAGGTTAAACTAACTATCAGAGTTTCAACAAGTCCATTATTTAATTAAAATGATTTGTGGATAGTTTCAGAGTCAGATACTATCTAGCTAGGGTGAATTCATAGGAATCATTGATTCCTCTTCAACCCCAAGGAGTTATACATCATTCTCTTGGAAACTATTAGGTCAGATACATGCTTCTCAGCCTTGCAAAACACATTATTGTGGATAAGCTTTTAATGCAGAGGAGGGGGGGGGGGATTAGGGATAAAATATCACGCAAAAGCAACCACATATCTCACCTCAAATATATTCTGCATCATTTCAGTATCATTGCTCATGCACCACTCCAGACCAATATTCCAAATGCCAAGGGCGTTCTATGAGGTACAAAGAAAAGAAAAACTTGTTGAAATAGTTGCCTGTTGTACTTTTACAAAGAAAATGGAGTAACATTTGTCTCATTGTTTTATCCCTTCAGTGTTTATCAAACTTCGAATTGTATGTATCCCTTTATGATTTTAATAAAGACCATGGGTTGCAAGGGAGAAGATTATTGACCCATGGACCACTGAATTATCTTATTCCCATAAACTTCTTACAGGAAGAATCCTGCTCTTGTGGGCAAAGAGTTAACATATAGTGCTAAAGCCAAAGCATGAGAGTTGAACGTATTTCACAATCACTATGAAGTCAAAACAAACAAAAGAAATTACCTGTGGTTCATTATTTTGCATATATGAAATTTTACAAAGCTGTGAGATAGGGATCATGCTAATGCATGTAATTTTTTTTTTTTTAATTAAAAAAAATAATAAGTGAAGGTTGGCATTATATTCTACCGATCCTCATATATTTCAAGTCAAATGAGTACATCAAAGTTTTGAAGAGAAAAGGCTGATTAATTTAGCTTCTTAACGGAAAAACATCATTCTTAATGGTACATTGATTGCCCGTCAGCCAGGTTTTGTCGCAACTGATGTGAGAATATATGTACTTGTGTAGCTCTAGCACCCTGCTACACTCGAAATCATCAACAATGTCATTGAAGAACTAAGGTGGTCAGAAACTCGTTCAGATTTGTACTGGCTTAATGCATGAAGCATGTAAGATGGTTATCAGCATATATCGATAAGATGGGGAAAAAAGTTAAATCATCACCACAAGATCTGACCAGCTTCTCCAAGTTTTAAACGAGTTCCTCTACAAACCTATGCTTCACTGGTAATTTTGTGATGAGAAATCACATTTCCACGGCATCTCAGAAAAAGTACTAAGTAAGCCTATGACCAATTTGCAGAGTACAATACATACCTTTGATTTGACATGGGAGATAGCCGGGTAAAACGTCTCTCTGACCTTTAACCTAGGATCTTCTTCATCTCCGTCTGAAAAAGATGAAATAATGTGAAGCCTTGTTTAAAGGGTGACGATATATCTCAACAAAAAGTTTTGAAGCACACACCGTCTTATCTAGTTGCCTGGATTGACCGATATGCCTGTTTAGTAATATTCCAAACTGAATTTGTACTTCTTGATCTTTAGTTGTCTTACACAATCTGAAGATAGGAGATCCTTGGACAACATCGCAGAAATAAGACACATCTTGGATTTCAGCCACAGAAATACTACATATTTAATAGGAGATTTACAAGATTTCGCTCACAATTTTAAATTTGACTACGTTGCAAAAGTGCTTACGGGTATTTCATTAATTAGCAACTACCAACTAACAGACCAATTAATAAATGTCATGAAATTTTTGCATGCCTGTAAACCTATGTTCTAGTCACAATCCTTGAGCTTATCGCAAGGCTTGTCTGACATAGCAACAGAGTATACAGCATTTATTCTGATTTTCGAAATATTTATATATAAAGTCCTCTTGTTGCTTACTTACAAGCAAACACATGCTTTCTAGGCAGTCAAGTAAAAAAACTTATGAACAAAGATTAAACAAATGAGATATATTGTTATGATGCTAGAGGATGGGACCAGGGCATGGTTTGACCCCTGACACCGAAGGTTCATCACCTTTATGTTCCTCCTGGTTGCATTCATCTCACAAACACGGTGGGAGTTCGGAGATGCCAAGAAAAGGAGGTTCTTAAATTATCCACAATAGGCCATCTATGAATTGTAACCAAATTTAATGCATATGACTTTGTTTAGTGCAACCATTAGTTGTTGCTAGGTAGGACAAAACAGTATGTCTTGCCCTACCTACCAACACGTAATGTATGTAATTGGCATTCTGACTATTGGAATACACTTTGCGGCACCTAATTATAAATATGATTACATTTCAAACATTGCAAAAACATAATGCCTCCGGCTACTTTGTAGCAAAGGCATGACAATTGGATTTGGCTGCCAACACTATGGCAGTGAATGCAACAGATGTTGTGCTCACACTATATGACGTTTATCTACACCTTAAAAAATTTGCTTCAATGTGGCCTAATGGACATCACTATGTGAATTACTTGAAAACCTTAACATCGTTTAAATTTTGCTAGATTAATGTAATATCAACATTTTCCCATTCCATACCTGGATATCATTCTAAGGATTAGAGTCAGAGTCGAAGATGATGCAGATAAGTATCGGCCGCTGTCAGGTTGATTCTGAGACCACCAGCTCAGGTGCACAGTAGGAACACAAAGCGATCAGAGTCTACAAACAAGCAAACAAAACTACACAATGAGCCATTAGAATATTGATAATAGTAATAATAATGATGCAGAGAAACACAAATATGACATTCTTAATATATTGCATGGCGATTACACTTGAGATATCTGAGCTGCCATGGCCAGTTTTCAAAGAATTCAGGATATGTGGGTCACAAGAGAAAAACTATTTTAATGTTTATCCAATATCATATTTTTGCCTTTTTGAAAATTGCATATAATGCGCTTGTGCCCTTTAATAAGGCATTAATGCTCATTATCAAGTCCCTCAGAGAGAAAATAAAGTCCTCTCATTGCTTACTTAAAGTATACACATGCTTTCTAGGCAGTCAAGTAAAACGAACAAAAAACTTACGAACCAAGATTAAACAAATGAGATGTTATGTTATGATGCTAGAGGATGGGACCAGGGCACAGTTTGACCCCTGACACCGAAGGTTCATCACGTTCATCTTCCTCCTGGTTGCATTCATCTCACAAACACGGTGGGAGTTTGGAGATGCCAAGAAAAGGAGGTTCTTAAATTATCCACAGTAGGCCATATTTGTATTGTAACCAGATTTAATGCGTATGTCTTTGTTCAGTGCATACATTGGTTGTTGCTAGGTTAGACAAACATTATGTCTTGACCTACCTGCCAACACGTTATGTATGAAATTTGCATTCTGACTATTGTAACATGTGACTAATGTGGCCTAATTGACATCACCTTGAGAATTAATAGGAATATCTCAATATCGTTTTGCTAGACTTATGTAACACCCAAATTTTCCCATGCCCTACCTGGATATCATTCTAAGGATTCGAGTCCGAGTCAAAGATGATGCAGGTATCGGCCGCTGTCAGGTTGATTCCTAGACCACCAGCTCAGGTGCACAGTAGGAACACAAAGCGATCGGAATCTACAAACAAGCAAACAAACTACACAATGAGCCATTAGAATATTGATAATAGTAATAATGATGATGCAGAGAACCACAATGACATTCTTATTATATTGCATGGCGATTACACTCGAGCTAGCTGAGGTGCCATGGTTGTTTTTCAAAGAATGCAGGATACGCGGGTCACAAGAGCAAACTATTTTTATGTTTATACAATATCACGTTTTTGCCTTTTTTTAAATTACATGTAACACCAATGGGAAACAAACTCTGTAATATTATGCACAATAAAACTTAATGTTGAATTTTGTTTGTTTACATTTTCACATTTTGATCAGGTAAATGGCATATTGCTTCCAACTAGTTGCGACTACTCTGTTGTACAGGATGATACAACACGAGAGATCCCAAAGATTTTGAAGCACATTTGGGCCCATTTTTCGAACTAGCTCATGATCAGCATTGCAGAACACCATCATTAATTCAGTAGGAAGTGTTATGTATCTGTCATCATTTCAAGAGCTCACAAAAAAATGGAAATTGAGATGAAAGACTCGTCATAGATTCATTACCCAAATTTCAATGACATTTCAGAATTTGAATGATTAAAGGCAAAAACATAATATATTACACGGTGATTATACTCGAGATATCTGAGCTGCTATGGCCAGCGTTCAGAGAATTAACGATACATGGTTGGTTACGAGAGAAAACTGAAGATAACATTTCTTGCTCTTGGGCATATGCATTGGTATTTCAAACTTTACATGTTAAAGCATGGAAATCCATATTGACTGTGCACTGAGTACCTACCTGGTTTACTGAACCTAGCTATAGCAGCTTGTCTCGTGTAGTTGCCTCTTACTCGGCCGTCGATCCTCTCAAAGAGATACCTACCAAAAAAAATATAATTAAAAATGCATAATTCACAGCAAACAGATATATGGGGGAAGGGGAGGGGGGGGGGGGGGGCAGCAATAATTGAAACTTTTATCTAAAGTTTCTTGACTTTGTGTTTATTCTTGTTCAGATCTTGGTGGAGGATCACCAGGCTTTGTTGAAAGTAAGGCGATAAAAGTGATCATCATTTTAAGAACACATACACAAGATTCTAGACTATGCCATATTATGCAACAATGAACATTACTTAACAGTACTTGATGTACAATATAAATGTGGACCTGAAACCAATGTCCAGACAGAAGAATATAGGAGCTTGTGTCCTACCAACCCCCTCGCCCTATATATGATTAAGCTTCCATTTGCAAAGACCTGTTAAAAATAATCATTAACCATAACAATTTCTTTACAACTTCCTTAAACTCTTTTCTTCTTCATACAAAACTAGAGGTTCTATAGTAAACCAATACTGACTTGGAACTAACGTTTGTACCTTCTCTGGATGAGGTAGTTCTCAAGGATGCCCAAAAAGCGGTTCATCTGAGAGAAGACGAGAAACTTGTGGCCAACGTTCTCGAGCCCCCCCCCCCCTCAACTTCCCATCCCTTTTAGGATTGAACTTATTCTCCTAACTACTAAATGTGTCAGAGTAACCAGAATAGGTTCAATTTCTATGTGACTTTCTTAAATTCTACGATACTCCAGGTCCGATAATTACCTACTACCACACTTAAAACTAAAGCATTTACCTTTTCTGGGTGAGGTAGTCTTTCAGGATATCCAGACAGCGGATCATCTTGTGGCCACCTTCCTTGAGCTATGGCAATAGTTTGTCCAGAAGAACCATCTAACCGGTAGACTGTATCAGCACCTTCAGGTGGAGTAGGGGGTTCACATGCACGCTGATGATGGTCTTGTCAGACATACGTTCAGTCATTTCAACCTGGGATAAAATGGATATGACAAACAAAAGAATGTTTTTACGTGCTCCTGAGTTGACAGAGTGCGCACATACTACCAGGGTTCTTGTTAATAGCCGGCAACCGGCTATTTTTTCCGGCTGTAACGGCAATCGTAGCCGGCTGTAAGCCTCTCCAAAAAAAAAAAAATAATAATACAAAAATCACATCATATTCGGTCAAGTCGCTATCTCAAACCCTGCTGGTCTTCAGACTGTCGGGCTGAGCATTCCCAGCCCCGGACTATGGCACAAATTGGGTCATCCTGATAAACAGAGACCACTAATAAACAACATAAAACATGTCTTATTATTCCTCATCTGAACTTGATATCATGATTAACCTTGCAAAGTTACTCTGTGAAGATAGCTGATCTGTGACGTGTTTATATATGCCTTTGCAATGCAATGTTTGCACATGGTCAGGGAGAGAGCTCCCTGCATGTATCATGGCCATATGAAATTATGTGGAAGTGTGTATCACACACACCCAAGACACACCCTGCAATGAGCTGATCCAAGTTAGTGACCAATGAGGAAGGTTCTCTAGCTATGTGGGTGGAGTTTGATACCAGCTTAAATTACAGGTTGGTGACCGCGCGTGCTTTCACCGTACCCAGTTCAGTGGGAGGTCAAGAAGCCACGCCCACAAGTGTGCATGTGACAAGCATGAGCTCTCCATCTGTGTGTATGTACAGTGTATTTGGGCGCCGGAAGGTTTGTGTGTACATGTGTGTGTGACTGAGAGAGCACGCATGGGCTAGCATGTCCCTGCATGTCCCTGCATGGACGAGGCAGGGACATGAGTAAGACAAGTAGGACAAGTGAGACTCGATAGAAAGGATGGCTGTGTTAATCGGCTGAATTGAAGAATGATCAAAAACTTAAATTACTCACAATATCCAAGACTTTGTTGATTGATATTTCTAAAAATTCAATTATTATTGTTATCAATATTTTTGTATTTTATTTATATATGAACATTATTTTAGGGGGCGAGTCGGCAAGGGATGGATATTAATATTGAGAGAGAGAGAGAGACTCGGGGGAGAAGGGATGTGAGAGGAACTGACCATCGAATGTGTAAACATTTAGAAAGTTGTGAGCTGAGAGTGCAGTAATAAGAAAAGGTACATGAGCGATGAACACATTGCAGAGAGAAGGGAATAAAGAGGGTGAGAAAAGAGAGAAGGGGGCTGGTTGTTTTATTGTTTACAAATTCATTCATGGGAATTACTGCTGCCAGAAAGCTGGCGCGCAGCGGCCAGGGTGTAACATTACACTGCGGTTTCTTTGATTATCTTTATCATCGGCTATTAGCACATTCCAAAATGTATGCAAATAACGGTTAACCGGAGCGAGAAATGCTAAACGGTTTTGATGAATGCGGTCGGATAACCGTCGGTTAAACGGTTTGACTCAGGCCTAGTGTGAAACTGTGATTGATTTGGCGATGCACGATTCGATTCAGAATACGAGCGCTGCACAACCGGTGCGGCACGCTATACACATACACTGTCACAGAGACTAGACCGTAGACGTACGTTCGTAAACAAGCTCAAGCCAGCGAACTCCGCTCGAAATAATTTAAAGAGGCCAGCTCCAGAGCTCGCTCTGCGTCCAAATGATCACCCGCATTGGCATTGCTATTTATACTTCGTAATCCTAAGTTAGATCTACCGTATTGTGAATAAAAAATGAAAATTTGTACTCATATGTACTCAGAACTTTGTCCAACACCGATATAATCCTTATATCTATTTGATAATTGTTTCAATACAACAACAAAAAGGTTTTTTTCTGGATCTTTTCTTTTCATGTTGTAACATTTTTACTTTTACTTTTAGCGATCTATTTTACCGATTCGAAAAACAGAGGTGGCATATTGCATATAAACGTTAAGCGCATGGCGATTGGAAGAAAAGTACCGAAAACTATTTTTTTTTCGTAGGCCTAGAGTCTATAGAAATAATTATTAATTATTATTTTTTTAATTTTTTATCGCAAACGATTTTCTTCACTGACAAGGTCCTGTAAACGTCAGTTAACCGTTTTTGCCCAGGACTACCTTGTATCATTATCATGTAATTCAAAATTGTAGATTCATCACAAATATGATTGATTTATCAGAAACAATAATGGAGCATTTTCATTTCATATTGTATATCATATGAAAAGTAAGTTATTCAGCCAAAATATTCATGATCTTTATCATTAAACTATGGCTCATACAGTGTGGTCATATCTTCAAAAATAAGGCTAAGATAGCACCAGAGAGCATCTAAAACCCTAAAGCTTCCAGGGCCCTTGGGCGGGCCCTGGACCCCGGCCGCAAGGGACTTCGCGCTTCGCGCTCGTGATGTGCGCTTCGCGCACATGGTGATGTGCGCTACGCGCACAGAGATTTTTGTTTTGCAATTTTAGTAGCCTCCTGTAAATCATAAATAGCCTGCTATCAGAAAAATTAACAAGAACCCTGACTACTACAAATTCCATATACATCAGGGTTTAATAGCCGAGATCTGAGGGTCAGGGGGGATAGGCTGTTTATTTTATTGATACTGCTATAAAATTCATGGCCAAAAAATTCCTGAGATGTCATTGCTTCTATGATCTTTGAACTTTTGATCCCATAATCTATGTGTTTTTCATGCGACAGTTTTTGCACAAACCGGAGCCAACTTGTGGGGGGGGGGGGGGGGGGGGGGGGGGGAGAGAACTTTTGCACAGATACAAATATCCAAACACACAAGCTCCCTAACACAAGTGGCACATACATACTTAAAGTGGTGAGAGCACCACATACTTAAAGTGGTGAGAGCACCACATGCTCTATGTTGTACCTTGAATGGATAGCAGCTTAAACATCGTTCAGTTCAAGGAATAATATACATCTTTGTTCTTGATCAGATTCTGTGGGGTGTCACCACGCTTGAAGGTAAGGGGGACATATTATCATCATTTCGAGAACACTGATACATGATTGCTGTTTATGAAACCATGGCACATGCAGGGCAAAGTTTTTATAGTTAATCCTATAATTTTCTACACAATATCAAATATCAGTCTACAAATCCTCACCTCGATGATGGTCTCTTCCTTAGGGGCCAAATTCTTCTCTACGTCTTCCTTCAGACGTCTAAGCATCATGGGTCTCAGGAGCTGTTCAAAACGGAAATTTCAAATTCCATATAATTATAATTAATAATATTATCAAACTAGATGGATTTTCCACAGCACGCAGTTGAAAATAATGCCGCCTCCGCCACAGAGCCATTTTACAAACCAATACAGAAGCAATTTCAAAATTCAAGTTCGATTGTATTAACAGGTCTCAGAATATCGTGATTACAAGCTATTGTTCATACTTCATATACATGTGTGACCCTTTGATATTTGACCACCCTGTTAAGGTGCTCTGTCATTCATGGAATTTTTTCCTACCAGGTACCCAATAAATTTGAATTAACCAATTGACTTAAATCATATCAAATGGAGATCTTGATTAACAGTACCCTACATTAGGTAAAGCATACTTTTAGTTGAGGTCTTATTCAGATTTGTACTGGCTTAATTTCACATGGTTATCAGCATATATCGATAAGCTGGGGAAAAAAGATAGAAATCATCATCATGAGTCTCAACTAATAAAGTGCATGTATAACTTTACATCTGTGGCACTGCTTGTACAATATGCTTTACTTGCTCTGCGGTCAATGTTGAACACAAGTCAACTTCTTAATTCCTTCCCTACATCAGATGGTAAACCCAACCCTAGTTAGTGCCTCCCTCACACCAGACTAGACGTACACTGTATACCGAACTAATAGTTGCACTATCCTGAATCGCCAAGAATCGGTTGGGTAACATTGATTTTTTCATATATGGAGATTTAGATGGTTTAGGTATGGGACTTCGTAGCTCAGACTTGAACTTGATGTCAATGCACTGTGACTATGTTTTCTGAATAACTCACCCATTTCTTGTACGTCTTCTGTTGGGCTATTCGTCTTCTCTGCTGATTCAAACACTGCCAAAGTCTTTTCTGATCTCTACATAAGAAAAATTGATTGAAATATACATTTCTTTATGAATTATTGTACATTTTAGAAAATTTTAAGAGGTTGTATAGACATTTTACTAACAGGATCCATGATACCAATGTTTGCAGACAAAACAAGTAAATTTACACATGTGTACATGGTAACTTTTATCCAAAAACCAGGGATGCCAACCTTTCAGAGCACAAATCCGTAATCATAAGGCTAAAAATCCGTAATTTGGAGACAAAATCCGTAATTTTCTGCGCGACGCAAATTTTTCTGCACGCTGGCAAGCGCAGCTCCCGCAGGCAAGCGCGATAGCACAACAAGTTAAATAACAGTAACATAGTCTACCTGTTCATTAGTTGGTGCTACACGATGCATTTCCATTTCTTACTGTATTCTTCTTTAGAAGTCTGTAACTTCTTGCCACGCTTCTTAGTTGTGGAAGACATGATGATTGATATCTAAATCCAACCAACATGAGTTCAGATTGTCGACGAAAATCGACGAACGCTGTGATAGCCTGTGAGAAATCCGACAGTGTACACGGCGCTAGCGTAGCGAGGCCTGGCGCTGGGCATGGGCGGGCGGTAGCGGCGCGGCCAAGAGAGGTATTTCACCCGGCCCCCGCTCGCGAAGCACATGTTGTATGCACATGTATGCACTGAAAGGGGTGTGCTAGATAACAAATTGTCCAATCGGAAGCCCTGTGGGATTTCTATGCATGGATTCAAGGATGGCTGCGCTGCAATAGTCAAAAGTACGTGCTAAACCTTAAACGTGCTAAACCTTAAAGTGCTAATTTTGAAAATCGGCAAAATCGCCAAAATCCGGAATTTATGGTATGAAAATCGTACCGCCCGTAATCGGCCGATTTCCCGTAGAAATTACGGGAAATCCGTACTAGTTGGCATCTCTGAAAAACAAAAGCTTCCTAACACAAGTGGCACATACATACATAGAGTGGTGAGAGCACCACAGGCTTTATGTTGTACCTTGAATGGATAGCAGCTTAAACATCATTCAGTTCAAGGAATAATATATCTTTGTTCTTGATCAGATTCTGTGGGGTGTCACCACGCTTGAAGGTAAGGGGGACATATTATCATCATCTCAAGAACACAGACACATGATTGCTGTTTATGGAACCATGGCACATGCAGGGCAAAGTTTTTGTAGTTAATCCTATAATCCTATAATTTTCTACAGTCTACAGATCCTCACCTCGATGATGATCTCTCCCTTAGTAGTCGATGGTCTCTTCCTTAGGAGCCAAATCTTCTCTACATCTTCCTTCAAACCTCTAAAGCATCATAGGTCTTTGGAGCTGTTAATAGGGAAAATTATTAAAAATTCCATATAATATCAAACTAGATGGACCTTCCACTGCACGTATTAGAAAATGATGCCTCCGCCATACAGCCATTTTACAAACCAAGACAGAGGCAATTTATAAGATTCAAGTTTGATTGCAATGCATGGACACGAGGTTCTCAGAATATCGTGATTACATGCTATTTTTCATATACACGTGTGATCTTTGACCACCCTGATAAGGTGCTCTGGCATTCATGGAATTTCTTCTTACCAGGTAACATATAAATTTGAGTTAAATCAAATTGAATTGAATCAAATCAAATGGAGATCTTGATTAACAGTGCCCTACATTAGGTACGACATGCTTTTAGTTGAGGTCTAATTCAAATTTGTACTGGCTTAATTTCACATGGTTATCAGCATATATCGATAAGCTGGGGAAAAAAGATAGAAATCATCATCAAGAGTCTCGACTAATAAAGTGCATGAATAACTTTAACATCTGTGCCACTGCAGGTGGTTTCCGTGACGATATCCTCAAGAGAGGTTGTACAATGTGCTTTGCTTGCTTTGCGGTCAATGCTCAACATAAGCCAAATTCTTAATTCCTTCCATACACCAGATGGTAAACCCAACTCTAGTACGTCCCTCACACCAGACTAGAAATACACTGTATACTGTAGACTGAACAAATAGTTGCACTATCCTGAATCCCCATGAATGGGTTAACGTTGATTTTGTGGTTGGGTTTATTTGTTCATATATGGAACTAAGTGGCTTGGCCTAGAACTCGATGTCAACACACATGTTTTCTGAACAACTCACCCATTTCTTGTACACGTCTTCTGTTGGGCTGTTCGTCTTCTCTGCTGATTCAAACACTGCCAGAGTCTTTTCTGATCTATACATAAGAAAAATTGATGGAAGAGGTTGAAAAATTATTTTTACAAACAGGATTCATGATACCTGTGTTTGCAGACAAAACAGTTCACAATCAAGAAATCTAAATCGTGGCACATGGTAAAACAAGCCAAATTTGTTTACATTTTGTATCATTCAGTATCAGATTGTTTGTTGACAGCATGGTGATGAGGTATTTTTGGACCAATCCTCCTCAAGAGTCTAACGGATAATCATCATAAACTGAATGAAAATGGATAAATTTTGATAATTCAATACCAAGCATTATTCTACATTTCCTCACACTTACCAAATCTTCTTGCTATAACAAAGAATATCACTTGCTTTAAAAAAAAAAAAAATCCAAAAACTAAAAGTAGACATGCTAATATATGGGATTCACAAATCAGAAACACTAATTTTACATGGATGTTAATAATAAACAGTGAATTCTAAATAGTATGAGCTTAGCGTATCAGTCATTCTTTTCTCATAATTAATGCTGATATATTTGTTTATGTACTTTACTCTACTGCCAAGATGTAAGTTAACACTTATTAATAGTCTGTGTGACCTGGGAGCCTAGACTAAGTAAGCCCTATCACAACTCAAACACTATTTGGAGAATAAATGTCTCACCTTCAAGACAGAGGCACACTGACTTGGTTTGAAACCAGGATCTCCTAATTTCCAGACCACTGCTCTAACTACAGAGTCAGCACACCCACTCATGGTTGAATCTGCCCAAAGACAGGTTTTCCATCAAACCAAGAGAGATGTTGAGATAGCTAAAGAATTTGAGAAAGGGAGAGAAAAAGCGTATAAACAGATAAAAATGTTTTTTCATAACCAGCAGAACAAAGAAGGGCCTTTTTAGGATTTAGAAAATGAAGCTAAGAAAGTTAGGTGGTTAAACAAAATATGAGTCAAAATCAGATTCATGTTTGATGACAGCATGGCTATTCAGACCAATAGGGAAATTTAGAATCATCACTTATAAGACTCATCAAAATACATAACCAACCTTTCAAAGCAAAAATTAAGAACATCTGAAGGCAAAATTAAGAATACGGCCATTTTGTTTACTATTTAAAAGTTTTCATCAGAAGAGAGGAATCTAGGATTCATAACATTAGTGTGATGGCCAAAAATTAGGAATCATTCCTTCAAAATAGGAAAGGTTGGCAGCTATGATAATGTACCAAGTTGGTGTAAAATATGCACAAAGGACGAAATTCACCAAAAACTTGTTTCGATTTATGCTAGTACAAATTGAAGTGTAAGACTCCCAAGTTAAAACTACAACTTCCAAGTTAAAGCCACACCTCACATATGCTAAAAGCTGACCATCTCTCTTACCTTTTTTCCCAGCAAGTTCCGTAGACTTCATCGACCAAGTTGACTTCTAAACCAACTAACTGACCAAGGATGCAAAGAGTAAAGAAACAAACAGAAAATTAAGTCTTATTGTTCACTCGTACACTCCTCTTCCAATATGAAATTATGCCAAAGTTACAAATACTTATCATTCAGAATCAGATCGTTTGTTGACAGCATGGTGATGAGGTATTTTTGGACCAATCCTCCTCAAGAGTCTAACGGATAATCATCATAAACTGAATGAAAGTAGATGAATGTTACATTTTTCATGGGGGTGTATTCTTCATTTTCTTATTCCCATCTGAAGCTTGGTATGAAGCAAGATTTTTTTTTTCCTTCAGTATGACCAGCAACTGCTCTCTATAACAGAACTGTACATTGTATAATTAATACCAACTTTGAGGACTGTTCTTCAAAATAAGAATAACAAGAAAAGAACAGTTCTTTTATAGTGTATTATACCTTTAAAAGTGTCTCAATGGATAGGAAAAGCTAAGAAATAAGCAAAGCAAGCAAAACAAGTATAAAGCTGAAGGAAAATGTCATAAACTGCTTCAGAGCATTTTCAAATCAGCTTGTGGTGATGATTTAGAAAATTTAGAAGTGATATACGCTAGTGCTGTAGTCAAACGTTTAACCATCCGGTATCCGACCGCCCATGGCGGATTCCGTTTTCAATTGGACGGTTTCGTTTTCCCGTTTTTTTTAATTTTTTTTTTTTTTTTTTTTAAGTTTCGATTTATGCCCCTCCACCTGGCACTATGCCTGGCAATGTCTCCCAGCTCAGTAATCGGTGTGATGACTTACCAATTGGAAACTAGAACAACACTCCAATTTGTCTGTCATCTTGGTTTGAAAGTAATCTTTGTAATAGATCTCAATATATATTCATCCAAGTTTAACACATGGTGTACCACAAGGTTCTATCCTAGGTCCTCTACTGTTTTTAATTTACTTCAATGATCTTACACATTATTCTAAAACGACATTGTTACTATTATTTGTGACTAGTTCACAAGCACAAATCGGCGCCTTCAGTTAAATCACCTTCCTGCTTTTTCACACGGCAAAAAAAAAAAAAAAAACGATTTTTTTTTTTTTTTTTTTTTTTTTTTTTTTTTTTTTTTTTTTTTAAATAAATCGTTTAACCGAAAACCGTCGGTTTTGACAGGCGGTTAAACGAAATTGGAGATATCCGTGATGTTACAGCACTAATATACGCTATAGTACAATAATGGTATTCAAAGTTTCCATCACTTCATTCCGGTCCATTCCAAATGTTACTCACCTCTCAATTCTGAATCTACAACACAAGATGGGACAGGACAGGACTGGATTCCACATCAATAGATGAAGATCTTGGCTATTTATAACTATGGGCAAAAAGAGTACAAATAAAAGGGTTAGAATAAAGTACCTCATATTGCATTATCCTCCCATTACAAGCTGTATTAAAATATCTAATGATACGTTGCATAAAGATCAAATTGAGGCCATTAAGAATTTGGCTAGGAGAATGAAAGGAAGTTTATGATTTTAAGTAAAAGAGTCAACATCAGATTCATATTGGACATCAAGGTTGTTCAGACCAATAGGGAATTGGATCATCACATTGAGGACTCCTGATAATCTAAAGCCTAGAAAATGTCAAAGTAACCAGTCATGCAGACAGGGAACGGGATAAATCCCATTTCTCCAATCCTATTGATGACAGAGCAACATCAAATTAAATTTTACATGTTTCATGAACAAGCCAATTAATGCCAGACCACATAAACAATAATAAGTCGGCACAAAATAATTGCACAAAAGCTTAATTGTTTACACCGTGGTATCATTACAAATTACATTAGGGGTGTATAACCTTAAAAAGTGGTCTCAACTCCTGACACACATGTCTTACCCTTCAATCCTGAGCATTGGGACCTTCATCCGATGTTCACGACTGCTGCTGACTGACCTAGGAAACTAAAATAAGAGCAGTAGAAAAACAATATTTTACATCCTTCATTTTCTTGAAGAGTTATAGTTCTTTTCTTTTGATAGGAATGAGAGGTAAAATAATAAATTTCTCCTTTGTCCCTGACAAATTTATTTATCATTCAGTATCAGATTGTTTGTTGACAGCATGGTGATGAGGTATTTTTGGACCAATCCTCCTCAAGAGTCTAACGGATAATCATCATAAACTGAATGAAAATAGAAACATAAGTGTTTTTATTCTTCACTTCATCTCCCTAAGAAACCACTTTGTGTATATTCGACTCGATAAATATCAAAGAATGTATAAATGTACAACTGCTTAATTTTGTAGTGCCTTACCACACAATTGAAGCATGACACCTTGGTTTTGAACCCAGGACCTCGTAGTTTGTAGAGTGCTGCTCTTTCCATCAAGTCACCAGACCTCACATTATAGAATGGTAATCTACAGCAGGACTCGTCTTCTTCAAGTACATAAAGAATGGCACCTATCCATGGATAGAAGAGAAAGTGATATTATTTAATAAACAATTTGATTGAGTAAGAATTAGAAAAGACAGAGGAGAGGACAGGGGAGGACTTATTTATAGGAACTAGAGTCAACATCAGATTCAAGTTAGTTTGACAGCAAGGTTGTTCAGACCAATAGGGAAATATGAATCATCATTTGAAGACTCCAAATACTGTAATAATAATAATAATAATAATAATAACAATATTTATAAAGCACAACATATCCATCTTCTAGAGATGCTCAAGGCGCATACAAATAATTTAAATTAATATTCAATAAAGAAATATTAAATGTTAACTTGCATTAGATCATTCAACTAGACCCTAGAAAATACCAAAGTAACCAGTCTTACAGGCAAAGTAGGGATGAGTTCCCCAACCCCGAAAAGCCTTCTGATGACGAGAGTGAAAACACATAACTGACATGTGGACACTGCATATATGAGCAAGCCATCTAATGACAGATCAATTCAATTAAAACTGATATTCACATCTGTGTATCAATCTTAAGTAGATATGATGTGTGTAAACTTTTAAAAAGGTTGTCACTCTCTCTCTCTCTCTCTCTCTCACATGCATGGCGTGTACATGTCTTACCTTTCAACCCTGAGCATTGCCATCACTGGTCCACCCATCCAATATCAAGGACCACTGCTGACTGGCTAGGGATACCAATAAAAATGAATAGAAAAACAATGTTTTACATTCTTCATTTTCTTGAAAAGTTTAAGTTCTTTTCTTTCAACAGGAATGAGGGGTAAAATAATAAATTTCTCCTTTGTCTAGATGACAAATCTATTTATCATTCAGAATCAGATTGTTTGTTGACAGCATGGTGATGAGGTATTTTTGGACCAATCCTCCTCAAGAGTCTAACGGATAATCATCATAAACTGAATGAACATAGAAATAAGTGTTTTAATCAAACCACTTTGTGTATTCAACTTGATTAATATCAAAGAATGTATGAATGTATCTGCTTAAAAATTAAGAACTCAGGTGTTTTTTTTTTAAGTGAGGGATTAAGTAAACAGGGAGTCGTGCCTTACCACACAATAGAAGCATGGCACCTTGGTTTTGAACCCAGGACCTCATGGTTTGTAGACTGCTGCTCTTTCCATCAAGTCACCAGACCTCTCATTATAGAATGGTAATCTACAGCAGGACTGGTCTCCGTCAAGTAAATGAATAATGGCACCTATCCATAAATAGGAGAGAACATGAGAAAAATTCATAACAATTTGAGTTAGAATTACAAAAGAAAGAGGCAGGGGAGGACTTATTTATAGAAACTAGTCAACATCAGATTCAAGTTCGACAGCAAGGTTGTTCAGACCAATAGGGAAATGTGAATCATCACTTTGAAGACTCCAAAATACTGTAAACCCTAGAAAATGCCCAAGGTACTAGTCTTACAAGCAAGAAAGGGACGAGTTCCCCAGCCCCCTAAAACAAGGCCTACTGGTGACAAGAGTGACAACACATAATACCTGAAATGTAGACACTTCATTCAAGAACAAGCCAACTAAGTACAGATCAATTCAATTAAAACCCATATTGACACCTTGGTTTCATTTTTAAGTACATAGGATGTGTGTAAACTAAAAAAAATGTTATCACTCTCTCTGTCTCACATGCATGGCATGTACATGTCTTACCTTTTCATCATGAGCATTGCCTTCACTGGTCCACCATCCTATGTTAACAACCACTGCTGACTGGCTAAGGATATAAAAATAACAATAACAAATTAAAAAATGTTTTACATGCTTTATTTTTTCTAGAAATGCTGGTTTTTCATGAGTTAAAAAAAAAGAAGCCAAAATGGGTAAATAAATCAATTTCTCCTTTCGTCCATGACAAATCTACATCCTTCACTTTCTTGAAGACTTCTTTTCTTTTGAGAGGAATGAGGGGTAGAATAATAAATTTCTCCTTTGTCCATGACAAATCTATTTATCATTCAGTATCAGATTGTTTGTTGACAGCATGGTGATGAGGTATTTTTGGACCAATCCTCCTCAAGAGTCTAACGGATAATCATCATAAACTGAATGAAAATAGAAACATTAAGTGTTTTTATCAGACCACTTTGTGTATTTCACTTGATTAATATCAAAGAATGTATGTCTGCTTAAAATGAGAACTACAGTATTTTGTTTAAAGTGAGGGATTAAGTAACTGGGGAGTAGTGCCTTACCACACAATAGAAGCATTGGGTCTTGAACCCAGGACCTCGTAGTTTGTAGACTGCTGCTCTTTCCATCAAGTCACCAGACCTCTCATTATAGAATGGTAATCTACAGCAGGACTGGTCTTCATCAGGTGAATGAATAATGGCACCTACCAATTAATGGAAGAGAAAGTGATATTATTTGATAATAAACAATTTGTTTGAGTAAGAATTAGAAAAGACAGAGGCAAGGGAGAGCTTATTCATAGATTAGTGACTACAGTCAACATCAGATTCAACTTAGTTTGACAGCAAGGTTGTTCAGACCAATAGGGAAATGGGAATCATCATTTGAAGACTTCAAATACTTTAATCCCTAAAAAATGCAAAACAACATGTGAGCCGCCATTATCTATTGCCGGATTATAATGACAACAGAAACAAAAATGCGTGCCTACATTATCATTCAAAATGCATGTTTTGCCTCTTCTCTTACTAGATCAAGAGTCTTAGACCAATATTATTAATTTCAAATTCGTGAAAAGGCACTTTATATCAACGAACATGTTCTACAACAACTCTAAATGACTGGGGGGGGGGGGGCAATGAGCAATCCAAAATAACATTTTTTAAAATTTTATTTTTTATAAATATTTTTACTCAAACCCCCCCCCCCCCCCCCATAGCTGGGATTATTCTGTCATTTAGAGTCGTTGTAGGGCATGTTCGTTGATATAAAGTGCCTGTAGTGCCTAATATTGTGGTTTCCAACCATATTTGGTGGTAGGTTTTTCATAAGCCGGAAGATTCTACTACAAATTTGAGGTGGGAGGAATTCAATTAGGGCGTGGTGGCGCACTGGCGAGTCTCCCTCCAAAATATGTGGGGGAGGATCATTGACAGCCCTGCTATATGTCACATCATCAAGTATTTATTTTTCAGTTTGGTAATCCTTCAGATTCTGCCCAAATTAAATCAAACTTCCAAAACATCCAAAGATTCCTAGACCTTCTAGTTCAATTCCACTGACCATGCCGACTGAGCTGAGCTGAGCTGACCATCATGATCATCATGGCATGCCGACAATAATTTAAGCTCACACAAATGACACAATTATCCCTGATTACGGCAATATCTTCACAATACTCATTCAGTCACTCTCAGCATGTCATGCACTTTCACCAAGTCATAGGTTACATTTTAGTTCATATTATTTAAGCTAAACAAAAAGATAACTTTACACTTACTGCGTGTTCTGTGCATGCACACCTGGAGCCGTGGGCCTTCGTTGAGAAAATGGCCAACGTATCTCGCGCACGTTAGAACTAGCTATATTTCTAGCCACGTGTTGTATCAAATAGCCAACGTCAGATGGCGCCATATAAGCCATGGACTTTCGTCCTAAAACTTCTTTCGGAAGACCCATGAATATGATGGTCCTTTTTTTGGGGGGGGGGGGGAGGGGGGGGGGGCTGATGTGCTCATGAGCTCGAGTAAAGAATGGCCGAGCTCTAAAATACTAACTTTCTTAACAATCAAAGAGTTGGGGATTTTCACTTATCTTATTTGTTTATAATAAATGTAGTATATTTGTGGTGAAAGATTTGAATGCTCTTTCTCAAATATATGAAAAAAACTTTTCAAACTGTATGCAGTCCTGATATAATTGGAAACTGGTGAGGTAGGCCTATCCAGTCAGAGTTTATTCTTTGTATCATTATTTATATTTCTCATACTTTATATGCATAATTCTAGAGACATAAACTCATTAAAATCAAATCTTATTTATTTCTACTTCCAATTCCATTAATGTTGATTCCATCTTTTACTCCCAAGTTGACTCGACATTATTTACTTCGATCTCATTATATTCCCCTTCTGTGCAATGCTACTACTTTTCTCTCGTTTGAATCCTCTCTTTTTTTCTTTTTTTTTCTCGCCCTTTTCCTGATACTTTTCTCCTTTCTTTCGACTATCTCCCGAGGAGTCCGTATACTTTTCCTATACTCCCATTTTTTCTTCTTTTCTACAAGTCGTTCTTTTTTTTTTCATCCAACGAAATTCTTCATTTTTCCTTTCACTCTTAATTTCCTTCTTCCATTTTCTTTTCTCCCCATTCTTCGGCCGAGAGAGTTACCGAGTTTAAATAAATAAATGAAATGAAGAAAAAAAATGAAATCCCTTTTTCTTTCATCGATCCCATTTTACTCTTCTTTCCTTTCTGATCTCCACCATCAATTTCCTTCTTCCCTAACCTTTTTCTTTCATCATATTTTAACCTTCTTTCCTTCCTGTTTCTTTAACTTTCCCCTCCCACTCCCATTTTTCTTATCACTCAAGTTCTTTCTTCCATTTTATTCTCTCCCCATTCTTTTTACTTTCATCCCATTTCACTCTTCTTTCAACTCTTTCCTCCTTCCACGCCTGCTTCTGTACCTTTCTTCTTCTATACTATCTTTTTTTCCTTTCACTTTCCCTTCTCTTTCCACCATTTCCACATCCCAGTTAGTTACGCTTTCCTCCTTCCATCAGTTAAATCTTTCCACTCAACACTGATGCAAGTTCTTTCTTTTCTCAATTGTCATATTTCCACTATTTTCCACTATTTTCTCCCAATTTTTTGCATTTTCACATTCATCCCTGATTGACTATCTAAATTTTCTTTTCACATGCATCTATTAATCTCATCAATGTTACACACCCAAATCAACATTTTACAAAACTACAAGCAAGTTAAGAAGTATTAGTTTCATGGAAATGTTTTTAGTATCCAAAATAAGCTGGAACAATTATTTATACAAGCTGTGATTAACGTTACACACTATATATACATGAGATTCCTGGTAAAACATCTGAATAACATATATTCACCATTGTCTGTTCAGTAGTTTTCTGGCATGATCGGTGAACTATGTACATATATTGGGTATCACGATCACCCAAACTCCATACAGTTCAAATAACAAAAAGCCTCAAATTCAAGACTAGAACAAAGCATATACAAATAATCTGTCATTAAAATTCATCACAGTCGCATGGTCTCTATGTCCAACTGTGTGATAATAAGAAACATAATTATATCTGCCCTTTCTGTTTCCACATATTACAGAATGTTATGCAATCCAACTACAAAATGCTTTTACTGCATAATACTTTTGAGATGAATGTGCTGATCCTATGACGAAAAATTCCATACACACTGCATGAAAATATATATTTACATATATAAACTTGTTGGATCATTGTGTGATTTACACATTATCAATAGTTGAAAACTTTTATTTTCCCTTTTGTTGCAATAAGGGCATGCATAACATTTATTTTCCCTTTTGTTGCAATAAGGGCATACATAACATAACATATCTTAAGTTTCACAGCTGCCAAAAGTTTTCTCATATTGATTTGTATTTACAGTTACCGGTATGTAAAGATTAGAAGTCCTATATGTTGTTAATCAGAATAGGAAAGGCAGATCTCATCATTCAAAACATAACCCAAGTCATTTACACAAGTTTAACATAAAAACAACAACAATGCAGTACCATTACACAAAAGTCTGTCACTAATTTACGCGTACGACAATAAAGAACATAATTATTTACACTCATAATAACATGTAAGTTTCACACATAACTCAAGAAACAAAGTGTAAATTAGGCAATAAACTATGAACATCATTTTTGAAACATATTTACAACAACCATGTTCATATTAGACATGAACTTCATACATGTACTGTAATTTTACAGTCGAAAGTGGCAATAATGCAATGAACAGAAGTCTCTTGTTCGATAACACAAAATATAATACAAAATTCTCCCTCTTCAGTCCAATAGGCATACATGTAAACTAAATGTACAAAGATAAAAGTAGTGAACACTTGTGCTAAAAAAAAACAAATTTGTGCATGTCATATTAAGAGTCTGTGAATATATATATTTATATATATATTTCCTTCTTTTTAACAACATATAAAGCATAAGTGGTACATGGTACACAAAACTTCTACACCTAGACATCACTATCCAATACATGCACATCTTGAAAATGTCATAAGCTACATAACTTTGTCTGCCAGGATAATCACTGCATTACATTTATCATTTATTTAAAATCAGGTTTCAACACATTGCGAAGGTCACTGCACTTGAGGAAAAAAGAATCTGTTTACATTGAAGTACATTATGTTTGTTGTAAACCTTATGGACATTTATAGCATAATTCCATTTTATGGTAATTGTTTTTGCAATCTTTAACATCAGATATGATTTAAACGCAGCAGTGTAAAGCTAAATTTGCTAAAGGCTTCTCCCAATTACACCATGATGTACTTTTTAATAATATCAATCATGATAAGAGAAACACACATCACATATAATTACAATTTGAGCATCATATCAGAATTATATTTTCTGATGAATAGAGTACTTTGTCTGCATACACAATCAAACAAATTCTGCTGACTGTCATTACGACGAAATAATTTAATACTGATTACAATTTTTTTTAAATTATAAAACACAAATTCAAAAAGGCACCAAGCCTGTGGGTTAGACATATATTAAGAATGCTGAATGGGTCCAAAGCTGCATTCCAATGCCTCGCAGTCGGTATGGCTTTTAATTAGCAGGTTATTCTACAAACATTGCTACCACTGCTGCAATGTATTTCAATTGCGCCATCTTCCGGTGAAAACCTACATAGAGCGATTTCCGAGTCCTGTACCCAAGTATCATCATGTGTGTGTCATGGAGTTGATGATGCATTGTGGGACACGATTGTCAACACATTGGATCATTGTGAGCAGCAGATGGCAGTGTACGTAAATCTGAACTGGTATCATACAAAGTCTCCTCAAACAGCTTTAAACAGTCATTTTGGCAAGTGATTGTAACAACCTGATATACATCGTTCGAAAACGACCATTCCAGATGGAAAAGCTCAACATGTGTACACACTTACGTTATACCGTACAATAATAACACAATATGCTTCTATACAATGTCAAAATCTTACCAGAATTATAAGGGTCAAAGAATAAAATGCATTTCAATCGAGCCTCTCCTTTATCTCTGGAGTCTGGAGCACTCTCTGTAACTTGATAAATTGCTGAGAATACATCTTAATAATAACAGATAGCATACAAATTATCAGATGTACTTATAGTAATATACATGTATCAGTTTTTCTTGCATGAAGGAATGGAAATGTTCTTTTATCCATCCACTGTTGTAGGATAAAGATTATTTAATAACAATACAGCTTATGATTCTTAGTCACCCATACGATTTTACTTTCAAAATAAAACCCCTTCATCAATGTACAATATGATGGTAAATTAGCATGTAAACATAGAATTTGTTTACTAGCAGATAGCGCAAATAAGTGCTCAAACATTCGAGTTCACATTATGTCCAGTTATGTGGTTAAAGAAGATGTTTAGGTCTCTCCTATTACAGCACATATATTTTACTAGACCCAGGAATATTCATTAATCTACAAATTGTCTTGCAGAGTTGATGATTCTAAACACTTAATGATCCAAAATGTAATTTCTCTATTAGTTCGCGATATCGTCTTCGGCAATGCTACTTCAGACCATATTTTTCAGGTGAGAACAGCGATGATATCTAAAAATAATATCAGTTCCCACAATCACAGCTGTTACTTTTAAAAAATATATATACAAATCAGAGTATTCAATCAGAGGCAGCCTGTATCTCATATAAAAATCAACTATTTTCAATAAAACTACAGCACAGTGGCCTTCATATCATAATAATACAGTAATACAAAATGTGAATTTAAGGGCAGAAATTAAGAACTTATAAAATACATAAATACAATGTGATAATACTGATGTTTAAACTTTTAAAATCATTAATACAGTGACTACCACTGTTTTTTGTCAAATCTGTAAGAAACTTTACTTGGAAAAAACTAAAGTGGCATGAAATCTAGTAACTGTTTGCAAAACATGTAACTTAAATTCATCCATCTTTGGTACAATTTCAGTCATATGTGACACTTACGATGTGAACTATATTCACATTGGAAGACTATATTAAATATGCTTGACAGTTGACATCAACACAAGATGCCACAGTACCTAAGCGATTTGGTGTAACAATACATTACAATTTAAAATGAGCAATGTTTGCCTTTTGTACTTTGTATGCCAATAACCCAACACAAGATCATCACATTAAAATTATGATTCCTTAATTTAATGAAATTCATGAACAATGAGCTAAAATTTGTATGTAAACAATTATCCTAGAAAAAAAAAGATAGACATAGACATATATACACATTGTGCTATTACCTTTTCATATTAATGATTAGTAAATTTATATACCTTGTAAAAGCAAACCCCTTTGCACCAGGAAAATTACACTGTTATAGTACATGGACTACAAATAGTGGAATATACTGCAGTTAGAGCAACAAAATTGGCTTGTTAAATCGACTTTGTTATCATTATTTTTTAGAGTTCCAATGTACCATGTCATAATTACATCAAGAAGAATTCCAATAAAAAGAGAATACATTAGTCCTTAGTAACATAATACACAATTCTAAGGAAAAGATGTGTGAATAAAAATGTTGTATGAATTTAGGGGATGGGGGTGGGGGTGGTGCGTTTGCTTACAATGAAGTTCATTTTGTTTTTGTACCATGCAACTTCAATGTCCATACAAAAGCTGCCTATTCTCCCTACCGCATAAGGCTGGCGACAATCCAACGTATAAAATGGTACTCTAATTTTACTAGTAAATTTGCTGGGATTTTCTAGTCGCATGAACTTCTGGTTAGAAAGGGCCACAAAGTTTTGGACTCACATCTCACTGTCAATATGACTAAGAATGAGAAAATGTAGTTTTGCTTAAATCTCTAATGATGTAACAATATTTGAAAAGGCAGACCTTCTGATCTTCAAATAAGTGACCCTGCTATCTATTACGGGAAATTCTTAATAATTACCAACATTATTGGAAAAAGAAGCCACTTGTGTTGTAGCGTGCCAGGTTTCTCCAAGAGAATTTCTTTAAGCGCTAGCATTTGCCAATGCTGGTATGTTACTTTAATTACAAAATTACTTACTGCTTGTGTATTTTTCAAAATTTGTATTTAGCAAGCAAGATTAAGAATTTCAGATAATGAATTATTTGCATATCGTATAATAGTGGACTACGTGTGTTAGGATCACTGGAAGTTAGGGTGTCTCAAAAATAAATATAAAAATCGCTGAGGTATAGGACGATCACTGCATCATGGGAATGTATATACCTATATGCGGTTGTGAGAAATTAAGGACTGATAGCACAAGCTGTTGTAAGTTACATGTTCACGTGGTACTCTCACGATGTAGAGTCTGATGATACCTTAACTTGAGTTGCCCATGAGAGTATATCTACGTTTGATTCAGGGTTAGAATCGCTCTGATGTTCAGGATCTCCCTTCGTCTCATCATTTCCTACATTAGATTTCTCTTTGGGTTGATTCTTGACCTCAGATGCCCAGAGTAGTATATCTGCACTTGAGCTAGGGGGAGGTTGAGGACCATTACTTCCTAAAGCAGGCATCATTTCAGTTTCCTGTTCATCCTCTGTTTCACCATCTGCTACTTGGGATTTTACTTCCATGGTTGCTCCTCCTTCATCCTTCTGTGCAAGGCATGTGTTAGGAGACAAACAGTCATCACTTCTAACATTAGTTCTACCAGAGTGTTCATTCACCATGTTACTTGGGGAGTCTTTGCTTATATCTGTTGGACATTGATTGCAGTTCTCTTCGATGACGTCATCAGATGAAAGATTAACAAAACTAAAATCTTTGCATGCTGAGGTGACAATACCACATGTACCTGGAGTGTCCACAGAAGGACTTAGAAAATGTGCAGTAACATCAGCTACAACTTTGGGATCTTTCCCGGAGTCCAACATTGACTGTTCATTCATCTGAGAGTCATTTGAAGAAGCAGTTTGAGTCCCTGAGCATTCATCAATCTGGAGTTCTCTGTCTGAATTAGCTCCAAGCAAGTCATCATCTAAATCAGAGGATGCATCATCTTCATTCCCTTTTCCCAAGATGTCATCATCATCATCAGGGACACTGGGGGCAGCAGAGAGAACGTTTGTCTTCATTGATTTCTCACCTTCGCTGATGACAGCATTGCTTTCAAGACTAATACCCTTGTTTGAACTTGCATTTGGGCTATCAGCTTGAGGAGACAAAGGATTATTGCTTGTGGCCTGTCCATCAACAAGTGTTGAGCTTTCTTCTTTCTTTACTTCCTCATTTGAAGGTAACTCTCCGTCCTCTCTTGAGTGATGAGATGCATCGTCGTGGAGATCAGATCTAGATGGAATGTTTTCCACAGCACTCTTAAGGAGGTCGACTGCTAATTCGATCTGGTCAACATCTTTGCTTCTCCTTGTGCCTGTGTTTTCCTCAACAAAACTGTTTTGTATTGCAGTCCCATTCAGGTTTGACTCATGAACTGTGAAGTCTGTTATTGAGAGATCTTGATCCTGACCATCCTTGACAGATGTTGCTTCTGCAGTCTCCAAGGGATTCTTTTCAGGGGAAGAATTAGATGCGACCCTGTCAGAGTTTTCACTATCTATTGAGTTTTTGACACTGCTTTCCACCTTGGCCCTTGTATCATCATCTCCAATTTGTGTTTGGCTTGTGTTAGTAGTGGAACTACTACTGGGACTTGTCTCACTTTTCCTCTCTTTGTCACTGACAGTTCTAACATTTTCATTCTTCTTAGATTCCTCATCAGCCATTATTTTACAGACTCTGTCACAAATGCTATAATCCACAAGCACAACTATGGTCTTCTTATGCTGGAGTGCTTTGACTGTGGCTTTAGGACTTGTGGGAGGTGGATTTGTCGAATCTGTCCGTTGGTCAGTTGTCGGCTGCACTGACTTGTCCTTCTTACCACCTAGAAGACTGATGTAATTCTCTGATACTCCTTTTGATTTACTTCTTGTTTTAACTTTAGACTGTCTAATACCTATTGGTTTTTCACCATCCATATGCATTACATCTGCCATTTTCTGAGGCTTCTGTGTTTGCATTTTCACACTCTTAGGCTCCTGGACTTGTTTTTTCCCTCCAACACCAGCTGATATTTTGATATTACTTTTGTCTTCAAGAGTCGTAGATGTGACAGTGTTCTTGGAAGTCCCAAGGCCTGTTACTTTGTGTTCTCTGTTGCTTTTATTCGGAAATGACAACTGCTGTGCTACCTCGTAATTCTTCTTTGGAGTACACACAAGCTCCCATTCTTCTTCTTTTGCATGTTCCTGTATGTTTCTGATCAGGAAGTACAAGTTTTTCATCTCCTTGATTTTGTCTGGATGGCTCGTCTCAAATCCTTGTGGATCTGCATGGAATTGGGATTGTTCCTCCAAAGGAAGAATGATTCCCATTACACATTTCATTACAGCACAGCGATGGTACACAGGTACGAACGTCTCACTCTTAACCTTCTTCTTGTTGCTCTCTTCATCTGATGACTTGCAATCCTGGACTTCTTTGGCAATTATCCACTGGATGCATGACCACGCATTTTCTCTCTCACTTGAAGGAGTCTTTATTACTTTGAAGAAGGTTCTCTGCATTAGATTCATTTGAGCTTGCAATGATGGAGGAAGTTGGGTCATATCTGATTGCTGAAGCGCGACAAGCTCTTCAGGTGTGAAGAGATATCTTAGGAGAACTCTGACCATTGGAACTACACCAACTGCTCTTTGGACGCATACCAGCTCCTGTATCACAGCTTGAAAAAAAGGTGTGGCGGATGAGGTCGAGGTTGCTTGCTCCTTTGCCTTTGCCTCCAATGCAGACACAGCCCTTTGAACATATGCATTAGTTAAACTGTCCACTTTGTATCTCAGTTTCTCTGTGACAAGTTCTTGTAGTTCCACCGTCAAGTTGTAGATCAAAGTCATCACAAGTTTCCTCTCCATGCTTTCTTGGGAAGGGAAGGATTTCTGAAAAGCATCTATCACTGCATCTACTTTGCTTCCTCTTAATTTCTTCAACTTTGCACTGTCCATTTCGACTCTTTCATCAGCTCTGAATGCCTCCATCAGGAGAGATCTCATTTTCTTCACCTTTCCTTCCAAGTCAGACATTGGTGGGTATGGTTTGGGTTTGTTGAGAACCTTCACTGTTGTCTCATTCTCAACCAAGCTTTCGTCCATAACCTGGGTTAACTGTTGTCCCAAGATCATTAGAGTATGCATTAGTCGTTCCTCTAGCAGATCATTAGCAGCTGCTTGTTCATTTCCTGGTACATTGTATAGGAGGAAGAATGCACTCTTCAACATCTCAATGCTTTCATCAAGTGACAATGCTGCACTCTGGCCATCAAGCAGTTTTGCTCCAAAAATGTGCATTATCAGTTCATCTACTATTTCATCTTCTTCAAGCTTGTATGCTGTCAAATGCTTGTACAGTTGTACCAGACCTGGTCTTAGGATGTACCAATCCAGGGAGTCTACTGTGATGTCATCAACTTGTTTCATTTTGTCTTCCCTGCTACTTGTCCCACTGCATTGTCCGACATCATTTTCAGAGATTCTTGATGTCGTTGAGTCTATTACGTGTGTAGTTTGGCCTGCTGACTTGGATGTTGTCTCACATGATGTATTTTTTCCACTGATTGGTTCAGAAGGTGCTTTCTCCTTCTTGGGGAAGACTCTTTCCGTAGGTTCAGGAGCCATGTCCTCGTCTGATGATTCTCCGCCTTCTGGATAATCATCCATTCCTCCTGTCCAGTCGTCCTCTTTGTCACTGATAAATGAGCCGGAACTATCTCCATCATCTCCACTTTTGAAAGTGTAACCTGATATCTTGTTCAGGTAGTTGATTGTTCTCATTGCTTGGATCCAAGCGTTCTCTTTTTCAGTAGGCACTACTTCATGGATTTTGAAGAAAAGCGCTTGAAGTAGTTTCATTTGAGAAGGTGTCATTTCATCCGCATCTCCCATAAGATCTTCTGGGTTGAAAAGCTGCTGAACCAAGCTTCGAATCACAGTGACTGCATTGTCCTTACTCTCCGTGACATGACCTCTGGCATCGTCTGTTATCTGTTCCTCTAGGGCACTAGGACTGGTATGGATCAATGTTTCTACTTTCTCGTCTTCATGTAGAATTTGCTGCCTCAACTTCCTGTTCTTCTTGTCAATCGTGTTGCTGCACATTTGCCACAGCTTCTCCTCTTTGTGTTCAGGGACTGATGCAACTGTAAAGACAACATGCTTCAGAACATCCATCCTTATTGGATCAAGCTGCAGCCATCCAGGAGTGCCAGAACAACTACCAAAGGCAAGTTCTTCGGTGCTAAAGAAGCTCTTTCTCATGTGATCTGAGATGAACAAGCACTTGCCAACCTCACCAGATGGAAGCCATGGAAATTCTTCTTGAATGAATGCGTCACAATCAAGATCTGCTGATCTTTGAGATTCTGTCTTGGACTCGGTATTCTTATACAAAGTTGCATGAGCAGCTTCTTCAACAGCTGTCTTCTTTGATTTCCTAGTCCATACATTGCAAAGTGAGCTTCTGTTTTCCTTACACACATCTTCAATGATTTGCTTGATTAGTGTCCAGCATTGGTCCTTTTCTTCTTCACCATACACCTGGGAGAAGACAGCTTCAATTTCTATCCTTTTCTTCTCATGCAGTTCCATATTCTTTGCTACATTGTCAATCTCGGTTTCAGTCAAGATTCGTTGAATCAACAATCTCACAACAACTTCCTTGCTCCACTTGTAGCATTTCATTAAGCGAATGGATGTTTCTTTTACATCTCCTATCGATCTTAGCTGTCTCAGCTTGCTCTCAGCTTCTTGCTGAGCATACATGTATTTTGATGGATTAGTCTTGTCTTGCAGCTGTGTAGACTCATCTCCAGACTTGGTGCTCTCACTTTCTTCCAGTTCATCATTACTTCTTATAGGCTTCTCATACAGTTTCCCACTTTCTACAAGGTAAGAGATGGTCTTCATTGCCTCTATCCAGCTCTCCCCTAGCTTGTCTATCGATATTGAGCATATGCTCCAGTATACTGCTCTAATCAATTTCATCTTACTAGGAGCTCGGTACAGGAATTGGTCATAATCTTCATCTTTGCGTATGAAATGGTTCAACAACTTCTTAAGAACTTCTGAATGGTCCTCGGCACAAAGCAACAGATCTCTGCGGAGCCCACCTTTGATAAGAGTCGTACACGAAATCATCTGAAATCCAGTTTCAGAATCTTGTTTCTGTGCTTGAATTCTGGACTTTGAGCTGATAAGAACAGTTGCACATTCAAGCTCCTTCTCAACTTTTCTGTCTTCTGTCACAAAGTGTGAACCTTTGTACTTGAGTGCTTGGTCAATATCATTATGAATTCTATCCCATGTTCTCTGATGTGCTGATGGGGCAATACCTGCAATTGCAAAGGTAGTACATTTAAGAACAGCAAGCCTCTTTGGATCAAGGGTACACAGTCCTCGAGTTCCAGCAGTATTACCCGTCAACAGTTCTTCCCGAGAAAACATTTTCTCCATCAACTTACAGGCTACGTAGACACATCTCTCAAATTTGTACTGTGGGAGATTCTTAAGTTCGTCATCAAGAATTTCCCTGCACATCTTGGACCTTTCTGCTGCTGAAAATGTTGATTTCTCAATACTTGTACTGGCAGGTTCTGTCCGACACAGTTCCTGATTGGTTTCTTCAGCACTAAATGTGTACTCACATTGTTTGGCACACTTCTCTACCATTACTTGTATCTTCTGTGGTGTCTGTCTGCCCCAATAATCAGAGGCCGTTGCTTCATTCAGATCTTGGATGTGATTGATTAAACAGCAGGATGCAGCAGAGTCAGCAGGATCATAGAACTGGGAGTATCCAGTTTCAAACACTTTCATCTTGAATGAATCTAATGATCTCAAGTTCTTTGCACATCCAAGAAGTTCATCCTCGGTGAAGATGTATGCAGCAAGAAATCTTACAAGAATGTCTGGATTCCATGAATAACACTGGAGCAAGCTCATAAACTGAGGACGTAAAGTTAACTGTGATTCATGATGTGTGCCACTTCCACTAGCATTCGGTCGAGACAATGCACCCTTCTCTGTGATACCCTTTCTCTGTAATTCACTAGCTTGGCCAATGACATCACCACTTCTAATCTTATTGGCATGCTTCTGTTTCTTAGGTTTTGCCCTATCCAGCAGGAGAGGCCTTTGCTGGGTGGCTTTCACTCTATGGCTGGGACGAAGCTCAGATATTGCATGTGGCAGCGTTCTACCATTCTTTTCCAGATTTTGACATGCTATGGTGAAGTAAGCCCAGAAGTTCCACCATAATATATCAGCTGCTTCGTCACTTTCTGGGGGGAAGATTGAAAAGTACACTTTTCGAATGATGGCGATTTTCATCCTGTCAAACACCCTCTGCTTCCGTCTCCTCCTTTCATGGAATCTTCTGATCTCGGGTACAGTGTATACGTTCTGTGTTATGAACTCTACTGCTTCACCCTTAGCAATATTTCTCTCTCTGCAGGCTTCTTTCAGAGTTTGTGTCCAATTACCTTCTTCCTGTGTCATTACAGTTGCTCCAAGATTTGACTCGGTCACTGGTCTTCCATAAACCAGTGCCACTGTCTCTCCCTCTTCTGTTATCAAAGTATATGGTTGTCCACGTTCGTCTCCACAGCTCACAGGTCCACTAGATACTTTGTCACTTGCATTTATTACAACTGGAACAGAAGTTCCAGATTTAGTGAAGAATGGCACATCGTCTTCAATGATGGAGTTGGCATTGCTTGCACGAGTGACGTTCATATTCAACTGAGAAGCATGTAGATGATCTGTGTTAGCTCTCCCTTTTTTTGGCCGTCCAACCTGCCGTTGTGAACCACCCGTTTTCTTAATATGCCTTTTCCTATATTCCTGCACATCGTCTTCAATGATGGAGTTGGCATTGCTTGCACAAGTGACGTTCATATTCAACTGAGAAGCATGTAGATGATCTGTGTTAGCTCTCCCTTTTTTTGGCCGTCCAACCTGCCGTTGTGAATCACGTGTTCTCTTAATATGCCTTTTCCTATATTCCTGTTGCAGCTTTTCCTTGCGGATTTGAAGTTTCTTTAGCCTTTTGTATTTTTCAGTCAGAACAACTTTACCAAGTAAAGTGTTCCTAACCATTTGCCTGATCTTATCAACAACACGTGCAAGGTGGGCCCAGCATTGGCACCACAACTGGAAAGGATCCACGGTACAATTATCATAAAGCTCAAAATACACCTGTCGCAAAATCGCCATTTTCAATGGGCAGAAAACAGTCTGCTTGGCTCTTTTCCGATGATGGATGTTGATGATATCATCTTTTGAGTACAGTTCCTTCACAACTAGCTGTACTACTTGTTCCCTGGTAAGCTGTTGTATATGGCAAGTATGTTTCAATTTCTTTTTCCAATTCTCTTCCTTTGATGTCATGACATGGGATCCTATTTTGCCAAGTGACATAGGGGTACCTAGAGGTAGTGGCACCTCTTCCCCGCTCTCGGTTTCTGCTACTCTTGAAGTAGTTGGCAATCGATCAGTGCGTGTCTTCTGCCAAGCCCGTCTCTTCTGCAAATTCCAGCTCTTTGGACTCTCAGACATCTTTTGACCCTCAGACATCACTGCACCAGTATGAATGAAAAGAGGAATATCCTCATCTCCCTCATCACCTTTTTCTTTTTCTTCTGAAGATGAAGAGTAGGACGAGTTGGACATTCCTCCACTCTGTGAGCTATCGTCATCAGAATCATCCGTTTTATTCTGATCTCTTGTGTCCATCTTACTGACAAATGTCCGAGGAACAGATATCAGTGAAACGAACCTTCTGTTGTTTAGCATCATACTTTGAACACTTCTTGCTAAGGATGACCAACAGTGAGCCCACTCGCTTTCTTCTGCTTCCGGGTTGCAAAGTGGAAATAAGCTGAAGTAGGACGATCTGATTTTTGTCAGCTTGAGAATCTTGAAAGGTAGCTTTCTGAGGGCAAGGCACACAGGAACAGATGAAATGTCCTCCTGATTGATGAGATTCATGACAAGCTGATTCACAGCCACTTCTCTGGCCTGAGAATCAGAGCTCCCTTGGATGTTGTCTCTAATGTGGTTAATTTCTGCAACTTCATCTGCATTGAGCACCATTGCACCAAGTTCCTCCTTACGGCACGGACATCCCAGGAATGAGTATGCATTGTCCCTGACATTTTCCTCTTTGATTCTGACATTGTTCACAATGCCGCTTGATGATACTTCTGAGGAGCTGCCCAACAGAGATGCCATATGATTTGTACATCTTTTCCAAATTCCACACTGCACTTCATGAGTGTCATGTGAAAATACAATGAAAATGCACTGTCTTAGAACAGCAAGATACATTGCTACACTTCTAGAGTCAGCTGACTGGTTTTGAACATTGCCTTCTTCTGTGATGATTTTGGTGAGTATATGCTGCAGGATGGATTCTCTCTTGCCTCTATCAGCGATTTCTTTCACAACATCGAGATGGACTGCAATCACTTTACTCATAACATATGCACCCAGATTTTCTGGGAGCATTGTTTCAAAACCGGGGCTTTTCTCAATACCTTGTGCTGATCTTATGCTGTCCTGTTTGCATGCCCTGCTTGTACTTGGGTACCCTTGCTTCATATTCTCCTTCAACTCACTCTTCAACTTTCTATGGGATTTGATCCTCACCTCAGTTGGTAGCATTAGACATCTGAGAGTTGCAGATTCTGCTTCGATTCTTTCAAGAATCTTCTTCATGAGTACGCGAGCCATGAGCCACTCCTTCACGCTTTCCACTTTGGCAATTGGAGCGGTCAATGTGCAAGATTCACCGTAGCAAATGGCAAAGAATGCTTGTCTTAAGAACGCTAACTTAACACCAACTCCTGAAAGTTCTGGCATTTCTGTCTTTTTGGCAATGAGCAGGAGTTCATCAGGAGAAAGGATTGTCTCAAGAAGTTGTTCCACTTGTTGCTTCTTAGACAACGCTTGGTTTCCTGGGTTGCGTATGTCTTCCAACATTCCGTACTCTGAAGCAGTCATCACGTAGCAACCCAACTGACTCTCCATCAAGTAGTTCCAGCTGACTGAAGCTTCTTCTAAAGACATAAGAAAATAAATGAATGAAAAAACGAGTATTTCCAACTTGCTCTCCTTTAAATGAAAATGCATATTCATTGTAAGATTTATTGAAGTTTCAAAGTTTTAACTTCAACCCTAAAGTATTAAAGTTACTCTTTAATTAAAGCAGAAACAAAAATTAGAAAAAGAAAAAAAATAGGTTTGAAGGAAATTAGAAAAATGAAATGAAGAATTACACCAAGATGATGGACAGTTCTCATCAAGAAGAAAGCCTGTTTTACAAGACAAAGATTTTGATGGCACAATTAAAATGTTCTCAGGGAAACACATTTTCTAATCGATGCACTGTTTAAGTTGTTGCATGTACAGTGCTTCATCGAATACATTTCTTCTACAAAATCAAAATCAAGTAACTATTTTGAGAAACTTCACATTTATGACAAATACTGTTTATGAATTTCATAAAAATTTTCCATTTTTTTGAAGGAAAACAAATAATAAAAAAACCTACATGCACATGAATAACAAGTTACTATTTAATACTAAAGCTTGGGTAAGACATGATGAATCAAGTTTCTGGTACATTTTAAATTATGAAATTTATCATTTAAAAATCCATTTATAGCAAAAGAATGACATACAACTCTCCCATTGGTATAAGGTTTGTTAATTCGTTTTTAATTAAAACATTAACAAAAAAAATTGTCTCCATGCTCCTAGTGGAGTTATCACCCCCTTCAGAGGTAGGAGCATAAAATGTTGCACACAACATGGTCACATGCACAAAATATAAGTTCAAGGTGGTATCAAACAGGCTTCTTGATATTATTCAAATCTACAAAATTCTATCTGAATATATCTTTTTACATTATTAAAAAAAATGAACAAAAAGTAACAAATCACAAAATTATTTAACTTCAGATACTTTATCAATCAACTACATGTATAACTTACCCGCAAGTTTTCTTTGCTCAGCAAGTTCCTTCTGCTTCTTGCAGAGAATGGTCCTGACTCTTTCCTGCTCTTTACTCATCCAAATTTTGACTAGTTGAGGGTCTGTGTAACTCCCTTCTTTGGTCATCTGTATCCTCAGAAGGTTGGCTGTAGAGTCAAGTACATGTTTCATGACCCTTATCCTCTCTCCTTCACTCATTGGAGTTGATACATTTTCTCCAATTGTAATAGCGTAGGCATGCTGTAGGACGAACAGCCTAGACTTACAGAATGGTGCATAGCCCTCTTTACCAGTGGCACTGCAGAAAGCACGTTCGTAGTCAGAGAAGAGGACCTGAGATAACCTATTTAATTTCTCACTCTTTGCCAATCCAACATCACTAAAGGAGTTGACTGCTTCTTGTACTCTCCTAGGCTCATCAGCACCGATATTGTGGATGGTCAAAGCAGCTACATCAGTGAGGATTCTCTTGATCTGAGCTTCAATGCAAATCCGATAACCATACACTGCTGCAAACAGCACGCTAAACGCATGCAGCTCCTCGGGTGTCAGATCACGTACAGCTGGATTGTACAATGGACCAAAGCGATTAGAAGTTACAAACTTAAGTACTTCCAAGACCACATAGAGTCTATGTGCAGATACTTTTTGCAGTCTTTCCACAAGCATTTCCCCCTCATTCATTATCCGTGACCTCTTGCTTTGGTCTCCTGTAACATCCTCACATGGCCGTTTCATACCCTCTTTGTTGATGTTGGCTCGTTCAAGAATCACAGGGGACTCACACGAATCAAACTGAGTCACATGGTTATGTACTTCAGAAGTGGCAGCAGTATTAACTTCTCTTGGAACAGGGGACTCACACAAATCCAACTGAGTCACACGATTATGGACTACAGCAGTACGAACTTCTCTTGGAACAGGGGACTCACACGAATCCAACTGAGTCACATGATTATGGACTACAGCAGTATGAACTTCTCTTGGAACAGGGGACTCACTAGAACCCAACTGAGTCACATGGTTATGTACTTGAGGAGTGGCAGCAATACTAACTTCTCTTGGAACAGAGGACTCACAAGAATCCAACTGAGTCACATAATTATGGACTTCAGCATTGGCAACAGTACTAACTTCTCTAAAAACCTGTGATGCAACGTGTGGATGGAGAGATTGAGGTGAATTAACTACTGGATTAAGTGAAGATGAACTTGTGGTTAAGAGGTGTGGATTCACAAGCACCCATGCTGGCATGGTAGTTGGCACTGCTATTTTGACTGATGTAAATTCAACTCTCATGGAATGCTGTTGGTTTTTCGGAGTTGTGTCCAGAGAGGATGCAGAAGGAGATGAACCTGATGGATTCACCGACGTCTTGTGGTGCTGGGGAGCCCGTCCTGAATTCACTGTAGTTGTTGCCTTCTTATCATTACTAGGTGAGCATTCTCTAAATTGGCAGGAGCTGGTGGCAGGATGTGGGTCATTTGGTTTATTCTTGGATGGACAAAGGATTGTTGAATGAGCTGTTTGTTGATATTGCAAAAATGCACTTTGAACAGATGGCCGTGGATTCGAGATAGTTGCAGGAGGATTGGGTTTTGTAGCAGATGTTTGTTGAATGCATTGTTTTCCTTCCTTGGCTTGGCAATTCTGCAATAAAGTGAAGGATGGTCTTAAAACCTGATCTCTTTGAGAAGGGGGTAATTGATTATACTGAAGGTGAAGAATTCCTGGACAATGTGGATTTGCTACTGGCTGCTTTTGATTTACAATGATTGGTGCTGCCTGAAACCTCACGGGTGGTTGGGCTGGTGGCATATTCATATAACTGTATGTAAATGGCTGTGGTGCAGAAGAACATCCAGTTGGTGCAGCTGGAACAGTGCTTGTGCTTGTCTGTAGAGGAATTGACTGCATTGGTGCCATTGGAACAGCATTTTCTTGGGTTGGAGGAAGAATCAATCTTACTGCTGGATTTAAAGACCCAAATCTTGTTGATTCAGTTGGTACAGTACTTAAACTGGTTAGTGGGGGCATTGATGCAACTGGCACAGTGCTTACACTCGTCTGCACAGGAAATGACTGCACTGGTGCCCTTGAAACAGCATTTTGACGGTTCAGAAAAAACTGTGTTGATGCAATTGGTGTAGTGTTTATGGTGGTCAGTTTGGGCATTGGTCGTACTGAATTGATTGGAACAGTGCTGACATTAGTTGATGGAGGAACCAATCGTGTCGAGGCATTTGGAACAGAGCTTCTACTGGTAGGTGGAAGAAACAATCGTGTTGATGCACATGGAACACTGCTTGCACTGGTAGGTGCCTTGGCTGATGTGGTTGATGCAAGTGATACAGAGGAATAGTCATGTTCAGGATCAGTCACTATCTTGATAAGCTTAGAATGACCATCAACTTTCTCAACACTGGTGAATCTTTGTATATGAAGTCTACCTTGACCCTGTGTGGTAGATGGTACTCGGTCACAAGTGTTTTGAACTACATCTTTTCCTCCACTCAAACTACTCTGAGCTCCTGAGGACTTGCCAGATTCTTCATCATATCGGGGCCTTTTATTCGTGGTACTTCTTCGACCTTCAGGTGATGGTCTCTTGGGTTTCTTGGAAGGACTTTCTACCCAATTTACAGCTCCAGAACTGAATCTCATACAATTTGAAATATGATCTATAATTGCAGTGCCTCCTTTTAAATCCATGCGAAGGACTGGATCATAATTCTTGTTCGTGTTATCAATATTGGTATTCGCATTCTCTGCATTGCATTCCTCTTCTGTAGGCTCATCTAAGTAAGAGTCAACTATCTGGGAAGCTGCCAATTGTCTTATTGAGCGTTGCTCTTGAACTACTATTGCTGAATAATCTCCACCATCTTCAACTGGTGTACTTTCTAGCACAATACCTTCCTTGCGAGTTACTGAACTTTGATGGCTATCATCATCTGTCATTTTGTCCTCTGCAGACGTGTCACTCACCATTGTAGCTCCTACAATTCCTTCCATTTCTTCTTCAGAACTTGCTGCTCCAGAGCTGCTGTCTGATAGTTCATCTAAAGCATATGAATCATCAAGTGCTGTTTCAGTTTCTCTCTGTTCAGCTGCCTTAGAATCAGTGCCGGACTCTATCCACTCATCTATAATGAGTGGTGCATCAGATTCTGTCTGTGAATCTATCACTGCTGCATCAGATTCTGTCTGAGAATCTACCATAGCTGCATCAGATCCGTTCTGTGTATCTGGTATGAGTGATGCATTATATTGTGTCTGCTCATCTGAACCAGGGGCACTTTCTGTTTCCATTTGCTCATTTGAAATGGGTGCTGTAATAGATTCTGTTTCTTCATCTGCAATGGGGGTTGTATTTGATTGCATTGGCGTATCTTTAATGAGTGCTGCAACCGATTGTGCTTGATCATCTACAAAGAGTTCACTTCCAGATATTGAATGCTCATCGGCAATGGGTGATGCACTGCGTTCACATAGCTCATCTACATCAGGTGCTGTAAGAGATTCTGTTTCTTCATCTGCAGCGGGGGTTGTATTTGGTTGCATTGGCTTATCTTTAATGAGTGCTGTAACCGATTGTGCTGGCTCATCTACAAATAGTTCACTTCCAGATATTGAATGCTCATCGGCTACAGGTGATACACTGCGTTCACATAGCTCATCTACATCAGGTGCTGTAAGAGATTCTGTTTTGTCAATGGCATCTGGAGTTGTACAAGATTCCATCTCATCGGAAACAGGTGCTACATGTATATTCAAGTCTGTCCTAGTATCAGCATTAGATTCTGTTTCTTCATCTGCAATGGGGGTTGTATTTGATTGCATTGGCGTATCTATAATGAGTGCTGTAACCGATTGTGCTGGCTCATCTATACAGAGTTCACTTTCAGATATTGAATGCTCATCGGCTATTGGTGGTGGTGCACTGCGTTCACATAGCTCATCTACATCAGGTGCTGTAAGTGATTCTGTTTTGCCAATTGCATCTGGAGTTGTACAAGATTCCATATCATTGGAAACAGGTGCTATATTCAAGTCTGTCCTATCTGCATTAGATGCTGTTTTCTCATCTGCAATTGGAATTTTATCTGATTCTGTTTGCTCAAGGGTAATCGTGGCAATTGGAGCGTTGTCAGATCCCATTTTCTCATTTGTATTATGAGTTTGGTATGATTCTGTAGATTCAACTAAACTCTGGGTCACATCAGCTCCTATTTGCTCATCTGTATCTGATTTTGTCTGCTTGCTCTCATTAAGAGATGAATCTGAAACATGTGCTGTGTCATATTCTCTACGCTCATCTCCAAGGGGTGTTGTATAAGAATCTGTTGGTTCATTTACAATGGAAGAATCATTAGATTCTGTCTCAACAGCTGGTTCGTATGTTTCCATCTGCTCATTGGCAATAGGTGCAATAACAGATTCTTGTTCCTCAACTGCAATTGTGGATATATCAGATATAAGCTGATCATCTATATTAGTTGCGATTGCATGTTTTGTTGGCTCATCTACAAAGAGTGCACAGCTTGATTTCATCTGCTCATCTGCAATAACTTGTTCATCAGTTTCCATCTGCTCTTCTACAACAGGCAATGTACTACAAGATTCTGTCTTATTATCTGCAGGTAGTGATTTCAAATATTCTATGTGGTCATCTGTAATAAGTGGTGTATCAGATTTGGCCTGTTCATCAGCAATGGGCACCTTATCATAGGCCATCTCGTCATCTGCATCAGGTTCTGTATCCTCATTTACAATGAGTAGTTTATCAGATCCTATGTGCTCATCTCTGATGAGAATTGAATCAGACTTGTTCTGGTCATTTACAATGTATGGTAATTCTGATTCTGTTTGGTTATCGACGATGCATGCTGTATCTGACTCTGATTGTTTATCTGCAACGAATGGTTCATTCATTTCCATCTCTTCATCTGCAACTTGTGCTTTATCATGGGCCATCTGGTCATCTGCAATGTGAGCTGCAATGTGAGCTGCATCAGAGTCTGCTTTCCCATCAGCAATGAGTGGTTGATTAGACTCATTCTGTTCATCCATGATTGATTCTTCAGATTCCATTTGCTCATCTGCAGTGGGTCCTGTAGTAGATCCTGTTTGTTGATCTGTCAGTATCACATCAGGTTTTATGGGTTCATTTGCGACAGGTTCTGTTTCTGATTCCGTCTGCAAAGTTGCCCTGAGAGCAGAAACAGATTCGCTTTGCGAAACGGTGCTATCATTTCTCAATTCTTTTTGCTCAACATCCGTGTTCACTGAAAGAGGTGCTTGACTTCCAAGACGAAGTTCAGGCACCTGCTGCATACCTCCAGAAGATTCTGAGTCATCCATGTTGGCAGCAAAGCCCTCACATCCACACAGGTAATGCAGCAATCAGTCTGCATAGTAAAATATATCGAAAATACAAAATCATTTTCAATTCTAGATACAGGAAAATTGAGAGCAAGCATACATTTAAATTATCTCAGATATTGTTATTGTATACAGTGGCATTTAACATGTGTGTAATCTTGAAACTAAAAGATACTTTTGACTCAAAAGAATGTAAATCCAAGCAAATCTGATTAAAAAACTATGAGAATTACAAATTCTTGACTTGATTGGATTAGTTTCATTCAAAATCAAAGTTAGATTGCTCCTTAAAAGGAAATCGACTTTGACAACAAACTACTCTAAAAGGAAAGCAGAAAATCAGAGAAGTAGAATGATTAGACAAAAAAATTAGAAAATTATGAATTTTTAAAAGTAATCACGGTAGGTATGGACTTGGCTAAATCAGTAATGTCTCTGTGATGTGGTGGCGGACAACTTTCCCATTTTTTCCAACACACAAAATGTATAACTAAGGAGGGTCTTTCCTCCTTATAAGACGTAAAATAATATCCATATTGTATTTTAAGGAGTGCCCCAAGGGAGAAGGCACTTAAAAGAAAAACAGAAATTAAGGATATAGTTGCACAATGTCAATTTGAGATTCGCATAGACTTAGTGATCTCGTAATTCAAACATTCATAACTCTCTCATTATTGGTCTGACTTATATATCAAACTTTGGCCATTCAGTTTATCCTAATTTTCTTTCTTCGACCAAATACACTTGTAGCAAGTGTTGGATTGCCTGTAATTTATTTTTTATATGATTCTATTTGACGCATTTAATTACATGTGTATGTCATTCTTGATAAACAACTCAAAGATGTAAACATCTCAGAAGTTGTAAAAACAAATCAGTTTGGTAGGTGGGCAAGTCTAAGTACAGTGTATATCCCATATTTTGCAAGAATTATTGAATTGTATTATGGATTTGTCAACATAAATTGACATAAAAAGTGTTATTATATTTGAAGTTTTGTCCTATTCAAACTCCAGTAAGGCTGTCAGCTTGAGAAAGCCATCAGATATACTGAAATCTTAGATGTGGTTGGTAACATACGGGAGAAAATAGCTTAGACTTGCCAAGCATAGCAGAATTTGCTACCATGCACTCACTTTACATTGTGACTTCAGTGAAGTTCAGTCAGTTTCTTGGGTCAGGGGGGAAGCAGGACATGATTATCAGGAAGAAACGCTCTGGAATAAAATGTTTGAAAAGAACATATTTAAAGTGACTCGGTAACATTGCATCAGATTCTGAAACAAAATCCTGGATTAGCTCATGCTGCAATCATAATTATAAACCTTTAGGTCAGTCAGGAATCCTACTTTTACAAGCAGATCGCATGTCTGATTATCAAGATGTTTATGATTGGAAATTGAAATTTTATTTTTTGTTTTCTTAACGTTTTTTAAACCACTACAGTTTATTGGGGAAAATGAGTACCGGTACATGGTAAAACTCAAAGATTTTTTTTTCATTTTTGAGGCACTTCATGATCATTTTGAAGCACAATTTTTTTAGGGCTTCAATATTACCATACATCTCAGATTTAACATTGTTAAAATCAGCAGGGGTGATAGTGAGCACTAAAAAAAAAATAGGTTTTTTGTTTTCCCCTCAACCACGCCCCCCTTGAGTAAAAAAAAAAAAAGGCGATTCGCGGGGAAAAAACGGCTTCTAACAACATTCCCCCCTTTCGAGTAAGAAAATTGGGAGAAAAAAATAGGGCAAAATAGGGAAGAATAGAGAAAATAAGGGGGGAATCAGGAAAATCAGGATAAAAAAGGGAAGAAAAAAAAATCTGGTAAAAAAAAAAAAAAAAAAAAAAAAAAAAAAAAAAAAAAAAAAATCTTTTTTTTTTTTTTTTAAATCGGGAAGAAAAAAAAAATCGGGAAAAAATCGGGAATAATCAAAAAAATCGGGAAACCGATTTAAATCGGGTTTTTATCAGGCCTGAATCAGTATGAATATTGGCATGAAAATCAAGCAATGCCAATGCACAACATGCTGCAACAGATTTAACGCTGGTCTAAAGTAATATCAAATTTTTAGAAATTAAATTGAAATTTAATGTAAATTTGTTCAGCTATTGCAACCATAAGGTTGAATTTAAAGATCTGGTATGGGATTGAATTTTAAGAGAAACCTAGGTTGATCTGATTCTTTATCACTGTCGTTGTTTGTACAAGCAAATATATGTACAGTATGAAGTATTTACAAACTTGCTGGAAATCACATTCAGTTAAAATCTAATTCATCATTACACCTAGAGATTACATGTCAATTGTATTATTCTATAAATTGAAAATATGCGGTTTCCATGTCCTGTGTAACCTGTGCAATGCAATGTATGTTTTTAATTTAATTCAATTCTCAATTTTATTAGTAATTATTTGGTATTTGCATTCAATTCATAATTTTTTGTACGTCTATGAAACTAAAAAAAACTTGCAACTGCTGCTTTACCTAATTTCAGGAAGCTATACACACATATACCCATGTATTATTGATGCACTCTGTCAAAACACATTAGATTTCTGGTTCTGTGACATTATTTATATAATCGCAATATTTTTATTAATTAATCTACTATCTTGCAAGATTTTTGTGTTTAGTTCCAATTATTATATTTCTCATCATTGGTTGAAATTATGTTGTTATTGTCAATTTCAATATTTATCCAAACATGTCTTTTCTTCCTCTTCTTCTATTTCAGGCTTTATCTCATCTATCCTTCATCATTAACCTGTATATTTTCATTTCCTTGTTGATCTTTTTTGTGCAATCTTATTCCTACTTCTTCAATTATTGTGCATGCGCATATTATATAAGGAAGTTGTGAGCCAAATAATGACAAGTCATTTAACCAAGTTTGACCATGTTCTTAACTATTAATAGAATAATATAATTTTAACATTTCACTTGAGGTATTACCAGATAACCAGCATGCACATACCTGCAAATCATTGCATGACATCAGTACCTGGGTAATGTTGGATGAGATCTCTCATGAAGACTGTGAAGCGGCCTTACTCAATGTCTTACCTACATAAGAAAAAAATACATAGACTTTCTGTCAATCCTTAATACTTTCTTCAACACTTGCTTTTTAGTTTTTTTGAGGAATGATGTATTTATACAGGGGTGATCTGAAATAAAGGGGGGGGGGGAGGGCATCACAGATTATTTGAGCTTAAAGGGAACTCATGATCGAATGAGCAAATTCTGGAGAAATGCCTCATAATAACAAATCTTCCTTAGACACACTGAAAATATGTCTACTATAACTTAGTATAAGATAACGGTGCATCTGTATGCATAAAAGAAACTCACCAATACATATTTAATGATATTTTACATTCTACAATAAGAATTCATGGAAAAATCTTACATTTCAACTCTATTGGGGAGTTTTTTTTACCTAAACATCATGAGTGCAACAAAAATTTAAGTTTCGCTTGGTTTTTGTTTTTATGAACTCAGAGTCAGACTTGATCTAGGCAAAAAGCGTCAGTTTACGAAGACGCACAAATAGTCCTGTATTTACCAAACTCTCTGTGCTATGGTCGGAGCTCCATGGAGTTACCTATCATAATACTCCAGGGAGATCCGCTGCCAACGGCATCGGAGCTGAGCTCCATGAGCCTGTATAGGATTAGCCTTTTGACAAGGCCTCGTGACTCTGGCTATTTTCTACCCAAATCAGCGGCTGAGATGAATCTAGAGACCCAGGGTGAACACGTGATCGAGTGGCGTTAGCGGCGAGGGCCTTTTGGATTCTGGCTCCTACTGCTCCGCATGATTTATTCATAACTTTGGATTTATTGACCAATCAGAACGGCCACCTCCCAGTTAGCTTCGTTCATGATTCGTTCATTATCAAAACATATAAGAAAAGGTAAATGACGTAAATAAGTTTTGCTAATGAGATGAACATATAAATGATAAATGTAAATGATAAATACAAAATATCACATTCAAATCTATTCTACATGCAAAATTACAATAAAATAGGAAGAATTTTATGACTTAAGCTAACAATCTTAAGTGAGATAATTGGACTTTCCCTGTATATAAAATGAACCAGTCCAACTCGTTTTTTGTGAGCCTGTACGTCATTCTTAGAAGGTCCATGTTCGTACTACGTAGGCTTTACTTTGTGTGTGTGTGACGGATACTATCTGCTGACATCATGCGAGGATATGTTCGGTAATTGGACGCTACCATTTCGGTAGAGAATTCCAGTCGGAAACAAGGGTTAACATAAGAAATCCAAATCAGATTACTAAAGGCTACTTGGCTGGGCCACTCGCTCTGCCGTTCACTTGGGTTTTCGCGATTAGTCTCTTTTTAGTCGCTCGGCGTCTATCAGACATGAGGCCTTGTCTAAAGGCTAGCATAGGATAGGAAAACGATCGATTCAAACAGCGGGTTGGGTCACATTTTTTCTTCTAAATGTAAAGAAGTAGTAATTCTAATTTTGACTAATTTGTTTTTTGACTCATTTGTTTTTTGACTCCTCTGATTGGCATCCATTCAATCACTTGAAATTATAATTTGAAGAAGTCTTTGAGTTTGAGTTTGATGGGAGAATGGGTGATTCCTTGTCCTAACCCAATTCATCCCATGTAAAATCAACATGAAGAGAGCATAGATCTACGCATGCTAGCCAAAATTGTAATTGCTACTCCTTTACATTTCGAAAAAATGTGACCCAATCCGCTGTTTGAATCTAAGTAGAAGGGTCTATGCATGCAGGTCAGGCTCCGGCTCTGGAGCTCGGACGCCTTCGGCGAGAGCTCCCTGGAGGCTGGAGTTGATTACCCTATCACCGAGTATCAGAATTCAGAGACACTACCTAACGCAACGAAGGGCAAATCAGCTAGAGTCTAGGCCTAGATCTGGATCTATATAACTTATAGCTTGGACCTCTACATCTCTAGATCTAGGTCTAGGTCTACATCCAAGTAGACCTAGCTTAAACTAGATCATCCCAAGTAAGAAAATTTCCCAAAACACTCAACACGCTCAAGACTCAACTAGTCTCTAGACTACTCTCAGCTCACTCTGTTTCTACATTATAATTAGATCTAGGCCTAATCTAGACCGAATCTAGACCGAATTTTCCGTCTCTTTCGTTCGTTTATAGCCTCTTATTGGGGTAGGGTCGGCCGGCTCTCTCTTTAGAGACGGAAACCGTCTAGCTATACACATTCCCTTGATAACGCCACGGCCATTTCAGGTCGTAGCGTTTTGCCCCCAAAATCCCCCGAAATATCATTTTACCTTGTGCATGTTATATTGTAAATTAGGCCTAGGCTATAATAAATCAGTTCCACTTACCAACTTGACTGAAATAATCAGTTTAATAGTCCCTTTTTAGGAATTTATGGGTCAAAATCGAAATCCATGTTGAAAAAGATTTTCAAAATGGATTTCGAATTTGACCCATAATTTCCTTAAAAGGGACCATTAAACGGATTATTTCAGTCAAGTTGGTAAGTGGAACTGATTTATTATAGCCTAGGCCTAATTTACAATATAACATGCACAAGGTAAAATGATATTTCGGGGGATTTTGGGGGCAAAACGCTACGACCTGAAATGGCCGTGGCGTTATCAAGGGAATGTGTATAGACGGTTTCCGTCTCTAAAAAGAGAGAGCCGGCCGACCCTACCCCCAATAAGAGGCTATAACGAACGAAAGAGACGGAAAATTCGGTCTAGGCCTAGATCTAATCATGATAATTAATATTCAACTCCACAAGGGCCAGGCCCGGACGTCGGAGCTCACTGGTCCTGGAGTTAGATCTAACTTTAGCTCTCTCTCTCTCTCTCTAGTCTATCTACTCTCGACTCTAGTCTCAAGATAACTAAGAACAGTAAGTAATTGGATCAACACCCACCAAACTTTGTCGCCGTCCATTTGATCCAAAAGTTCATTTCCCTCAGCTCAACCTGTCACAGATCAACCTCAACAGTTTTCTGTATTTCAATCAATCCGATGGCAATGCAATTGCATGCATAAAGTCGAAAGCGGCAAGAATACACTCTAGTACGGCCGTACACAAGCTTACGGCCTTTACGTACTGTACTGTATTTTGTAAACACGCACGACTAGACAACTAGGCCTGATACGACCACCGCCGCACATGCTTACTGTGATCGTAGGCCTAGCGCGCGAGATTAGGCTTGATATCCAGGCTAAATACATATTTAACCTTGGTTCATCAGGATTATGAAAATTGCACAAAGTTCAAATTATAGGAGACTGGGAAGTCTAAATAACCGTATACCGAAGTATATAGCTTTCTCTCTTATTCGAAATTTAACAATTTAAACCATATTAAAATATTCAAAAAGGAGTGTTCAAGTACGTATAGACCTACACAAAGTTTTTGGTCTAGACTATAGACTACCTTCTTCTTCTTCTTCCTCGCTCAGTAAATGCAACTTCATACAACGATCAGATTGCATCAGAAAAGAAAGTTTCATACTTAATTCACTCAGTTATAAATATTCTGCAGTGGTGGATCTAGGGGGGGGGGGGGGTCTCCCTGGCCTCCAAAAACAGGTAAATTTAACCTTTTTTTTGAAGAAAAAAAGGGATCGATCGAGGGGGGGGGGGGATTTTAATTTTTTTTAAATTGCCTTTTTGTAAGCATAATATTCTATTTTGTAAATGTAATTCTCACATATTATTTTACTCAATAGGCCAGCCACTTCTACATCATGTTTATGCTGTTTTCCCCATAAAATTATATAGTGTATAGATCTAGGTCTATGTACATGTATGCCCAGTAGGGTCTAGACTATTACAGAAAGATGAAAGTTGTAAATTATTGAATCAATAAATTCACAGAATCTTAGCTATACATGTAATTTAATTATATATGTAGGTCTATGTGTGGTCAGTGGAAAATATGTATCTCGGCACAAATGTTTGAGGATTATTGAAAAGAATAATTTGTTCAATTACTGACAATTTCAGTTGCCCTCATTACTGGTATATCAATTACACACACTTTAAATTCATTTCACTCAAGGGGGTCTCTCAGCCTTGACAAGTTTTAATTGTACATGTATATCATGTATAAACAAATATTCTCCAAACTCTCTAAATGTCCGCTTTTCACATTTTACACAACTCTTATTTTCACTTTTTTGCCATCAGTGGCATATTCTATCACTTTATCAGCTCTACTTTTCTCTCCATTTCTTTCACTCTTTCTCATATGAGGCTCTTTAATCTTCTTCCTTACACTTCCAATACATCTCACAGAACTAGTCCCTATACAAGCACTCTCTATTTAATAGACCAATTCACAAATGCATTTACATTATATTATATGATCCAACTTGAATGTAAGGAGATGGAAAGTACCAGTAAATGAAATATTTGCAATAATTTAGGTACCGTAACCCCTCCTTTCAATTACTTCAGGAAAGCGTTTGCACGCGTTAGGTTATCATGAACAACAATGATTAGGAAGTTATTCTTCAAGAAATTTGTGAATTGGTCTTGTCCATTCCAATGACAATTCTACTCAGTGCACCGTTTCTTTTTATAAGTTTTATATATTTCATTTCATGACAATCTAGTTGAATTAGATATTCACACTTTGTAACTTCAATTATGGCCATAAGGTGTCACAGTTCGACAGTTCAGTGGTTTGACTTGATTTGAATCACCAAGCTAATGGGCTCAAGTCCCTGTATCACATAAATCATGAATGGGCTTCTGCGAGGCATTGCTCTACATCTAACACTCTCAACCCAGGTTTAGTAGCAAGGAATCCTGTAAATGCTTCAAGCAATGCAATCACCTGTAACCAAAGGCTGGGGTGGAGGAGCCCCTTTATTGGTAACATGAAGTGGGCATGATACATGAAGTCAATATTGATACAATTTATGTTTATTATCATAATTCATAACATATAAAATATGGTTCTGCATCAGGTGGTCAACTCTCCTTCATCAAGCCAGACAGTATTGGGATATTGTGGAGTACATGTACATTTATTGTGTACATTTTCACATATAGTGTACAACATAACCCACTTTATTGTGTTAATGGAAAATTGATTGTGTTCCATTTAACATGTAGATGATTTGGATATCCACAAGGGTAGAAAATAGCTCTTGTTATGATTATTGATTAGGTCTTCTAGAGTTATGAGTAACCATATGAGAATATAAGAATATGATTATAAAATAGGGATGTTCAGTAACGTAATCCTGTTAAAGGTAAAATGCAGTGTCAGTGAAAAAGATAATATGAAACCAAACTAACAAGGTTTATTGATATTAGTCTTTTACAGGTATAATAATAATGTCTGGATAGTATCATTTAACCTGCTCATACATATCTTATGAAACGGGTCAAAAAGGGTGCTGGTAATTAAATAAATAGCTATAAACATTTTATTTCACAAGATTTCTTGCAACTAAGACAACAAAATGATGGAAAACAATGGTTATTCAATTCTTGTCCAATATCATAACGTCTATATTTCTATTACATATAATATAACATACCGATACAAGAAATACTTATATTCTTTTCAATTGCAAAGAAAAGGTAGAGGGATGCAATCATGCAAACAGTGTTGCTTTAACAATGGTTCACTGGCAACATGTCCTTCATTTATGTAATAAATGTGTAACAAAACCTGCTCAATGACAGCAAAGCTACCCAGACACAATAGTGTTTCAGATCAAGCAATTATGAAGACAGTGTCTGTAAGGTATTAAAATACTAAAAAATGTATATATAGTTCTTGTATTTCATTCAGTTTTCATTTTGCCATAGATCCACTGACGTAATCTGCTGCTTGACTGCCTAACTCTTTAGCTTTCTCTGGTCCTCTTGCTAACGATGAAAATGTCCACTTCACACCTAAGTAAGCAAGAAACAAAAACAAAAACTTATGGTTACCAAATCTGAAATGGAAAACAATTTTTAAAACATTTTTGATGTATGTCTCCAGGTTTCAACTTCTATTAAGAGATTAAACAAGATTAAATATACAGGACTAACTTCAAAATGAATTTACCATGCATACATTCAAACTGAACTTTGAACATGACATTTTGGTACTATAAATCTTTGAACTACTGCTCTGTTTGTTTCTTTTCATGCTAATAACCCCCCCCCCCCAAAAAAAAAAAGAAAAAAAAAAAAAGAAGGAAATTGTATAAAAGGCAGATGTCAAGGAAGGGATTGAGGTAATCTATTAATCTTTGAAAGCAAACTAAGTTTATCCCGCTTGAAACCCACATTAAGTGTGTGTGAGTATGTCCACTTATTTCCCAGTGAAAGGTTTTTTACAAAGATTAACAAAATTAATGAAAATGATAGCATTTTATCTCACCTAGTTAAAAGGCAATCTAATGAGGTGAGTCAGGTGACTTAATTACTGTGACTACAATGTTTTCAATACAAATCATCCAATAATACTCTTTGGCAACAGTTTTCATTTCCGGTGGTTTAGATTTAGGATCTCAGTGTTGCGCCAAGCAATCATTTAAAGCACTTTGCATGTAACCTAAATGTAAAGAAAAAAGGGAAAATAAAACAATTAAATACCTGAATTCCAGCTTTGCCTCGTATTACTTGCTAATTGCTCAGTTGATGGTATCTGCAAAATAGTAAGACCACAAATTTTCATTTCTATTGTAAATATACTTAATTCTGGCGAATCATCATTTCATCTTACAGATTGGAATAATACATATTATATATTGTAAAGGCACTTCATACACCGTGCGGTTGTAATTGTCTATTTGGCATTCCATAATTTTATCGTCTGCGAAGATTGTAATTTTTGGCCCAAAACTGGGGCACGTTATGGCGATGGAAAAGGAATTGCATCGTTAATCGGCATATTATTTATGCCTGCCTGAGACTTTGGTAACAAGTGGCACAGTGGTAAGCATAAATAGAACTTTTAGGTTTAATTTCAAGAGAGCTCGCTCAGTATGCATACAGCAATCAGTGTTATCCTACTGTAGAACTTCAATAGCTCGTGTATCAGATTGATGCATTGTACGCATAGTGTGCAGGTCTTTGTGTAGTACTATAATTATGAATATTTGTTTGTATGGAAATATACAGAAACTCTTAATCAGTATCGAATTTATTGTGTAATGATAACTCAACTAGATTAAACTCAAACCTCAGTCCTGAGGAAATAAGCACTCAAATACGCCAAAACTTGATATAAGATGGTTGACATTACATTTATTGCTCACATAACATTTTTGCAATTACATTGTCTATTTAAGCTGTTTTCGACACCCATTGTATACAGTTAAATACGTTTACAAATATTCCTTATTTGTAGGATATCAGTTTAGAGTTTACTTCTAATTTTCACAACACTTAGTGTATTAAATACTGGACAGTATTGCTATTATGATAATTTAAGTCCAATTACTTTAAATTGAAGTTAATTGTTATTCACCTTAGTATAATGTTTAGACTCATAATACAGTGGAACCTTATTATTAAAGGCACTGATGTGGCAGACTTTACCTATAACAATGTATCTTCTCTCGTCCCAAGTGCCTCGTTATAATGCAGTTGCACTGTAACATGCTTTGATATGATGATATACTTATGTTGGATTTTGTTCATTTGTTTGTTTGTTTATAGTTTTTACGGGAATCTAAGGAACAAAGTGAATCAGCAAGCCAAAGAGTCAGCTTTGACCATGATGAAGAGACTAGATTCAATAAAGCTGTTTTGACTATTGTTTACCCAGTATGAGAACACGTGCGAGCTTTCGTTTGTTTGTCGTCGTAGTCCGGGCAGGCACAGTAAAAACACTTCCAACGTAGCGTCAAAATGGCCTCATCATCATCAACAAGCCTGATTATCAAGATGGAGCCAATAAATAGACGCTAGACATTTGAGTTGAGTTCAACATGACATTTCAGCTGGATGAACCTACGAACATACATATGTAACTACGTTTGGCGACGAGCACAGGATATATGCTAGAGATCAGCTAGAATTGCACCATAACGCATGAATCTCAGAATCTGAGTGGATGTTGATGGATTTTGATTTGGATTGTGAAACGATGTTGTGATCCAGTCATTTCTCATATGTCTCAATAGTTCGAGGTATGTAGAGCTGTGTATGGACGCTATGCAGTTTGATTTACACTAATGTTACAGTTACAATGAATTATGGTTGCAATGCAGCAGTGTCATCGATTTATTATTGAGGTGTATTATGGACGCTAAGCTGGAATCGGCCACAATCGTTATTATACACTGTTATAAAATACGTGGCTTTACCATAATTTGCACCAGCAGTTGGCATGCAGCCATAATGTAACAGGACCAGCGACGGCCTTGATAGATCCAGCCCACAGTCACGTCTAGTTAAGAGTCTAAGGACTAAAGCCCAGTGTAGATGTTAGCGGATCAGCCAAGCCCAAGTTCAAGACTATTCTGTGTCAGCCTCTCGTAGCAGCCCTAGCATAATTTATGAACTAGCCTAATCCAGCTGAAGTCCAGCTTGAACAACAGCCCGGGAATCGGCCCGGTCAAGCCACACAGCCCGGGAGCCAGCGTGGTTTAGTCTTGTACAGTCCAGGTCCAGCCAGGTTTGAACTTGAAGCATAAATCAAGCCAACAACATTGAATTTATAAATGAAACATTGGATCTGAACTTGATGAAATAAAAGTAGTTAGAACCAGAGCTATAATAGGCTCTGTGAAACTTCAAGACTCTTGATAACAAATTAACAGAGGTCAAGTAAAATTTGAATTTTAATAACTATTTCATGTATAGTAGTCTATTGAAAAGTGTTTCCAATATGATTCTGCAAATACTGCATGTTTTGTTTGCAGGTAGCCAGCATTAGTTTTGTGCTCAAGTGACAAGAAAGTTAAAGGTGTAATTTCATTACAAAGTGATATTGACATCGCAGTTCAGAGTCAAGCAAGGAAGGAATATGTGGCGATTGAACTTTATCGCATCATCGCGTGGTCTGCATTCAAGCCCTTTTGATAAGCGAATTTTGAGGCGTGCGTAAAGGCTTTATTGGGAGATGTAAAATCAAATTACTATGGAGTATTTGTAATTGCATTAGCAAGAAGCATTTTAAGCGGTTTTACATTGATGAGGTTGGTAGGCTTAGCGCTGTAGCTTTGCTTAAATTGATGTTTGATTTCACTCTAGTTGCATGACAATTTAATTTGGTCAATTTGCTGTACAAGGTGCAAGTGCATGGTTTAGCATAAGAGGCCAGCTCCTTATTACACTTCTGTTGTGTCAAAGCCAATTAAACATGGCAGATTCAAGAAAGTCATCAAGGGAGAGGCAGCCCACGGAAAAAATGGCCGCTCTTCAGGCCTCTGAAGAATTAAAGACAGAGCGGAAGTTTTTCAAGATGTACGGCTCCCTTAAGGCCACAGTAAAGGCAGCTAGAATAATCATTAAGACAGAGACAGAAGAAGGTCCCATCAAACAACAGATATCCATATTGGAAGCTGGAGAGAGGGAATTGATGGAAACCTACGAGATTTTGAGGAGACACAAGGTCCCCATAAGAGAGGCCACCACGAGGATGGACCGTGCCAACGCAATGGTCAGAGATAGCCTCAACGCCCTGGAAGAAGTTCTGGGATCCCTAGAAGGTCCTTTTGACGCCGAGGATCGGAAGCAGATAGCGAAAGAATTCTTGAAACAAGAATATGCTTCATCGGTCTTCAGCTCAATTTTAAGCGAAATGGACCAAGGGGTTGAAACCAGCCAACCGCGTGGAGCCACACCAGTAATTGACATTGATAGCAATCCTGGACAGCCTGTAGAATCTCGTAACACACCATCACTTCCTCTTCAAGACAAAATGTACCCAGGAGTTGGAGTAAACCAACCACCTGAAGGTATTCAAGGGCAGTCAGCAGAACTTCCTGCCAAGACGTCATCTCCTTCCCTTCAAGATGAGATGGGCCCAGAGTTTAGAGTAGGCCAGCTACATGATAGTCTACCTGATTCGCATGTGGAACCTCGTGACAAGACACCACTACAGCCGCCTCAGACAACGTCGGTTGACGTCCAGGGCTTATGTAAGGCTTTAGCAGACAACATGTACCACACAAGACTTCCGATGCCAGTGCCACGCACCTTTAGTGGGGATTCGCTCGAATTTATAGAGTTCGAGAAAGGTTTCAAGACTTTGATCGAAAACCGTGGCATAACACCAACAGAGATGCTGTATTATCTGAAGCAGTACCTGACTGGTCCGGCAAGGGAGGCGGTGAAAGGTTTCTTTTTCGGGGACTCCAAAGAGGCATATGATGGGGCATGGAGGTGCCTTCGACAGAGGTATGGTCATCCTTTTAATGTCCAACAAGCGTTCCGGAAGAAGCTAAGTGCTTGGCCGAAGATATCCTCAAAAGATGCCATAGGTCTTCAGAAGTTTGCGGACTACTTAAAGTCTTGTGATGATGCTATGCCATATGTCACTGGCCTCCAGGTGCTAAACGACTGCTATGAGAATCAAAAGATGATAGCCAAACTTCCAGACTGGCTGATTAGTAGCTGGAATAGGGTGGTATCAGATGAGTTGGAAGGCGGCAGCTATCCTTCATTTTCTAAGTTTGTGAAATTTGTTGCTAAGGAGGCAAGGATAGCCAACAATCCCATTTCTTCTCTAGGTGCCCTGAAATCTGAGGACTCTCAAAGAGAATCAAGTCCCAAGACCTCCAAGATCGAGCGAGAAGCAAGAAATAAGGGATCTGCTTTGGCTGTCAACACCAAGGAAAGTGCCGAAGGCAAGAACATCCCAAACCAAGTCAAGAAGGCTCCAAAACCTTGCTGCCTGTGTAGTGAAACTGGACACAAGTCCGAGGACTGTGACAAGTTTTTGGCCAAGCCACTTTCTGAACGCAGGAAGTTTGTTCAAGAAAATCATGTATGCTTTGGTTGCTTACAGAAGGGGCATTTTTCTAAGGCATGTAAACAAAGGCTGAAGTGTAGTACATGTGGTAAGCGCCATCCCACGGCTCTTCATGAGGAAAACCCTACGATAAGAGAGGACAATGCGCACAAGAGTGAAGGAGCTTCTGAGGACATGGCTACGTCTTGCCAAGTCCGTTCTGGAAAACAAGCTAGCACTTCGATGATTGTACCAGTGTGGGTCGCGGCAGAACAAGCACCATCGTCAGAGATTCTGACTTACGCCCTCCTGGATACCCAGAGTGATTCATCGTTCATTCTAGATGAAGTAGCGCAAGCCCTGAATGCTAAGCAGCAACCCATACGCTTAAAGTTATCTACTATGACTTCGTCATCGAACATTGATTGCAGCGTGACTTCAAGTATCTTAGTTAGAGGTATGATGTCGCCCTCCCAGCTCAAGATAGGAAAGTGCTATACGCGTGACTTCATACCGACTGATAGAGAACACATCCCAAGCAGAAGTACTGCTGAGAAGTGGACTCATCTCCAAGATGTTGCAAGAGAGATGCCAGCACTTCAGAGATGCGAAATCGGCCTACTGATAGGCTATAATTGCCCAAGAGCTCTGACACCAAGACAAGTAGTTACTGGTAGCGATGTAGAACCATTTGCTATTCGAACTGACCTCGGCTGGAGTATTGTTGGCTTTGCCGAAGAAGAGAATGCCATGGACTTCAGTAGCCAGTGTGGGAGGGTTTCTACTCGCGAGATACCATTTCCGAAGCCAAAGGAGATCATAGGGTTGCTTGAGACAGATTTCGCAGAGGACAAATCGCCGGACAAAGCATGCTCTCAGAATGACCTACAATTCTTGAAAGACCTTGACAACAAAGGTCGTCCAAACAAGAAGCTTGCCGAATACTGGAGGCCGGTTCAGAAGCTCGTACTGCTTCTGGAAAAGGTACCTCCATAGAGCAGGTATGTATGTACACTTGAGATTGTTTGGAGCGGGTACAAATGTTTGACCTTGCATTTGCACATGTACTTCGTTTTTTGGTACAGTTTAAAAATTTAGGACTCAAATTCTGATCTTGTTTGCTGCGAATTTTAGATACACAGCGCTTAAATATTGTCGCAACCTTTAAGCTTGCCTTACAACCTTTGCAGTGTGTGTTATAATCTTTTACAGCACATGTTATAAACGTGCATTGTTTGAGTTCCGCATCATCACTTATGCCATTCTGGTTTGATCAAGCTATTCAATTGCCATGTTATTCGTGTTGTAGATTGCAAGTGTACCAATTTACATGCAAGAGGTGTATGGAGTGCTTGCTTAAAAATTTCCATATTATGGTCACATTATTTCACATGCACCACTTATGTAATACTAGTAAATGCATTTTCATATATATGTAAGTGTACTCATGCATGTGATTATGTTACAAGTGAAGGCAATTTTGGTGGGAGTGTAAAGGCACTTCATACACCGTGCGGTTGTAATTGTCTATTTGGCATTCCATAATTTTATCGTCTGCGAAGATTGTAATTTTTGGCCCAAAACTGGGGCACGTTATGGCGATGGAAAAGGAATTGCATCGTTAATCGGCATATTATTTATGCCTGCCTGAGACTTTGGTAACAAGTGGCACAGTGGTAAGCATAAATAGAACTTTTAGGTTTAATTTCAAGAGAGCTCGCTCAGTATGCATACAGCAATCAGTGTTATCCTACTGTAGAACTTCAATAGCTCGTGTATCAGATTGATGCATTGTACGCATAGTGTGCAGGTCTTTGTGTAGTACTATAATTATGAATATTTGTTTGTATGGAAATATACAGAAACTCTTAATCAGTATCGAATTTATTGTGTAATGATAACTCAACTAGATTAAACTCAAACCTCAGTCCTGAGGAAATAAGCACTCAAATACGCCAAAACTTGATATAAGATGGTTGACATTACATTTATTGCTCACATAACATTTTTGCAATTACATTGTCTATTTAAGCTGTTTTCGACACCCATTGTATACAGTTAAATACGTTTACAAATATTCCTTATTTGTAGGATATCAGTTTAGAGTTTACTTCTAATTTTCACAACACTTAGTGTATTAAATACTGGACAGTATTGCTATTATGATAATTTAAGTCCAATTACTTTAAATTGAAGTTAATTGTTATTCACCTTAGTATAATGTTTAGACTCATAATACAGTGGAACCTTATTATTAAAGGCACTGATGTGGCAGACTTTACCTATAACAATGTATCTTCTCTCGTCCCAAGTGCCTCGTTATAATGCAGTTGCACTGTAACATGCTTTGATATGATGATATACTTATGTTGGATTTTGTTCATTTGTTTGTTTGTTTATAGTTTTTACGGGAATCTAAGGAACAAAGTGAATCAGCAAGCCAAAGAGTCAGCTTTGACCATGATGAAGAGACTAGATTCAATAAAGCTGTTTTGACTATTGTTTACCCAGTATGAGAACACGTGCGAGCTTTCGTTTGTTTGTCGTCGTAGTCCGGGCAGGCACATATATGTAAAACGTTTAACAGAATTCATGGATTCTAAATAGACCTAGAGATCTAGTTTATTTTTTTGCAGAGCATAATTCACCATGCGAATGAATTTTTATCGATATCTTTGTCAAATCAACAGCTGTAAGGTGCAACCGAGGAAGAAGGAGGTGTCGCGTTGTATGTCCCCACGCAGTTGAATTACCGAGTTTTAAATGAAGTTAATGTGATGAATGATTTAATGGAAAGTGTTTTTGTAGAAATGTTTTTTCCTGGCAGACGGAATGTTATAGTTGGGGTCGTTTATAGGCCGCCACAAGGTAATGTGAATTTGTTTATAAATGAAATGCAAACTGTGTTGTCAAATTCAATATTTTTGCATAAAACAGTCTTTGTCATGGGTGATTATAATGTTAATCTTCTTCAGCACGATGAGAATGCATACGTTTGTGACTTTTTGAACATGTTTATATCTTTCTCTTTATTGCCCTTAATAACTAAACCTACCAGAGTTACAGACACTTCTTCTACTCTCATTGATAACACTTTTTGTAATGTACGACCTTTACCAGATGCGGGTATTATAATTTCGGATTTGTCTGACCATTTTCCAGTATATGCAAGGATGTCTTTTGGTATGAATATCCGTAATATTTCTAGTAATAGATATGTTCGAAAAAGTAATCCTACCAGTATTGCTAAATTTAGAGATGAGTTGTTAGCAAGTGATTGGAGAGAAGTATTGAGTGATTATGATGTTGATAGCTCATATGATAAATTCTTAAATACATTCTTTTTGCTGTATGATAAAAATTTACCTTTATGTAAATGTAATACCAGAAATCGTAGAACAACCCCTCGATTGCCATGGATCACTAATTCTATGTTGAGGTCAATAAATAGGAAAAATAAGTTGTACTATAAGTATAAGATTAGTAAATCTCAGTCTTCACATAGGAAATATACTATTTATCGGAATACTCTTACTTCAACCCTACGTGCTGCTAAGAAGCAGTATTACTTTGCTCAATTTCAGGCGACACATAATGATATAAAAGGGACATGGAAAGTGATTAGGAATGTTTTTAAGCCAAAACAGAAAGCGTCTGATGTAAGTAAATTAAACATTGATGGGAATGTAGTGGATGATCCAGAGGTTATTGTAGATAAATTCAATGAATATTTTTGTAATATTGGCCAGAATTTGTCGCGTGTCATCCCAGAGTCTCAAAAAACATTTCAATCTTTTTTAGAAAACCCTAATCATAATAGCTTATTTTTATTGCCAACGACTGTAGAAGAATTATTTGATATTGTACATTCTTTAAAGAATAAGAAAAGTCCAGGTTGTGACTTTATAACAAATGAGTTGATAAAAAATGTAATTGATGGTATTGTACAACCCCTCGTACATATATTTAATCTATCAATGACCACTGGTGTTGTACCCATGAAAATGAAAATTGCAAAGGTTGTGCCCATTTTTAAAAAGGGTGATGCCCTTATCTTGAATAATTATCGTCCTATTTCTTTGTTGAATTCCTTTTCTAAAATTCTTGAGAAGCTAATGTATACTCGGACGATAACATTTATGATGAATGCTAACATTTTGTCTAATTTTCAGTTTGGTTTTCGTGAAAAACACACTACCACTCATGCTATTCTACATTTGGTTGATAAGATATCCAGTGCCTTAGATGCACGCATGCACACAGTTGGTGTCTTCTTAGACTACTCTAAAGCGTTTGATACTGTAAATCATTATATTTTAATAGATAAACTGTGCCATTATGGTGTAAGGGGAATAGCATTAGATTGGTTTAGAAGCTACTTAACAAATAGGAAACAGTTTGTTACTTTAAATGGAATTGATTCAGATTTGCGGGACGTCACTTGTGGGGTCCCACAGGGATCCCTTCTAGGCCCGCTTTTGTTTATTGTGTGTATTAACGATTTTCAACTTTCCGCAAAAATGTTATCATTCATTTTATTTGCAGACGACTCGAGTGTATTTTTCTCTCACAGAAATCCACAAACTCTTTTGCAGACTGTAAACTCTGAGTTGACAAATGCGACTTTGTGGATTCATGCAAACAAGTTGTCTTTAAATCTTAAAAAAACTAATTATATGCTCTTTAGTAATTCCCTGAGTATATTGCCTGGAAATATAATGTTCAATGGTGTTGAGATTGAAAGAGTATCTACATTTAAATTTCTTGGCCTGCATATTGATGAACATTTAAATTGGAAGTATCATATTAGTAAACTTTGTAAATTGTTGTCAAGAAATACTGGTGTAATTTATAAATTGAAATCTGTGTTCCCACTGAATATTTTACGTATGTTGTACGGAACTTTAATTTTGCCATATTTGCACTATGGTGTGCTAGCTTGGGGCAACTCGTTCAAATCTCAAATGGATAAATTACTACTGGTACAGAAAAGAGTAATACGAATTGTTTGTAATACACACTATCTTGCGCATACAGATGTTCTTTTTTATAATAGTAGTGTTTTGAAAGTTGAAGATATTTATCATTTACAACTAGGAGCTCTAATGTATGAATTGAATGCAGGTCTATTGCCAGTAGCCTTGGCTAGAATATTTAAGAAAAATAACCAAGTTCATAGTTATTCCACACGTCAGGCGCAAGCATATCACTTGCCTTTTGTTAGAACGCAATTTGCCCTTACTACTGTGGGGTCCACTGGACCTAGGTTTCGGAATTCCCTTGAACCAAGAATAGCGCAATCAGTCAGTATTTATGTATTTAAGCGCAAACTGAAGTTACTATATTTGAGTCGATATCGTCTAGATTTATAGTTGTGATCAATATTTAAGAAAATTAATTACTATATAGGTCAGCATAATTCTACTCCCATCTCTCACATCTATTCATCTGTCTGTCTTTTTTTTGTTTTTGTCTGTGTTTTAGTCCTGCTTTTGCTCGTTGTATTTTCCTGTTTCTTTTGTTTATAGCCATTATTTAGTAGTCAGTAGATTTTATTTTATTATACTTATTTATCTTTATATTTTATCAGTTGTTTAGTTAGTTTAGTTTGTCAGCACTTAAATGTATGCATTATTCTTATCTGACGAGTTTTGTTCTTTTAGGACATATTCATAAGCTACTCATGAGGGACCTTAAATCCACAAGCCTTGCTTTCAACCAAGGTCACCTCATCTTTCTTTTGTAACGCCATATTCTGTAAACTTGTTATATTCATGTCATATTTGTAAAGTGTGTTATGAAAGAAAGATAAATAAAACTTGAAACAAACTTGAAACATTGAAACATTGAAACATCTTGTCTTGATTGTGCCTTAGATCTAAAACAACTTTTTAAAAAGTTAGAAATTCTTCTTAGCTTCACCTCTATTAAAATATGGTTGACAATTAACTCATCAAAAAGATCCCAATCCTATGACAAATAAACAGCCTAGCCCGAATTTTCTGTCTCTTTCATTCGTTAGCCTCTGATTTGGGTAGGGTCGGCTCTAGGAGCTGACCCTAGAGCCGACCGTACCCAAATCAGAGGCTAACGAACGAAAGAGACAGAAAATTTGGGCTAAAAACAGCCCTGCATGAAAGTTACATGTACCATGTTTTGTTTATTTTATCAGAATGTAAAAATGAAGTAAAATACAAGTAAATTAAATAATTAATAATACCTGTCTGAGATATTCATCCTGTCTCTGTAGGGTGCCTGTTAGCTTGTTCATTGTTTTTGAACCATCAAATGAAGATCCCCAGATCCCTTGCTCAACTGATACGTAAAGTGCTCCTCCTCCTATTGCTATCTTGCAAAGCCCTCTGAAAAGTGAAAAAGAGACGAACACACGATGTTCAGTTTCAGGATATGGTAAACCAGGAAAACTGTTTCCAGCAGACTACAATAGAATCAATATCTGTTGTAACTTACACTTACAGCCTAATACTATAGTAATAGTAATAATACAGGCTCCAAGTACATCCTGTTCCACAATGTTAATTTTAACAGAAGCAGATTAAAGTGAATGTTTGAGGAAAATTTTCATAAGAATAAGATTGTCATTTTATACGTTTGGCGGAAGGTTTTTTCATAAATCAGGAGATTCACATCGTTTGCTAGAGAGCGGGAGGGAGGGCATGGAGGGAGGGCATAATCAGGGTACTATTGGATAATTCGTTTTTCTGATTCTGTCACGACACAGAAAAGTCCAAAATTCCTTTGTCATTTCTTATTTAAAAACAAAAAATTAAAATCACGAAGCAAAAAACGTGTTGCTATTTCGTTTCTGGTGGTGAAAAACACGAATCAGAAATCAGAAAACTAAAACTAGAAAAACTCTTTCTGATTTCTGAATTCTGATTCGCACCACAGAAAAGGAAATCGCAACACGTTTTTTGCTTCGTGATTTTGTTTCTTGTTCAAGAATCACAAATCGCATTGCGATCTCGGCTCTCTGATTTCTGATTTTGTTTTCATCACACGAATATTAAAGAGCGCCCTCTACGTCGGCATGCCAGCACATAAGGAAAGACAGAAAGAGAAGGTGAAAGAAGGAAAAAACAAAGAATAACATAAGGAAAGACAGAAAGAGAAGGTGAAAGAAGGAAAAAACAAAGAATAACATAAGGAAATACAAAAAGAGAAAGAGATAGAATGATAAAAACAAAGAATAACATAAGAGAAGATGATAGAAGGAAGAAACAAAGAATAATATGAGGAAAAATGATAGAATGATAACAACAACAATAACATTAAGAAAGACAGAAAGAGAAAATGATAAAAAATAGACAATGGAAAGATAGAAGAGAAGATGAAAGAAGGAAAAACAAAGAATAACATAAGGAAAATAGAGAGAGTATAATAGAATAATAAACGAAGAACAAAATAAGAAGTGAAAGAAGGAGAAATTGAATAGGCGCGTGCGGGGGCCATTACGTCATCGTGTAGAGAACGGGTGTCGACTTTAAACGAA